ACTTTTTAATTTTAATTATTTAGTTATAATTTATAACTTATTATTAATATAATAATTAATTGCTTAGATTAACTGCCTTAATTATTTTATTAATATAAATTATAACTAGTTTATCCCTTAGGAACCTTAGCCGTTACACTCCTTAAACTATATTATATTTGCTTATAAACCTAATCAATTATGTATTAAGCTATATTTTATCTATACCTTGATTTTTTAATATCCTTTATTGGTGTGTCTTATGAAAAATGCAAAAAGGGACAAACAAGAATCCCTCAGATTTAGGAGCAATTCGGGTGGGTTGCGGAGTTGAAATTGTTGGGCAGGTTAAACCGCGCAGTCTAGCGGCGCTAGTCTTGGGTCGACAGGGTCCAAAATCTAATCAATTATAGAATAATAGTAGGGGAATCAAATAAGTCTATTCAATCTACTATATAATCTCCGCTTGTGGACAAAAATAGTTATAGGATAGCCTTCGAAGTTGCGCAAAATTTCTCCGCACGCGCCCAAAATCGTGGACCGTTTGCTCGAGGACGTTATATAATCTGCACTGATTAGGTATAGCGCTGTCCGCCGCCGCAGGCGCGAGCAAACGGTCTGAGCTTGCTGAGGTAATCCTCGAGTAAATAGCCTGAGGACCCTGTCACAGCGCACACTGCTTTGCGGTCGTTTTGTATGCGTTTTTGGTGATCAAAAATTACGATTTTCCAGTTTCATCAATAGCCACGTCAAGCCACGCTGTATTCACCCAGAAATCTAATCAATTATATACCAAGATATACTCTATCTGTGTATAGGCTTTTTTAAGTTTCTTAATACTTGTGCTCTATAGAAAACACTAATAAGTGTCAAAGAAAACCGCTTCTGAACCGCTATCCACCTACCATTTTCACGATTTGGGCGGGAGGAGCAAAGAAATTTGCGCAGAGAAAGCCGCTCGGCACTATTAGATGCTATATTTGTCCTTCCTTGGTCAGATTTACTTATTTATAAGGTTATTAAGCTCGTGTTGTCTTCGCACTTTCTATAAGAATTAGGTCAAGCTTTCACAAATAATAACATAAAACTATAAACAGCTTAAAAGATCTTACTCGTGATACTCACAACACCGGGAGCATAACAGCTATATAAGATCTGGTTAAGAAAGTAAGATATATATCTGAGTAGGTGTAAAAGGGTATTATCTGCGCAGGCTTAAAGCGCTACCTGTATTTATTTAAGCCTTGTTAGAAGCAGATAGATGCCATGTGGCATTTAGTATTTAAGAAGACCTTCTCCTTACAGCCAAGACGTCTTTCGGCAAGAATATCGTATTCCAGACAGCACTGTTGTTTTGTCGCGGTGGTATCTAGCTTATTATTATCCCCTTAAACCGAATCGGGCAGGAGAGGTGCGTCAAAGATCCAGAGGCTTCCTGGAGCAAAGTCCGTGTTTGTCAATAGCAGGATAGAGAAAACTAACGTATTGGCTCAAGAAATAAAGACCGGCGTGTATGCTCATCTCATCATGGGCCTAGAGATCGCGGAAGGTTGGTTTCGGTCCCTAGCGAGCGATCATTGTTCGAAGCTCGTCTCAGTCTTGGCGGACAAGGATAAATTCCCCAAAAATAATGTCCCTCTTCGGCAGCTTTTCGACGTCTTTGAGGCCGCTTCGTCCCCTCGGAGACGTGCTTCAGTTGGGTTGGACGTCGGAACAAGCAGTGGACTGGTTGAGCGTGAAAAAAGGAAAAGGGGGGGGGGGGGGGTTCGACCGCGCACTCTAACAACGCTGGTTTTGGACCGACATGGTCCAAAATCTAATCAATTATAAAATAATAGTAAGGAAATTAATTTTAAGTATTTAATTAACTATACACCGCGTTATTATTAATAAAAATAGCTTTAAAAGTAGCCGATTATTCTGTACAAAATATTTTCGTAGACGCCCAAATATCGTGACACGGTTCTCAGGCTATTTGGTCAAGGACCATAGGTGACTTACAGATTAGGTATAGTCTGGTCCTTGCCCCACAAATGGCCTGAGCCCTGCTGAGGTTTTCGTGACAAGTCCGAAGCTTTCAGACTGACTGATTGGACTATTAGGAGCGCTGAAGTCTAGAAGCCAAGGCAGAACAAGTTAATAGAAAACAATCCGCGACTCGTACCCGCAGAAAACAGGACTCCGGCCCGATTTACACCGAGGACATGCAGAATGCAAGTGTCGGGAAAATGGCCGAGGGTGCTTTTGCGACTCGTACTATACAGCAGATGTCAGAAGAACACCTGGTCAGTTTTGGGATTGGTCCTCAAGTGCTTGGTTGGGTGTGCTCGTGTCCGTCAAGCGCTTGCGCACGGTTTTGAGTGCAGGCGCTTGATGTGTTGCGGCAATGTCGTTTCTTCTCCGTTGACGGATGATCCATATTTCTGGGTCTCTTGCCGCTCTGAGGTGTATGATGCTCAGACCATGATGATCTGATCATATCCGCGGGAAGACGTATTTGACGTCTCACGTGCTTACCACCTGACAGTCTGCGGAGAATGGCAGCCGTAAATAGGCCCAACTTGCTCAAGTGGCTTTGGCTGGCTTTACGGGAAGCCCCGTAGATTGACATCAGACTCAACATTTACGACCTGGATACGACTTCCATCGGAATACAGAGACGGCATCTTTGTCCGAAGCTTAAGCTAAGCTGACTTAACTGCAGAAGTAAGACCACCCAACTCCCCCATCCGGATTTGCCCACCGACTCTGGCGCCGCATTTCCCACACGCTCTAGAATCCATTTCCTCAGCCAGATGCAGATTTCGACTTCCTGCCACTCGATATGAGCTCCATCCTCGGTACTACCAGGTTCATGGGATCATTCTTGTCTAGATGTAACGCAAAGGACCGAGACGGCCGGCGAAGAATGTTTGCGTCAAGCAAGCTCCCGGAGACTGCCGCCTGAGACAGACGATTGTATAAAGCCGCAACATGACCCTCGGCTATCTTTGCTAAATAAAATTGAACAGCAGTATCCAAATCCCATCACTTCTACTCCTACCTACGCTTTAACCATACTCCACAGATAAAGCCCCAGCATCATGAGGTTCGCTACTCCCGTCACTCTCCTGGCCGCCATCTCAGGGACTTGCGCGATGGTTATTCAACGCGACAACCCCCTCGCGAAATGCATCAACAGCGTGACGTCTTCCCTCAACAAGCTAGACGTTGCTACCAAGTCCTTCAACGGCGACATCCAGCCGGTTGTCGAGGCAGCCGACAATGTCATCGCCACCATCCAACACGGGCAAATGGTAACCGATGGCACTCCATCCATCGGCCTCTTCAGTGCTGCGGCTCTTCTTCAGCCCGTCCAGATTCTGGATAATCGCGCAAAAGTTCTTTTCGTCGACGTCAAGGGCCGAGTTTTGGATGTTCAGAAGGCCAAGAAGTGCGATGTCACTCGTGCCAAGCTCAGCACCCTAAACTTTGTTGGCCACAAGTTAATCGACACTATTCTCAACAAGATCTCGTCCGGATTTGCCAGGAACATTGCTCGACCTTTTACCGATGACATCAAGGGACTGCTTGCCAAGTCGCTGGACCTCTTTGAGGGGGCCCGCTGTGTCGATGCCTACTAAGACAGCAAGGACAAAGAGCTGACAACTCAACAACATGCAAGATGGGGGGGGGTCATGACATTCGAAAAGGTAGTCCAGAGTAGATTGGGATGAGATAGTTCATGAAGCTTTAATATATCATGTTGTATGTTATGCTAATTGTGTCACGTTATGAGACTTATTGTTAACTAAGCCTCTTCACAAAATCATTATTTTTGTTTTGTATATAATAATCCACATCTGGATCTTATATATGCTGGTATTCTCTCAACTACCCACGGTACATAAATACCTACTAGGTATATAACACCAACCTCCGGTGGACGAAACGACCAAGTGAAGTAGCCGTCTAATCGAAAATATCCGGCCATGTTCCTTTCTCGCCACTTATCATCTATTTTACTACTCGGCCTTCTAGATACATGCCCTCAGGAGGACCTCTTGCGTTGTGACTGCGCTACACTATTACCAGCGGCCAAGTTACAGTTTAGCCCGGTTCACCAGCTCCCGCAGCATGTTATCAACGCAGGTAATAACATTTAATAATAAACAGATTCTCGAAATCTTCTAAGGTTGGTGTTAACTCTAGTGTTGGTTTGTTCGGCTCCAGCCGCCATTTAAGCATGCCATGGAATTTTGCCCGTATATCAAAGGAACTATAAAATTTTCAGTATAACCTTTCTACAATTAAAACATACCGAGATAACTATCCCGGAAATACGTAAAAAGCTTTTTCTACGGCTCTTTTTTAATCTCTTTTAGACAAGTTATCATTGCGCCTCTGTTATTGAAAATGCCCATCTCAGCAGTTCCTTCTTTCGCCTTTATGGGTAAAACACGCCAAGTGGTTTTCTAAAGCCTACGAAGAAGACCGGGCGGGCTCTACTGAGCGCTTACTATTTGTCGCCCATGGAACGGCCCCAGCCTTGCGGGAAGGATCCAAGCGTTTCTTCCAAGAGACTTCTTTGCGCGGCTCCAGGTCTCTTGAATGCTTTTCTACACATGTGTGGTTACTTACTGCTGCTGCCAGCCTCGTGCAGCAGTGCAGGCCTTGTAGGATTCTCTCTACCGCCGTGTGGAAAATGAGGACTGTTAAGGATAGCCTTGGGCATCTGTTCCTCCACGGGAACTATAAGGACTTTGACACAGAGCTCGGGCTCCTTCGAGTCCTGTAATTGAGTTGTGTCGGGCGCATGTAGGATTGCCTGGGATGCGAGAAGAGATGAGTGAAGACGAGGTCGCAATACTAAGGACATACTACCACCGAGTGAAATAAGTAGCGTTTACTGCATGTTTTATTGATGAGCAGTAGTGGCAGGGAGAGAGACGAAAATAATAGGGCATTGCGCTTCAAGGCAATCTATTCAGTCGTGGGATTTGGACTGGCAGTGGCAGCCAATGATTCAGCACCCCTCGTGCAGAGCAGCTTCAGGCAATGTAATTGCCGAGTGGAAAGAGCTGACTACATGGGTGAGTACGGCTGAGTGGTGCCAGGTGGCATATATGTAGGACGAATCGCTTCAGGCCAACCACCATGGCTTCAGCTCAAGCAGAATCGCCAAGTAGGTCGGCAGTGCATGTCAGCTTAGGCAGGCGGGGAGACGGCTTCAACGGTCCGTATGTACTTGTATGCCTCCCCTTTAGAACTTTGGCCCAAAGACTTGCAGTAGATTCCTTGGTAGTTTGGTACTATTCCAAGCGTTGTTTTATTATGGTAAAGAAGTTGTCGGCGTCAAAACCACGGTAAGACATACTTATAAATATCCCAAATGTCAGTCGTATAGAGCTACATGGAAAGGCTGTATGCAATAACACTTTACACGAAAAAAGTTCGCATCAAATACGATGGTGTAGCTTCTAACCACGCCTTGTTATAATCCTGCAGATGCCCCGGTCTCAGCTGGTCACCTGATCAGAAAGGACACTGGCAGGCATAGTCAAATCTAAGAAGCCCAGTCAAAATGTAAGAAGGTAAGCCAGCAATCAGTGATCACACATGCAGGCTGCGGGGTTACACCATTCATTCAGCTTTAACGAAAATATAACTCATCCATCCAAGCACTGACGCTGTGCCTTTAAAATATGAGCATCTACCCTGCCCGCTTCCCTTTGTTGGACGTCAATAATCAGCCCATCTGGTGGTTAAGTTCATTTTATCTTGATCTGCTTCCACTCCGGGTGTGTATGTATTGGAAAATCGGCCGTTTCTTCTTACTAATCGCGGACGGCTATAAGTGGAGCACATCTTCGCCGGGGCCAGAATGGAGTCGCTCGATGTCTCGACTTTCGTTTATTTCCACCTCGACATGGACGTGCCTCATACATTCCGTATCTTGGATGTCCACCCAGGGCAGCGCGACGATCCTTTACGCTGCACCCTGCGCCATGTGTCCCAAGAAGAGGGGTCCCAGTGCAAATATGCAGGCCTCTCATATGCTTGGGGCGACCCAAGCGTCACGAGCGACATCATCGTGAACAACGCGAGGCACACCATCACCAGAAATCTGGAGATAGCCCTCCGCGGCCTCAGGGACAGCAGCGCCACGCTCACGCTATGGGTAGACGCCATCTGCATTAATCAGATGTATATACCCGAGAAGAACGACCAGGTCCGGCACATGCAAACCATTTACGCAAACGCTGACAGGATCATTCTCTGGCTAGGGGAGGCTTCCAGCGAGAGCGACAGAGCCATCGCATTCCTAAAGCACGTCTGTGCCCGACTAGAACAGGCCGGCATCGTTCCGGAAGAGAGTCTCGACCCCCAGCGGTACGTGGAAAAAGATTTCCTGCGCGGTCTCGGCGATTATCTGGAGCCGGCTTTCAACGACGACTGGGAAGCCGTGGCGCAACTGTTCATGCGGCCCTGGTGGACTCGAGCCTAGATCGTCCAGGAGTTGGTCGCTGCCCGAACGGCCGAGTTCCGTTGCGGAAGCACGACGATATCATGGCCCGTCCTGGCGCTCAGTATTTCGCTGTTGGCACACTGCAAGATGCCCATCACACAGTTCCCTCACCCTCTCCGCGTATCGTGCGCCAGGGACCGAGCATGGAGCATGCTCTACATCAAGTATGACTTTGCGGTCAAGCGTTCTGTCGATTTCCTCCGCCTCCTCGACCATCGGCGTCGAAACTGTGCGGATCTTCGAGACAAGATCTACTCTCTGCTGGGAATGACCAATGAGTTCACCAGAGCGAGGCTGAGACCCGACTATTCCGCGCCCGTCGATGAGGTTTTCGCCGCCGCTCTGGCCTCCGACATTGACGAGCATCAGGATCTAGAGGTTCTAAGCTTCGTAGACCACCTTGACGACCCAGGAGAGTACCCGTCGTGGGTTGCTGACCTGGCCCGGGGCCCAGAGACATGGAGGTTTTACAAGTACTGGCCACCTCCTCCCACATTCAAATGGACGCCCGCCTCTCCGATTTCCTTCTCGGACGATTTCCGGACCCTCCATGTCGATGGGTACGAAATCGACACTCTGCAGGATGCCAAGGTACAGAATACCGAGGAACCATTGCAGCGACGCACAACTCAGACCGGCAGAGGCTTGGAATGGACCTGGGACTTGGAGCGCATCGTCGACGACTTGGCCTCGGGCGGACCGCTGCAGGCTGCCAGAGCAATCCCCGACTCGGCCACACCAGAAGCACTACGCCGCTCTGTGCAGAGGATTGTTTACGAGACACTGATAGCCGGGCAATTGAGCAGCAGCAACGGCTGGATCCGCCATCAGGTTCGGTATGCAGACGAGGACATCAACCCCAGCGAGCCGTCCATGTCACCATCTAGCCCTGGCGCTGCCGCTGCCCCCTCAGCGCCCAAGTTGTTGTCCGTCGCGTCCCGTCATATTGGCCTCGCCCCGTCGGGCAACACAGTCGGCGCGGCATGCCAGGCTGAGCAGCCAGCAAAAGAGGCCCTTGTAGACAGACCCCTAGACGAGGTTAATATCCTGAAGCAGGCCTGCAGCCAGACGCTGGGCCGCAGTCTGCTATTGTCCGAGGCTAGGTTTCTCGGCCTTGGCCCCGTCATATCACAGCCGGGAGACGCCATCTTTGTTCTTTTTGGACTACGCGAAGCCGCGGTGTTGCGCCCGCGCGAGGACGGATCGTACATGTTTGTGGGCACGGCTTATTTCCATGGTTTTATGGAGGGACAGAACTTGAAGGATTTCGAGCTCGGCAAGTTTTGCAAGAAAAGACTAGCGATACGATGACCGATGTCATTTCTGGAAGGGCAGTACGGAGGCGTGGGTCATGGTCGGGACGCTCATTGATGCTTATTTTGCGCCACACACTCCTTCTTGGCAGTTTGCTTAGCGTATTGTTATTCTCGTTTGCTTCCTCTGCTGCGCGTTTTCCGTTTTTGCAGAGTAAAAACTGCCTCGAGTTTGCCGTCGATTGCTATTGCCGTTTCCCGCAAGGGCTGGCGGATGTACAGGACGGTGGTTGCCGTCGAACCGGGTGACGCGTCAGAATTTGCCTGAGATGATTAATATGCCATCACTGGAAGCTGCCTGTCGACATTCACGACGAGAGCGCCTTGGCTGACTTTGCTGACCCTGCCATAGTTTCCCATCGCCTGTGGGCCAGGTGCTTTCTCGTCGTGCTTTTTATAAGTTCTCCTTCTTGCAGCTCTACGAGGTGGGTGGTTGTCCAGCTCTTGTAGTCTCTTGCCGGCCAATTTCTCGTCTAGTTGGTAGCCCTTCTGGCGTAGATATTGGGATTGTCGCAACTGCACTACCATTGGTGGCCATTGACTCGCGATTGCCTGCCAGGGCAAGTAGCTGCTGCTCGAAACTATCCCCCTTCTTCCTGTTGAAATCATCGCGTAACTACAGTCTTGGTAGGTTTTTTTTTTCAATACAGTATACACTAATATACTGTAGCATATTATACTATCAAGCGCAATCAACGGGTACCCGATTGCTTAAATCCCTTTCAACTCCCACTGTAGTTCAACATAAGTGGTAGCTTGAAAACTCATACTGCCGGCACAAGCGGAATGGGCACAGAATCGGCTGTTCAGATTCACCATACGTGACGGCAACATAGTGTTGAATGAGGTGCTTCTGCTGCAGGTAAAGTGTCAAAATGAGAGCACGGCCCAATCCAACGTTAGGCCGTTTGTTGACAACGTCTTCGTACCACTGTCGCATGATCAACTCCGTGTTGCCCTTGACATTACCCATGAAGGAAACGGACCTGCGTGACGGCATATTACTCGGCACTTGTGACATTATTGCTGGAGTTGTGTCCTTGCGCTTAGGGACGAAAAAAAGTGATGACCTCATCATGCCAGGACAAGGAGAAGGAGAAATAACATTGCAATCCGTTTCATCCTCACTTTGTTCCTTTTTTTCCATTTGCATCATTTTTGTTTTCATTGCCGTTGCCATACAATGGCGACTAAGTGTCATAAACCGGTGGACGAACTTGCAGACGGGGAGGGAATGCATTAACGACGTTCAACTGTGATGGAGGCCTCGGTTCCGCGGCTAGATGGATTCAATTAAGGGCCAATCCATTGGACAAATTAATCCATAGCTGCCAATCTTGATGGAAGTCTACAGATCCAGCACTTTACAGCTGACAATTCTTTACTGTCCAAGTCCCTTCAGGCGGAATCCACCACGGTCATGGAATGAGATCTTGGTGCGCATCTACCTGGCTCCATTTCTGACTAGGTTCATCCCAGGCAAGGCTGATCTAGTAAACTACTTTTTTCCTCTTATCACAGCGAGCAAATTTCTAACTTTTCCGTCAGGTTCTCCTCATCGAGATGACAAAAGATGTTCCGACGCACCGACTGGACGCCATCGTGGTCCATGCCCAATTCTCGCCCCCAGCATCGCCTCCCTGCCGATCCAGCCTTGTATCTCTATCTCAATGCCGATAGACACGGGAAATTTTCTTTTACCCGCTTGGACATCAAGACCTTTACTCGGGTTCGTATCAGTTGTCCGTGCCAGTCACATGTACGCCACGTCGAATGGACCTCGAGTGTGTCGATATTTCAGCCGGCGTCCCTGCGCAAGCCACTGGCACTTGATGTGCCTTGCGCAGAAAGAATCATGGAAAAATCACCAGGCCCCATGTCCATGTACAGTAGCATTGCATGGATCATGCTAGATCAGCCACGGCAGCAACCCATTGTCATTTCCGACGAATTTAGTAGTCGGTAGACCGCCACCCCATGGTTCCGTTGTATTACTAAAGTCTCAGACAGAGGTCTTGGTGTTGGATATATGCTTCTGGAATGCATCCTCACGGCAAAGCCAAGACACCATGTAGCCTTGTCGTATCACACGGCACTAGCCGTTTTGAGAATCCAGGAGTTGGACATTTCTAGACGAATCTGGAGACAATCACGTCAAGTCCAACTGGCACTGGGGGCTCTCAACTGAAAAGGTTCACAATACTTGCACTGGTCCGTTTGTCCCCCGTGGCTTATCTGACAATCCTTTGATACAAGTCATTCATCCCGAGAGCCATACTAGTTGGAAAAAGGACATTTCGAGGTCTCAAGACAGCAGTGGGTTCAATTTCAAAAGACACAAGCCTCAATCTACTGCGGATAGCCGGCATTGTACGAGGCCACACGTCAAGCCAAAAAAACCCTGTCCAGCCCGTGCGCAAAAGGGCTTGGCAGACAGCGGCATTGACGCTTTCTCGGCCGGTCCCGCGTCTGGTTTCTGGTGACGTTACGGGGTACGGTCCGTGGTACGAAGTATGTCGTCAACGCCACAGACCCGGCTTGGACATACATGCTGGGAGCCAAGCTCGGGTCTCACAGGTTCACTAGGCAGCTTCGGGTGCGCACAAGCTGTGTCTCACAAGAGACCACAATGGTCCGCATACCAGTCGGCGAACCAGACAGCGCTCCTGTTCGCATCAAACATTGGAAAGCTTTGCCTGTTGCGGCCGTGGTCCGATGCGCAGCGACGAGACTAGTTCCCGAATTGTGACGGCAGGCCGGTCGAGGCACAGGGGTTGCGCAGCCGCGAACCACAGAAAAATCTCGACGGCTGCAGAGGCGCGAGTCATGCGGGCGGAAGCCCGTCCATTCTCCTGGAAACTGTGGAAATGACAGGTCAGCCCGTTGCGGGTTGACGTTCAATGTTGGGTACGGAGTATGGCGGAGCTGGTTCGATGACAGCTTGTCGATGTCGTTTCGACCCCATGTCTTGCGTGACACGCAGCCAGTTACCGTAAACAGCGCTGGGGCAAAGCGGCGACTACAACGGGACATATGTCACCTCCAGTCAAGTCGAGTGCAAGCCACGCGGGGAAGCTCGACGGAAAGGGTCCGGTCTGCTATGTGCTCACTCGGAGCAGCGGTGGCGGTTTGGACTCGTCGACTCTAGAGGTCTGGCCTTGAAGACTCCCAAAACCTTATGCCTACTCCGTACATGTATGTGTATGCAAGTATGTACAAAACCCTATCCACGCCACGCTTGTGCATGCAGCTCGTCCGCCGTGCCACGCCTCCTCGCCGGGGGTTGGCGACATGTCTGGTTCGTTTGAGCCGCCGCCACGCAAGCCATTTACCCTCCCTCCGGTGAAGGAATTCGGAGGCGCGAGACACTTTGAGCCGTACCATGGCAAACCCGAACCCCCATTGGACCAGTGGCCATGGACCGGCGCTGCAGAGGGCTTGCTTGAGCCGTGGGTGGTGAATCCCTCAGCCGTACAATCTCGATTTCCCCACAGCTTCACATGCGGCTCGATTTGCTTTTCCCGTACATGTATGGAGTACTATTTCCAGGCCCGATAGTCCCGGCTGTTCCTTTCCCATGGCTTCTTTGGACTCGTTCCTTGCCGCCGCATCCCCGATTTGCCTCCCTCTGCGCTGTGCCCACGATCCCAACTTTCACGGTGACGGCTCGCGGCGTTTCCGTCTTAAAAGGAACGTCTTCAAGACTTTGCGCGACCCGACCACAAACGTCCCAGGCAGCTCCAAGATGAGTACATGTATAGAACAGTGACGATGCGGTTCCCCATCAGCGCGGCGTTTCTGCTGGCTTGGCTATCCGCGTTTGCCCTGGCACAGTCGTATCCGTCCGCCACCGAGATCCTCGAGCAGCTTCCTCCCTGCGCGGTAAGAACCAGTTGACTCCTTTATCCCCGTATAGCCCCGAGTTTGAGTCGTTTGAAGCGGGACCAGATACTGACTAGACATGTGTGGACGGGCAGGCGAAATGCTTGACGGCCATTGTGCCGGGCTCTGCCTGCTCCGTGACAGACGTGCAGTGCATCTGTACAAGCTCGCCCATTCAAGATGCGGCAGAAAAGTGCATCCTCCGCGACTGCACGTCGCTGGCCGACGCCCTCTGTAAGCGCCGTTGCTTGGAAGCGCCAACTCTTCTGTCCCGTCAAGTGTACTGACGCATCTCGCGGCCCAGCGGCCAAGAACATCACGGCCACGGCGTGCCACGCCCCCGTTCGCGACCGGTCCGGCCAGTACGTCGCCGTGTCCATTGCCCTGGGGACAATCACGGTCCTGCTCGTCGTGACCCGGCTGGTGTTTAAGCAGTTCTTCGCCGCAAACGTGGGCCTCGCTGCCGACGACAAGGTCATCCTGGTCACGCTGGCCATCCGCATCTCGTGCATCGTCATCAACGTCCGGGGCCTGGCCGCCCACGGCCTGGGCAAGGACACCTGGACGCTCCCGTCGCACGAGCTGACCTCGTTTGCCGAGTGGCTGTACATCATGGAGGTGCTGTACCTCGCCGAGCTGTCCCTCATCAAGCTCAGCCTGTCGCTCTTCTACGTCCGCATCTTCCCGGGCAAGACGATCCGGAGGCTGCTCTGGGCCACCGTCGTCACCAACGCCCTCTACGGCGCGACCTTTGTCGTCACCGCCATCTTCCAATGCTCCCCCATCGACTACTTCTGGACCCAGTACGTCGAGCCGCACGCGACGGGGCGGTGCATCAACATCAACGCCTTTGGCTGGGCCAACGCCGCCATCAGCGTGGCCCTCGACATTTGGATGATTAGCATCCCGCTGAGCCAGATCCCCAAGCTCAAGCTGCACTGGACGAAAAAGGTCGGCGTGTCCATCATGTTTCTCCTCGGAGCATTGTACGTAGGACGCCGCCGCCGCCATGTGTCTTTCATGTCGTACTGATCAAAATCTGCCAGCGTCACCGTCGTTTCCATCCTGCGCCTGAGCTCGCTCGTCTCGTGGGCAAACTCGACCAACCCGACCTGGGACCAGTGGAACATTGTATACTGGTCCACCATCGAGGTCAATGTCGGCATGATCTGCACATGCCTCCCGTCCATTCGCCTCATCATGCTGCGAGCCTTCCCCAACATGACGCGCTCGCATCCCACCTACGGCACCGATTCCCTCAGCCACCACACGAGCGGTCAATCGGGGGTCGAGAGGAGAACCACGACGAGGGACCATCGTCTGTCCGACTTTGAACAAAGCGTAGGGCACACGTGGACGCGGATAGGTATGTGTTTCTGGAAAGGGCATTATTCTGTTCAGCGAGTCGGGCGTACTGACGTGCTACTGCAGAGTCCGAGGCCAAACAGTGAGCGACGGTTATCGAGACATTCTGGAGCTGTTATTTTGTTGTTTTTGCGATTTATATACCCAGTGACTCGGGAGAGACGCTACACGGACCATGGTGCTAGTACGATCTTGGTTCATCGACGCGGGCCGTTGTACATATCGTGGCTCAAATTAGATTAATCAAAACAGTTGGCAATTTTTCTCTGGTCCAAAAATGTCCATCTTTTGCTCCATGGTTCGAGTTCACATTGCTGTGCACTTGCTACGTAGTAAGTGATGGATTTCTAGACCCATTAGGGCTTAGATCAACCTCGGACGTTGGCAGACTCATCAAGACTACTGCCGGAATCGTCGACTGCAGTAAACTTTGGCTACTTATGCAAGCATGTTCTCACTAGTTTTTATGCCCGGTAAAATGGCCGCTTGTTTTTATGCAGTCATCGTGTGATGGCAAAAAAAAATATGCGGTCAGTGTGACTCGAACACACGACCTTCAGATAGGCATCCGTAGGATTGAAGTTAGACTTCAGTCTGACGATCTCCCAGCTAATCTATGACCGCACAATGCAATGAGCAAATCTAGGGCTGAAGTGATTCATATAGCCGCTTACTGCAATGTACCACTTTCACCCCTAGCACCAAACCCATCACTGAATATGCCTGTTGATTCATCTTTGCATGATACTTTTTTAAGGCCTTGCTAGTCTCTAGTATTATCGTAAAGCATTCACTTTATTGGTTTAATTTTATCCTGTACCTATCCCTGAATTTATACTAACATAGATCAGGTAAAGCTTTTATACAGACACCGTGTACCGGACATGTGGTTATACTAATGAGAGAATTGTAAAAGGCCAGTGGAAACACCGTATAAACACGTATCTATAAACAAGCACCGTAATGTGTGATAAGTTGCCGCAAATTATTTACTTTATGACATTTCTTTTCACGAGCACATGATAGAAATCAAAAGCAGAAGACACAAAAAAACGAAAAAAGGGTTCAGGTACCGGGTAACTAGTCACAGCCCGCTGCCACTCAGCCCCACAGCCCGGCCCCTCCACCACTTTCCAGCTTTCCGTCACCACGACTGCTTCACCATCATCCCAATCGCTTCTCGTCTCCCGCCCTCCGCCGTGAGCTCCCAGAGCTGTGCACGCACCGCCGCCCCCTGCCCGCTCCCTGCAGCAGATTCTCTGCCCCGTCGCCCGCCATGGCCAGCAAAGTCGACAAGATCGTCGCCCGGCTGCAGCAAAAGATTACAGATGGCGACTTCTACGAAGCCCAGCAGCAGACCCGGGTAGCCGCCTCTCGATATATCAAGACCAAGAGCTGGGACGCCGCCATCGACATCCTGTCCAGCGTCGCGCAGTCGCTCCTCAAAGCCGGCCAGGGCGGCAGCGGCGGCGACCTGTGCACCATGATGGTCGACGTGTACAAGCAAGCAGAGCTAACCCCGGACTCGACCTCCAAGGGACGATTGCTGACCTGCCTGCGGCTGTTTGACGGCGAGGAGCCCACGCGCAAGAAGTTCATCACAGAGATGCTCGCGTACGTCCTCTTGACCTTGGGCAACACCCCGTCGTAGACTGCTGAGCTGACACTCTTTGCCAACGCAGATGGTCATCGAAATTTGGCGAGTATCCCGCCGGAGACCCCGAACTGCACCACGTAGCAGGGTCCATATACGCCGAGGAGCACGACACGTACGAGGCGGAGCGGCACCTGCTTCTCGGAACTAAAGATTCCCCCCAAGTTCTATTCAAGATGGAGTATACTTGGTACAAAGAAGGCGACGCCCACCTCGCGCCGCACTTTGCAGGGCGCGCCGTCCTGCCCTACCTGCTCGTGGGCAACGTCCGGGCCGCCAACAACTGCTACCGCCTCTTCACCAGCGCCCTGAGCAGCGACAACCCCAGCCTCGGCGTCCAGGACGTGTCCAGCGCGAGCTCCGACATTCGCATCTTCCCCAGCCTCCCGCTCCTCAACTTCCTCGGCCTCCTGCTGCTCGCTATCCAGCGCGCCGCGCCAGAAGTCTACAAGGGCCTCGTCTCCAAATACGCCACGCAGATCAACGAGGCGGATGCGTGGACGGAACCGCTGGAAATGATTGCCGAGATGTACTTTGGCATCGCGAAGCCGCGACAAAGCAATCCCCTCATGGACATGATGAGCGGACTATTCGGCGGCGGCGGCGGCGGCGGCCCGCCGCCCCAGCAGCCGCGCAGGCAAGGAATCCGGGGTCCGGATGCCCCTGTTGCCGAAGGTCTAGATTAGATACAGGCGTGGCGGTACGCGAAACGGAGCGGGAAGAGATGGCCATGTATCATACGTAGGTGGCAGGAAACATAGAAAAACAGCGGTCTGTTATAGCAAAAACGCCGAGTGGCTTCAAACCGAGAAACAAGAGATGCAAGGCTCGTTATCGAATTTGATCCTCAGCCTCAAACATCCAGTTGTCGTCCGCGAGAGCCGCGACCTTGGCGCGTAGACTGGCCCTCACGGCCTCCAGCAGCTCTGCAAACAAGGTCAGCCCAACGACGGCGAGCAATTGTCAAGCCCACTCACCCTCGGGTTGATCCGGCACCGTGCTATGGTTGATGCTGTGATGCTTCACCGCCTCTGCCAGTCTCTGTCGCTCCTCTAAAGAAAACTCATTAGCCTACACGCTCGTAGCGCACTTCCCCCCCCTCGCTCGCAACGTACTCTCGCTCTCGTCCCGGTCCTCGGGCTCGTCCGTCTCCAGGATGGGCGTCGGTGGATCGCCCAGCTCAATCTCGCCCTGTTGGTTCCTCACCACAATCTCGCCACTGTCCGGGAGCACTTCCACGTCGAGGCGCACCGTGTCCGCCGAGTTGGAGGAGCTCGCCGTTGGTCGTCGCGTGAGCTGGCTGCGGAAAAGATTAGGTCGAACGGCCGACGCAACGGCTCCTGGTGGCGCCCGGGGCCGGTGGGTGCCGCTTGTGGGGGGCTGGGCTCTCTGGCTCATGAGGCGATCTTTGCCAGGGGTGATTTGTATGAATATTCCGAGATTTGTGTCGGCGCGATGCGAGTGACGGGTGGGAGGCTCGACTTGTGCAGCTTGTGTTTATTGCGGTGATGGAGTTGGCATGCAAGGCGGGATGGAGGGGCGGCAAGGGAGGAGGGTCTGTGGGTGATTGGCATGGGTGCCTAGGCGACGGGTAGATTGCCCGCCACGGCTCTGTAGGCTGACATTGGATGCGGAAGATGGCAATGAGTACGACTGGGTTGGTTGTTAGTCTTTTGTGAGCCCGATCCAGACGTCGACATGAACAGAATGCATGGCCGGTAAACAACGACGCGCATCGACATTTGTAGGTCCGGTTAGTGTGGTAGCCTACACCAGGACCATGGGGGTCATAAAGTCATGGGATATCAATTTCAAGTCTCCGCCAACAAGAACTAGTTGAAGTAGGAAACAGCGCTGCTACCAGTGTACACATCCAAACCGTTTCATCCTGCACTTGGACAAGACCAAACCTTCCCACCACCTCCCGAATTATGCTCCCGGCCCATTCGCCCAGCATCCTCGGCTCCAGCTCGCATTTCTTATATCGATAGATTGTAAGAGTACTCATCCTCCATGTTCTGACTGACCCAGAGAACAACGGAGCTGCACGCCATTAGTACCTTTGATGCACGAGCATGGGACGAGAGACGTACCTGAACCCAACCAGCGCATTGCTCACGATATTCTCAATGCCCATTCCCAGCGCAGGCATAGAAACACCAGGCACCACAAACTTGAGCACAAAGACCGTCACGCCACCAGCCATGCCGCCTGCGAGGGCGGCAAACCCCAGGAAAAGCACCACCCGAGCCTTCCACGCCACCCCAGATCCGCTATAGCTGAAGGAGTCGGCGCTCAGGCGTGTCTTCTCAACAGAGTTGATGATGAGCATGCCGAGGCTGGAAAAGACAAGCGGGAGCCAGTCGACAAATTTAATGTGGACGTTGGAGCCGTTGCGGGCGGATTTAGACCATACGGCCGAGTCGAGCATGACGTAGAATGCGAGCGAAAACTGCCACGGCCATCGGATCAGTCGCGAATTCCCAACACGGTGGAGGCGAGGGAATAGACGTAGAGGGAAAAAAAAATCTTGCATCCTCAGCATAGTAGTCGCTGGCAACTTACCAGAGCTCCTGCAGCGTAGACGCCCGTGTTTCGTGCCCAGACACTGTTCAGCCACTCGGGCTTTCGGAACTTCCAAAGACGTTCTTCTGCCATGATGCAAATGCGTCCACGTAGATGGGTTTGAATCCGCAGGTCTGTAGGTTCGAGACTCGGCGCCGGCCGGTGCTTGGTTGTGTCGAAATGGTGATGTCGTTGCTGGTTTGAAGCTGTGGCTGGCACTGGCGGAGCATGACGAGGCACAAAACGTCAGGGTCACGTGGGGACGTGACTCTGTCTGGGCATGCTCCTGTTTCCACCGACAACGCCGAGATCAAAGGGCCAAAAAAAGGAATTACAAATTAAAGAGCTCAGGCGCAAAAAATATATGACAGTTTTAGCTACTGATATCGCTTTCACTTTTCAATTCCATCCACAATTTAAGCGTGGAATACCGCCATGTCTGGCCCGAGGCCGGCACTGTCGTGGAGAATCGTCGCTCGTGTTGCGGTTATACGAGATGATGGATCTCGGACTGCGCGGACTGTTTGCTCTGGCAAGCAGTTTCAGGGAGCCTGAATCGATACTCCATAATGCCCCTCTATCGGTCGGTTCGCATCAGAATGACCAACATTATTAGCCAGTCGGGGGAACATGTTGGTATGAACATGTTCTTAATTCTGCATGCTTGGCACCCCATTCGTTTGTTCAAATGTCAGGGAGATAAAAGTGGGACACTGCCCGCCCCTGCACAGTGAGCACCCTGCGTCGGCGGTTGAAGTGCGGCGGAGCCTCGCATGTACCTGCTGTCTGACGCATCTAAATTTTGATGGCTCCTGCCAGTGGCTCACTAGGACGGTACGTACCTCAAGGGGGAGCCGTCTAGACAACCCTGGAACTGGGAACGAAACAACACTGACCACCTGCACTGGCACCACTCAGCCGTCCAGCCGCACCGTCGAGCCCTTCTCTTCTTCTTTTTTCCTCCCATACCATCGCCATCGCCAGACCCAGCGTTATTTCTCCCGCTGGTGCTGTTCCTGGTGCTGCTACCAGCCGACATTCTTTTGCACCATCGCTACAATATACTGTTTTCTTTGGCCCTCTCCGACTCGTCTTGCTTCGCTTCCCCTCGCTCCCGCCCTGCCGCGTTGCCATAGCCTTGGCTTTGTTAATTCTCACCGCCGACGACGTTCGCGAACCCCGACTCGACCCAGCCGGGCCCAACAATCGTAATAGAGCTTCGTCCGCACATCGCATCGCCATCATGAGACTGGCCAACTATCTTCCGGGGCCCTCGGTGCTCCTTGCTGCTATTGCATTCGTTACCCCTGCAATCGGCCAGAAGGACACACCATCGAGCAAAGACGACAGCGCCTCGGCCACGCCGTCACCCAAGGACACTGGAAAGTCTACGCCGTCCCCATCTCCTAGCAGTAAAGAGGAACCGTCAAGCGAGACTCCATCGCCTTCGTCATCGGGCAAGGCCTCCATCTCCAACACCGGTACTCCTGTCACCACCGACCCTACTGGCAAGGCAGTCATCACTGGTGGCCCGTCCGCCACGACCGGTGGTGAACTGACGGGGTTTCCCACCTTGACCGGTCCTGGAGTGATTCCGTCATACCCACCCCCGAGTGTGCCACCGACGAACAATGCGCCCTTTATGCAGCAGTCCAGCCTTCCTGATGGGACCGTCTTCATTGCCGTCGGAGCCATCCTCGGCGCTCTGGGATTGGCGCTTCTTCTATGGCGCAGTATAGTCAGCCTCATGCTTCACAGATCCGTTGCGCGCGCAGCTATGGCCCAGCATAACGGCGACACCAAGACGGGCTTCCCTGCGCCTCCTGCTCCGTTCTACAAGTATTCTGACCATGCCTCGACCATGTCTGTGGGTGGCGGCGCGGGCGCTACCTCTGCTGCGTCTGCTGGCCGTGGAGTTCGTCGAACCAACCGCGGGCCTATTCCTTCCGCAACGCCAAGCCAGTCTAATTTATTCTTCTCTCCCACTGCTGGTACTGGCGCTTCAGCCAACCGCGCCTCAACGTTTCTGCCGTCTGGCTTCTACGCTGCTGGCACCAGTTTACCGGGGGGAGGAGGCAATCAGACTAATTCGATCAATCTTTCCAACCTTCGGCCCGAATCGCGGGGCCACTACGCCAATGCCTCACGGAACACCATGGATATTTCACCTCCCGATTCTCCTGGAGTTGCAGCTCGCCGGGACATGAGCAGCAGCTCACTCAACCTTGCACCCGGTCAGCGTGCCCCGAGTGCCTACTTGGATGATTTGTTAACCGACGATCCCAATGCATTGCCGCCACCTCATATGCCTCCGTCGACGGGCCCACGTCGTTCCGTCAGTCCAGGCAACCGCTTTTGAAAAAGTCATCGACAGACCTGAATGGGACAAGGGCGAAGCGGAGTGAGGCGTTTACTTGGATAAGCAGCGTGTTTACTACATTGTTTATTTTTTATTTTTTGAGAGTTGCTCAAATTTGGATTTGTCAGATCAGGGCGTTGGGCATTGTTTCTTCACCTTGTTGTGTCAAGGGTTGTCGTGCATATAAATAAACTTGTAATAAGGGGTTCCGGAACGACAATCCATCTGGATCCGTCGTCCGAGAGGATGGAACAACATTGCCTGGGCGAGCATAGGAGCCGTTAAGAGCATGAATTGTAAAGGTGATGCCGCAACTAGGGATGGCATGGTCTGTGTGGCATAAAGAGGGGGTGCAAATCGGTAACCTAGCCCATTTATGCTGTCCTAGTTACGCTTTTGAATAGTACATATTCTATATTTCACCCAGCCCACAATGCCGTTTTTCGAGTGTCGTCGGATGTAGAGTTATTGCCAGGCCGGGCTTTACATGCATTACTTGTTTGGGGGAATACGGAAAATGATTTGTCGAATTTATATGAACTTTGTGGTATCGTGTGCGCCATAAAAACCTAAATACAAGCCTGGTGTGCTAAAATAGAAAAAGGTATATGCTCATGCACAACGCTCATCAAATGTCTCGGTCGTGGACCAGTGTGTCTACATATCCAGACGCCGTTTTGGGCGTCATTTATATACATTTATTTCAACTACTCGGCGCGGCTGCATCCAGGGCGGCCAGGCTATCCCTGGCGCCCTGGATATCCTCCAGCCGGATGCCGCTTCTGTGGCACATGCTTCTAAAGATGCCGCCCTGGTGCCAGAGCGCGAGGGGGGTGTCCATCTCGGCGATGTGGCCGGCGTCCATGACGCAGATGCGGTCGTAGCCGATGATGGTGCGCAGGCGGTGGGCGATGCAGAGGAGGGTCCTGCCCCGGAAGCCGGTGGCCATTGTGTTTTGGATCTTGTCGTCGGTCTCCATGTCGACGGAGGAGGTGGCCTCGTCGCAGACGATGATCTGGGAGCCGCGGACGAGGGCGCGGGCGAGGGCCATGAGCTGGCGCTGGCCGAGGGAGAAGTTGAGCCCGTCCTCCTCGACGACGGAGTCGAGGCGGATGCGGGACGGGTCCGGCCTGCGGTCGTCGAGGGACGCGCCGGCCGGCACGAGGTGGGCCTGCCGCAGGGCCGACCACAGCGCCAGGTCGGCGTGCTCGCCAAAGGGGTCGAGGTTGCTGCGGACGGTGCCGCGGAAGAGCGTCGGGTCCTGCGGGATGATGGCCAGGCGCGAGCGCAGGTCGTACAGGCCCACGGTGGAGATGTTGACGCCGTCGACGGCGATGGTGCCGGCCGAGATCTCGACGAGCCGGAACAGCGTCGACATGATGGAGCTCTTGCCGGCGCCGGTGCGGCCCACGATGCCGACGCGCTCCCCGCCGCGGATGTGCATGCTCAGCCCTTGCAGGACGAGCGGCAGGCCCGGGCGGTACCGCATCTCGACGTCGCGGAAGACAATCTCGCCCTTCTCCGGCCAGGTGCTGCGCACGTCGACGGTGTGCAGCGGGGCCTCCTCGTCGAGCTGCGTGCCGTAGTGCTGCAGCCGCTCGACGGCGTTCATGCCGTTTTCCACCTCGGCCAGCTGCCGGATGGAAAACTGCAGCATCTGCACAATGGACAGGATGTAGCTGAGCACGAGGCCGCCGATGGAGGGGTTGACGCTGAACCGCGACGTCACGACCAGGATGGCCACGGTGAAGACGAGCGCGTTGCCCACCATGTCCAGCCGCACGGACAGCCACCTCTGGTTGGAAAAGGTGAGGTAGTAGGCGCTGTTCATTTCGTTGATGGAGGACCGGAGCTCGTTGATGAAGCGCGTCTTGAGGCCGTACGCTCTGATGGACGCCACGCCGCTGAGGCCCTCGCCGAACTTGGCAAAGACGTTGGATCGCAGCACGGACTCGAAGCGCTTTACTTCGCGTGCGGATGCTCTGTAGTACGACGCCGACAGGATAAAGAGGCAGTAGAGCGGGACAAGGGCAATGGCAAACCAGTGAAAGTAGGCTATGATAAGGGCGAAGACAGCCGTCACCATGGCGAGGGTGAAGAAGTACATGCGGATGGCATCCGTTAGGTTGTTGTCCGTGACATCCACGTCGCGGGAGAAGCGGTTGGTGATGCGTCCAAGGGGTGTCGTGTCGAAGAAGGACATGGGAGCCCGCAGCACGCGCTGCACCGCGTCTCGCAGCATCACCTGGCTCGAGTTGGTTCCCAGAACCGTCAGCGTGACGGAGAAGGCGAACATGAGCAGGGCCTGGACAACACCCAGGGCAGCGTAAATGCCAATATATTTCCCGGTAGAGTAGCCGAACTTGTCGGATGTCCACCACGACAGCCAAAGACCGGTGGCGATGTTGGCGCCCTGTGAGATGATGAGAATGGTGATGACGAGGGGGGCGTTAAAAATCGAGCCCGAAGCGCGCACGTATGCCCCGTAGACTGACCAGGGCACGCTCGATTCAGGCTTTTCTTCCTGCTGCATAAGAGCCGCTCCTTTTTTGTTCTGCTTGCGCTTCTTGCGCTCGTCGGCAAGATCAACGGGCGCCGCGGCCTCGGGCTCCTCCTCCTCTTCCTTCTCCTCGACGGCCGTGGTCTCCATGAGAGTCTGGAAGCCTTGATGGTCCCTCATTAGGTTGTCAAAGGTGTCAATGGCCTGGATTTTGCCGCCGTCCATCCATATGATTCTGTCACATCGGCTAAGGACCCAAAGCTGATGCGTGGCCAGAATACGACACTTGTCTTTGAGGAGACCCAGGATGGCATGATCAAAGATGTGCCGGCCGACGTGGGCATCCACCGCGCTGAGGGGGTCGTCCATGATGACGATATCTGCGTCAAAGTAGATGGCACGAGCGATATTAAGTCTTTGCTTCTGGCCACCAGAGATGGTAATGCCTCGCTCGCCAATTTCGGTCTGGTCACCGTTGGGAAGCATGTCCAGATCTGCCTGGAGAGCACATCTAAGGTGGGGGGTTAGCTGTTGGTACACTAGAGGCAGACTTTTTTAAAAAAAACAGAGAAAAGCCAAAAAAAAGAGGAAAAGTCACTAGGAATAACTTACGCTCGGACGACCTCGCGGTACCAGTCGCGGTCCATGTCCTTGCCAAAAGTAATATTGTTCTGGAGGGTTGTGTTTTGAATCCAGGCATACTGGGGGCAAAACGCCCGTGAAGCTCCGTATACGACATCTCCATGAGTCTTTCGCATATCGCCTGCAAGAGCAGCAAGAAGAGAGCTTTTACCGCTGCCAACGGTTCCAATCACTGCCACAAGTTCATTGCGGTCAATCTGGAAGTTGAGGCCCTGAAGCTTGAAGGGCTCCCGTTCCTCGACCAACGTGCTTGCTGAATCCTCCTCCGAGTTCTGTGACTTTGCAGGTTTCGGCGTACTTGTGCCCTCCTTGGTGCCGTCCTTTGCCCCCTTCTTTTCTTTCCCAGCGCCGGCCATGGCGGCCTTGTCCGGATCTTGCGTGGTCGTCTTCTCCCAGGTGAAAGCAGCGTCAATCATCTCGACGGCGTTGCTACCTTCGGGCCTGTAAACAACCTCCTCTTCTTTTTCCTCCTGCATCAGAAACTCCTCAATGCGCTTCATAGACGACCAGGCATCGGTGACTTGGCCCAGGACGAGGGGCAGCAGGTTGAGCGGGATGCGGAGACCGTTGAACAAGGCCAGAGACGAAAACACCTCGGCGGGGGCCAAATCGTGGTTTGACAACGAGTACACGATGAAGGAAAGCATCGAGGCAAAAATGGGCAGCGACATGCTGACGGCATTGATGGCGTTGCGAATGGCCAGCAGCACCTGGATGGAGTAAATCTCCTTGGCTCGGAGCTCCCCAAGGCGGGCTATAAAGGCCTTTTCCCAGCCGAAATACTTGACAAAGCGGACGGACTGAAGAATCTCCTGGGTCAGAGAGACTCGCCGGTCGGTGATTTTGTTGATGGCTTTGCGCCGACGGAACAGGGATTGAATGGCCTTTGTGAGCGCGGGCACACCAACGACGAGCAGGGCAAAGCCAGCCAGTGCGCTGTAGGTCAAGTTGACAAGAAGCAACACCAGGGTGATGAGACAAACAATGGGCGAGGTCCACATCATGTGGAAGAGGGCGGAAGCTTGGTCGATGCGGTAGGTATCAACGCTCATCAAGTTGACAATGCGGCCGTTTGCCCAGCCGAGGCCGTCCTGCTGCGGCTTGCCCTTTTTCGCCTTGGCCTTGTTCTTTTTCTTCCCTGCACTCTTCTCATCGGTGGCAGTCTCATTGCCCTTTTCGACCTCATCTGCGTCGTCTGACTCGGGCATGATGGACGGCTTGACACCGCCGGCCTTGGCCCTGCCGGAAATCACCATGGCCTTTTCGTAAATGAAGCCAATGAGAACACCTCTGCTCTGGCCACCTATCATCATGCCCCGATATATAAAGTGACTGACGCCGAATGCCTGGAAGATTTGCATGGCGGTCACACCGATGGCGAGGCCAATGCCATTTTTGATGGGGGGCGGAGGGCCGCCTCCGACGTTGGCGATGTATGCGTCTGTGGCGAACTGAATGAGGAAACGCAGGGTGAAGGGCGCAAGGACCTGCAGGATGGCGGTGATGAGGGCGCAGAGGCCGCCTAGCCAGAATTCAAACTTGAAGGTTTCGTGTAGGGCCCAGAACAGAGGGTTCGTTTCGCCATTTTTCACGCGGCGGCGGAAGGATTCTTGGACTTTTTGCGTGAGAGGTTCCACCGCCCGGTCGGGGTTCACCTGCCAAATATCGCCCTGTTCGAGTTGTCGTTTGTAGCCAGTCTATGCAGAATGGGTCTCGTCAGCCAAAGAGAAATAACTGACGATATGGGCAACTTGTCACGAGATGGTGGTGTAGGGACAAGGGGAAGGGGGGGGGGGGCTGGGATGTTCTTTTAGCGGCACGTGGTTGGCCGGGATGTCAGCTTGGCGGCACCTTGGGGACACAATAGGGACAATGCGACGCTTGATAGGATTCCTATCTGGGGACAATCAAATGCCACAATGCGACTTACCGTCATCAGCGGCGTCATCCACTGAAAGGTCAACTTGCTGAAGAAGCCCGCCGTGTACTCGCGCGAGACGATTCGCTCCTTGGGGACGGGCGGAACGCCGCCCCATCGCAACGGGTTCACCTGTCTGTACCAAGGTCTGGCTTTCGTTGCCGGCGGGCTAGTGGCATAGCTGGCGTCTGTCGCAACGCTCTTTGTGACGTCGAGGCGATGGGGGCTGGCCGCTACGGCAATGTCGTCTGTGTCGCCGTCGTGCTTTTCGCCCGTGGCAAGCTCTTTGTTGTCGGAATCGGATGGATCTGACGGCGCGTCATGTCGCTCCTCGTTGCTGGGCTGTATCGCCGCCGCCGCCGCGTCTGCAGACTTGAGCTCGAGCTCCTTGCTCTCTGGCGGGTCGGCCATTACGGCAAAACGCACAACTGTTTTGCAGGCGCTCCGTGATTCCAGAAGGCCAGCAAGACAGATCCGCCAAGGGATGCAAAGAAGGGTCCGCGACGGGGATTCGACTGGCTCTTGGGTTGCAAAGAAGAAAAGGAAAGGAAAGGAAGGCAATGGCCGCCCAGGTAACTCGCAAAATGGATCGGGCCTCGGGATTTGGCGATGCGCGACGCCCGACTAGTGTGCTGATAAATAGACACTGGATGGAGAATCAAGGATGGAAATTCGAGCGATGGTGGAGTCGCTGGGGTGACGTTGAGATTTTGCTATTGCTGCTTTCCCGTGTTTCTCGTCGACTTATAACACTAGAGAGGGATTGTCTGAGAATACCCTCGGCAACCGACCAAACAAGCAAAATCCGCAGCCCTGCGGAGTTTACCAACTCGAGGGAAGACAAAACGGGAATGCTACGCTACATATGTACCCTATTCCACCAGCGTCGTCTCAACGCGGACAAGTCCAGCAGGCGTGGGCAGTGGCCGCGAGGCTGGACTATTGGAATGCCCACTGCTGGTGAGCGACGGTCCGGAAACACCATCCGGACAGAAACTCTTTTTTGATGCTCCGGAGCTGCGCGAGGACTCTGCGCTCCTACAGGCCGAGATGGCACGATCCGTGTGCCATCCCTTGGCTTCTGTGATTACCTCGCAGCCTTGCAACTGGTCGAAACAATGGCCGTCCCCATAAATGGCCGTGTGGAGGGAGGGGAGGGTCAAGGAACAACGATCCAGACTTGACTTCCCTGGCCGTGGGCACCAGGCGGCCCATCGCCATCGGTGCCGGACCGGCCATCAATCCCTTCATCGCCATGAGCGCGGCGAGGGTTGAGAACGGCAGTGCCCACACTTTGCTGCCGGCATCATGCCTGCGGCTGATGTACCCGACAACCAACAACTCGCAGCCATCGTTTCGTCCTAAAGCAGGGCAACGTTGAATCGCCAAACACGCCCAAGTGGAGAGGGGCAGATTGATGACAAACCAAACGCGCCAGTGCCAAAGTCCAGGCATCATGCTTCCGTAATTTCTGGATAAATGTACATGTAGCCACTGGCGGCGTGTCGCCCTCCACATGATACGACGTTCTAGTACTTTATTTTAACTCCAGACGGAATTCCGCGCCTCTTCTGAAAGCGAAATCCGGCTCACCGTGGCCATCCTGGAGAAGCTACACAAGGAGGCGTACATGGATGTTTTGCATATGAAACCTACATGTACAGTACATATGTAGTATCTTAACTTGACCCATGGTTTGCTTGCTTGCATTGGCGGGCACAGGCGGGCTTCCATCCCTTTGACTGTGTTAAGATGCAGCGGATGTAGCGGTCCCCATTTTCCCGCGATACTTATCGGGTACCTTCATTTATAGCTATTCACATAGACTCTATAATGTAGCTCTTTATATCTAAGAAAATCATAGTAACTTCTATTATTATATTATTTCTTGGTGTAGAGATGTACCTTTAAATATTAGGTTTCTAATTGGCTAGAACGCCAATTCGTGACATCCGCTGCACCTTAACAAAGCCAAAGGGATTCGTCCCCTCCTCCGGGGCGGGATTCATCAATCATGACGACTTCTATAAGCCAATGTGGGCTGAGAGATTGGTACACCGCAAACAGCGACTATCGAAACTCGGCCAAATTGAAGTTTCTTTTGCGGATAGGACACAAAGGCAGCATATTTATACTATGTGGGTGGGACGTTTTCCTCGCGTCGGTCCCGACACTCCGTCTGGACCCGTCGGAACAGACCAGGGCAATACCACAGGTGTCGACGATATTCCCATCTCCATGACGAGAGGTCTTTCCAGCGCGCTCAGCACATCGATTTCCGCATGGCCACATGCACGCTCGCAACCACAAGCGCTACGCTCGCACGGCCGGCATGGAACTAGCCAGAGCTTGCAATGCGAATATCGAATCAATACTGAATGATGCGCTGCCACTCCGTACTACGTAGTGCCAGCTGCCGCGGTGGAGCTCCATTCACTTCAATGTTCAGATCTGCCCCACTATTAGCAGATTTCTCTACACATCGTCAGTGCCATCGCGAAAGCTCCCGCCGCGCACCGCCTCGCGACTCCAAAGCCATCGACACCTCACGCAGCGCCGCACCCACGCCAGCCAGCTCCCACGCGCCGGCAAGCACAATCCCGCCATGGCCGCCGACGAGCTGCCGTCCGTCGCCGTCCCCGGGCACGTCCTCGGCCCTGCCTCGAGATACACCCCCGGCCCGGGCACGCACACGCACCAAGGCAACGTCGTCTCCTCGCTCCTCGGCCGAGTCCACGTCGCGGCGCCCGCCAAGGCCCCCGGCCCTGCGAAGCGGCTCAACAAGATCACCGCCGCCGCGGCGGAGGAGCTGCCCACCGTCTCCGTCGCCAGGCACGGCCGCAGGCGCGAGATCCTGCCCGACGTGAACAACGTGGTCCTGGCGCGGGTGGTGCGCCTGATGCCCAAGCAGGCCATTGTCGTGATTCAGCAGGTGGGCGATACCGTTCTCCAGACCGAGTGGCAGGGCGTGATTCGCGTCCAGGACGTGCGCGCCACGGAGAAGGACAAGGTCAAGATGTACGAGTCGTTTAAGCCGGGCGACATTGTCAAGGCCCAGGTGGTACGTTGCCGTTACTGCGTCTCGATGGACTTGGATGAATCGGGTGGCTGACTTGTTTGCGTGTAGATTTCGCTGGGAGACCAGGCGAATTATTACTTGTCCACGGCGTCCAACGAGCTGGGCGTCATTATGGCGGCGAGCGAGGCCGGCAACGACATGGTGCCCGTGAGCTGGAAGGAGTACCGGGATCCTGAGACGGGGTTGACCGAGCCGAGGAAGGTGGCGAAGCCTAGCTGAGGGGTTTGCGGTGAAGACGGCTGGGATTGTACTGGGCTCAGCGGGAATACTTTACGTACTGTACGCCTGCGGTGGCTTCGGCCGTGGTTGAGTCGCGGCCAGACTCTGCGTTTGTACGCTCCGCCGCCGCTTGACTCGACGATATGAGGCGATTGAGATGGGAGGCGGCGAATCGTGGAGCCGGCTGCCTTTATGGGGCGTACGGCTTGTCTGGGAGATCTGGCTCGTCTGCGGGATGGCGAATCTTGCAAGGACACGCTGGTGCCATGGAATGAGGGTGCCAACTTTGCGCAGGCGCGTATATAAGTAAGATTGACGATTCAATATAGAAATATACCCTGGCTACAAATGCCGAGACGTTGTATTGATCACGGACGAGTTTGTTGGTGGTCCGGATATTGGTCCGCTGTGGGAGGACAAGTATATTTGACTAGAGTACGGATCTAGCTATCGTGCTCTATACTGTGATGTCCTTGCGCATATTGACGCCGAGTGCCGTCGGGCCATTTTAGAGTCAGTCGAAATGGAAGCTGGGAATTGACGGTATCTCGGTCGAGATTGGGCGAGGGTTGTTTCCTGCCATACAAACTCTGGCAGCAGGACGCGAGGTATAAACTGATTTCTCATGGTGAGAGGGAGACAGGGGAGAACAGACGACTGCTTTTCAGGTTGGCTAGCTAGCGTCTACTTTGGAGCTTACAAGTTTGGTTGAACCCAAGGCATGCAGGTCCGACCATTGACGTGTTGATAAAAGACATGGACCGAATAGGCAACTCGCTCGTTGACACTAGCCAACAAACTGGTGGTGTTTTCCGGTGTCGTGATTCAACCGGTTTAGCAGTCGAGTTCCACTGCCCATGGCCGGGGAAATGCCTACATCTCGGCTCGAGACGCACCTCGATTCACGACACTGAGCCAACGTGCATGTAAATAAAAGGAGTGCAAGGGAGAGATTCAAATACGACATGGAACGTTTCACAGGATACACGGGAGGCAGCATGGATTACGCCGAGAGAGTATCCGGACGACGTTGACGTGCTCCAATTCAAACGTACCAGAGCTAGAACTTTTCCCAGACCACCTACATGCACCATTTTATCATGCCCAACCCAAGACGTCATATGCCCAACTCCACAACCCATGATTGTTTATTCCCAGGAGACGGATTGCGCAGATCCACGCCGGGGTTTTTCACTGGAAACCCTGCCGGTTGTCAGCACCGCCAGCCAGACAGCGGGACAATGGAAGCTTCTATCAACTCACCTATTCGCATTCTTGCCCTGCCCGGATCCATGCGATGAAATCGAATCGTCACTCGCAATGTCCATGTTTGCGATGCTATTCTGCGCCGCCAAGGAAAGTTCTAGAGAAACATTTCAGCATTCAACCAGCGAGCATCCTAGGTGGAATCCGGCTCATGTGCTCCCAACGTACTCTCGTCGATGCTGATTTCCTCCTCAATGTCCTCTCTGCTCCTGCGCCGCTGCCGAACCCGCTCCACCGTTCGTTTTATGTAGTAATCCATCTGGGCGAGTAGCGCGACCAACAACCAGTAAAAGCAGAACCACGCACAATTTCAAACATTGAATACAAAAAATTCAACAGAGGAGGAATCTACAGGCAGCCCCGTCCTCTTTTATCCCCCAGGTGCCGGTATTTACACTGTCTCTGGCGCGGAATTTCTCTGCCGCCCCTTGGCAAACCTTGAGTTCCGGACGGTTGGAGATCCCCCCCCCTTCTCGGCGGCAGGCCTTCCGAACCCGTTCTTTTGGGTTTTGGGCGCCGCGTCGACCCCGGCACGTCTGATACATGTCTGTTACAGAGCGCTTCCGCGGTCGTCAGGGTGGGACTTGTGCAGATCTGAGCCGTCCGCGCCACCGTATCTTGACAGGTGAGACCGAGATTGCGAGTGGAGGCCCCCGGCAGAAGGGTGGCTTTTGGAGTTTGCGGCATGTCGTCATGGCAGCTCGCGCCGAGACAAATGAAGTAATGGAGAGGGCAGACTTGCCCGTCGCGGCGCGGTGTTGAGACACGGCCTGCGGGCAGTTATGCATGCCATCGACGGCGGAGGCTGCTCGTCGTCGACGGGCTTGGTGGGAAAAAGCAGAGGGTGAGGGCTTCAGTGTTGGCAGGAGTCGGGGGTCGGGACCTGGTTGGAAGACTTCAATGTTGAATGCTGGGCGGCCCTGAACCCGTCGACGCCCGTGGGAGGCTTGTGCCGCAAGGTTTGGTGGCGGCCGATGACGGGTTTCAGGGCTACCGTTGACGTGTCCCGCTGCGATAAGCTTCAGCCACTTGCTTCGCTTGTGAACACGACGTGGTTAAATACTGGACCCTGCTTTCTGGTCTTTCAATGCTGGCTGATTTCGTCGGTGCGCGGCAAGGCAACCAGACGGAATGGGGCGGCGTGGCCGTGACGGGACATCGGAGACATGCACCACGGCCAGATTGACTGCATATCTGCGTCAAGACGCAAGACGCATCGATGGCTCACGGTTTCCAATGGCAAGACATGGACGGCGCGCAATCGAGCATGATTCTCGTCAAGGTCATTTGTAGCACTAGTTTGAAAATAAAGGCCGCCCGTGTACTATTGATAGCTTACATCAGTTCATAACGTCATAATCTCACACCGTCATAACATCATTGCCCGGTATTCCCGTCATCATGCCGCCCACGGCTCCTCGACCCGTCACCACGCCTGCGCCGACGGTGCCCATCCTTGGGCCTCTGGGCATCGTCTTTGCGTGGTTCCATCGGCCGCTGCTTCTTCTTCTCCGTCTCCTCCATGGCCACCTGAAACCCCTTCCTCGCGACCTGCTGCCTCACGCTGTTGGGGTGCTTGTGGCCGAGGAACCCGTCGACCAAGGCAGACCCGAGCGATGCCACGGCCACCTTGGCGCCCTTTGCGCCCTTCCATTGCCCCGGGTCGCCGCGGCTGTCCAGCGCGGCCGACAGCCCCGTCGACACGGCCGTGATGGCGCACGTTCGCACAATCGGATTCTGCCACCACTGGGACGCCGTGGCCTGCCACGTCTGGTGCCGAGGCGCCGACGACGACGTGGACTTGCTTCGCCGGGTGCCGCTTTCCTGGGGCATCCTTGCGTGGCGGCTCGGCTCGCCACGGCCGCGAGTCGAGTCTCGGTCGCTCATTCTGTCGTGCGAGCGTGGCCGTCGCGGCCGCTGGCTCCGAGACTCTCCATGTGCAGGCCGTGGGCTGCGTGCCTCGTATGCCTCCCGGAAACCCGTGTGATGCCCGCGTTCACGCCCGCGTCCTCTATCCACCTCGGGTCTATGCACCGGCCGTGTCTCGCTGCGGGGGTAAGACGGCTCGTAATGCGGCGGCGGGAGTCGATCATAGACACTGTTCGCTCTGGGAGGGTGGCCGGACGGATGCCAATCCTGCTCATCGGGATAGCTTGCTCCCCGGAAGTGTTGCGGAGGTGGTCCGCTATGACGCCGGCGCCGGGACGACATGGGTGGCAAGGATGGTGCATGTGTGTTTTTGAAGAGGGAAAACGGTATGCATTCGCCGGCGGCTCGACATGTATTGAGCTCTGCGGAGGGTGCCAAGCATGTATATAAATTGGAGGGTGTGCATCCTTTTCTTGTCCGCGTGTGGCAAGAATGTTCGTCCTTATCTTGACCGCTGCAACGAACACAATCGTTGCCCGTAGGGTAATAGCTCTTCCTGGCAGTGAGGACGTGCATCCAAGGGATGTCCGCCACGACTGCTGGGGTGTGACGATCGACCGGCGATCGACGCACGATGACACTTGGGATCCTGTTTTTCAGGGCAACCCGCCGTTCGCTGCGAGACGTACGTCATGCAGTCTGCTTGTTGCAAGGCTGCTGGTGTAAAGCGGTGAAGTGCGCGCCAACGAGAGCTTTTTTTTATTTCTTACTCTGGATTCCTGTTTGCCTTGCCCGGGTGGCCGAGCGACAGTCTGGTGGCATCGCATCTACCGAGGCCGATCGGGTGCAATACTCTCCTGGCATGACGACGCGGGCTGACGAATCATGGGGTCTCTTCTGAGATTGTACACCCTAAATACTGCCATATATAACGGATCATTAGTAGCTTCTGGGAGCTAGGGCTTATGCGCGGATATGCTAGTAGTCAAGCTAGATAACGTCTGGTAGATGCCTGTTTCTGCCCTGCCCGTAGAATAAGAAGTAGAGACGGCAGTACTGTTTTTGCACTGTCAGCTCAAGTTTCAGTTAGAATGCAGCCAGATGAGGTCTCTCAAAAAGTTGATGTAATTGTGCATTTGTAATGCAAGAATGTTGAGCATCGCCAGGGCTCAGGAGCGGTCAAGTGGTCTGGTGTGACTCCGCACATGCACGTTGAAGACAGTATGTCATGCTTGGGTCCGAGCCCAAGGCGCATTCCTCTGTGAAACCATGACGAGTGCCCATGCTAGCTCTGCCTGTCATTGGCTTCGGAAATTGGAAGCATGGCACACGGCCGGTTGATCGATCCACGGAGTGCGCGGTAAGGAAGGCCATTCCGCAACAGAAAGGAAAGACAGAAATGGAAGAGGCAACTGAACGACAAGACATTGAATTGAATATAACTCATGGACGTGCCTGATGTGAGACCCTTCGCATCACCATGATTGACCATGCTATTCTCGAGGTAAGGGATGCAGTCAATCTGCCACTCACGGCAATCCCGTGATCCCCGGGTAGGGTACTGGGTTTGGGCGGATGAGGAGCAGGAGGCACTCTACTCTGATAAAGGTCAACGGTATTCGGCGAGATCAGGGACCTGGCTATCGCGCTCCGTGCTACAATATACAGTCAATACGTTCAATGTTGGTGCATACTTCTTGGTGGGCTTCCATAGCCTGCCAGACTGTCTGTGCCGAGCCACGCAGGTGACGGTGTGTCGACAATATGCCTAATTCTGTTTGGTAGACTCACGAATATGCCCAGAAACTGAAACGTCCTCCTCTGTCCGTCTTCTTGGTACCATTTGGACTACTGTGGTGTACCTGCGTTTTGCTGTTTGGTATGGTTCAGTGCGTCGCAAGGCATAATGTGCCATCCCCTGGTGCATGTATATCGTGGACAAACCCCAGCAAGAAGCACAATTGACATTTTCTAGTTGCAAGTCCTTACTACACTGCATGAGTTTTATGTGGCCCAAGACAAACTAACGAAATTTTTCATCCAAATCACTAAATAACCAGTTAGCATCAACGCGGAGCATAATATTAGGGGCTACGGGGATTTCTATGCTTATACCACATGCCACCTTGACCTTGTTAGCATCCCGCTTGACTCGCACCGTTCATTACCTTTGCCGGAATTATCCACGCGTATAATGCAACTGCCATCTCTCGTATACAGCGGGGAAGCAGGCTGCATGATTCGTCAAATGAAGATGATGCGCCAGCGTTCTTGTTATCCCTGGGCCAGACTTGACATGGGAGCTGTAAAACAGTGCACCCAATCTGCCACTGTAGTCGAGTAGTAGAAGCAGGTTGCTTTGCTTCATTGACAGAGCGTTCTTGCCGTACTCGGCAGACAAGCATCAAGCAATTACAGCCAACCAAGTCAAGTTACTTGGTTGTTGGACACTTATGTGCCCAGACTTGATAAATAGCATCATCGACTGTTGAACGGATAACCCAGACTAACATGTCCATGTGTAAGTTGCTTAGCTTTTAATATAATCATTATATTGACCTAAGCTTTACTTATAACTCTTCAACTCTGATCACCTGGTTACGGTCTACAACCTATCACCAATATAATAACTAATCGCTCAGACTGACCCCCCAGTATCTCTGCCAACATAAACTACGACTAGTTTATCCCTTGGGAACCTAAGCCGTTACACAAGTGCTTACTACTCTCAATAGCGCTAAAAAGGTCGTGCCCTATCCCGGTATTCGTGCAATATTATCTTAGGAGATAACTATATTAAGCATTAGCGGCGTATACCTTAAAGTGCTAGCTACTCCTTGTTAACACTTGCCTGGGGGAGAATATATTAGGTTGGTTTCGTATAGTCCGGATTTTGGCCAGATGAATGGAAAAACTTCTCTGGTGACATGGTGTACATCAAAGAGCCCGCGCCAATCAAGGACAACCGTATCCGACCCGCCACTGCAAATAACAATGGACAGTACGCAAGCTATTCGCCTGATTAGCGATATCAACCCCAAGGTTGGCATCCTCATGCACTGCGATAGCTGGGGCCACTTCTCGGAACACGGTTCACAAGCCGCCAAAGTTTTCGAGACAGACAGTGCCAGGGATAAGATTCGCTGGTTAAAACCAGGAGGAAAAATGCGCATCATCTGATTTCCCGTTCTTCTTGGGCCTTCAATTGTAACGCGGTTGAGTTGCTGATTGTTCTCCCTCGTTGGTCGCCATTCTGGTGTCTCGGGGTGGACAGAGGCAATATCTTGAAGTCGGATTGGATAAACGCATTGAGATAGGAATACCCCTTCTCGCTGATATTTTTGATGACTTTGTTGGAAAAAGTCGCGGAATTCAAATCACCGGCTTGCTGAGAGTATTCATATGCAACCTTGCCCGGAAGGCCCAGGGAGGTCGCGCCGAATAGTTTCATTTTTTTTTGAGTAAGGTATTCAACGCTCCTCATTATCAAATTTGACTTTGATCTGATGGCTTCTTGCTGTACTACATTTGCTTCGCCTAATCGCCCTGACCAAATGCCGCCGGAATCCAGTTGGATGGCGTATACCGCACATATGATCCAAAAAGCCCAGTAGTGAGTCAGGCTGTTGGCTACAGTAATATCCGGGTACCAGATATCCTCCGACGTAGGAGGTGCTACAAAATCACGCCCATACGTGGAACTCAAGTTTGCCGAGTATGAGTAACGCCAGCCGTCCAGTCGCCGTATGATATCCAAAAGCTTGTCGATGCAAGCGGAAAAATGGTCGTGCTTTGAAGTAGCCTCCAGCTGGTCTATAGCTTGGAGCAGTGACGGTATGCACGCCCCTATGGACATCAGCTCCTGGAGAGGCTCCGCCGGTGAGGTTTGAAAGGGAATCGTGCACCACTCAGCTGCCTCCAGAAAACACGCCCTGCGGTATAATATAAAACATATAATCTGTTGGAAATATCAGCTTCATGCCCAAACGATACAAGATTGGCGTGTAAAAACTAACCTGTGAAGGGCGACACCCTATAAAGATTCTATGGGATGTGCCGTTGGCGTAATAAGCTGGTCCTCGGGATAGCATCAGACGCGAAATTCCCCCAATGTGAGCTCCGTAACTACCGCATGCAGGCACCATTATCTTTGGGCGACAGTAAGCACGAGTCCATGTAGGTACCGTATATCCATGGTCATCATACCTCGGATAAGAATAAAAACATGATTGCGGCTGAAAGCTCATCCGGGCCTTCATTCCGACCTCTTGTCAAGGCTTGTTGAAGGGAACTGAGAGCAGTTCCGTGCGCCGCCAAGGCATCAACAATAGGGGCTCCAAGAGGCCTTCTGCAAGTTGTCATGGCAACTGCAAATGCCTTGATAGAAGCCGTGAGTGCGTGACCGTTTGGTCCGGACGTCTTGAGGTCTGGTACCACTTCAATCCAAGAGCCACATACTCTGGATGGAGCTGTGAGACCCTGGCTCTTTGCATTCGTTTCATCGCGCCGGGGTATAAAGTTTTGAACGACCATCGACAGAATGTCATTCATCGGCCAGGAGAGAGGTTGGCCAATGCCCGGAGTGGGCAGACGAGGCTCAACGGCGACTTCGGACAATGTAATTCGTTTTCTCCCGGCTGTCCTTCGGCCCGTAGTCTGTGGTTCCGCGAATATCAAGCCATATTGATATCCACCACACTCGCGGCTGCTTTTAAGACACTGGGAACAGGATGGCGATCGTCCGTCGCACTAAAACCGGCGCGTCAGTCCAAGGCTGTCTGCGACGGGGATTGAATAGAGGATAACATACAGCAAGCTTCCTTGCTCTACACGTATGACAGATTGTGCGCTGTCTAATCTTCATGATGTATTCGCGATGAGATGCAATCAAATTATTGCCAACGTTGTGGTGGTCGGAAGGGTTGTGACGCGCGACGTGTCCATGGGTAGAAAAGACGATTGAAGGCTTGTGGATACTGCAGACTAATGCCGGGGGGCTCGCGACCCTGCTTACTAAGTGATCTGCACCGGGAAGAGATTCCGCCGGTCCCGACTCCCCAGCCTCGTCAGGTGACGTTGAGTTCAGAACTCAATACTGTTGCCATACTGTATGTACAGTGTACACCCAACTGGTTACTTCAGACCCGAACGTAGAGGCGAGCATGGCGCACTGCCCAGACAAGGAAAGAATCTGGTCAAATCTGCCGGCTTCAGAGATGCGCCGTCACCCCGACGCTCTTCCCGCCCCTTGAGACGAAGACGATAACATGCCTGCAACTTCTGAAGTTCACCATTTCTTAGTCAGTCTGAACGCGCCTCGCACAAAGTTTGCGATTCGCGCCAAATCGACGGCCGCTCCCCCTCTTTTCTTTTCCCCACGTAAGCTTACTGCGTACGCGGCAACGTGGAGAGCCATACTAAGCTTCACGTAGCGCATTACAGAATACTTTTACCTGCAGTTCCGTTTTATGCAAAAGCCCTCTGGGGAGCGATGCGGGTCAATCGGCGCCAAGAGCCATCACTCGAACCCTCTCCACGAGGAGCTTGACAGGGTCCATAGACCCAGTGCCCGCCGCTTCTACGAGAGACACGTCAAAATCCTCCTGTGTCAAATACCTGTTTGTGCCAGGGCCGCTTCGCAAAGTAGCATGTCCGTGAGCTGGACAAAGCCCCTCTGGCGGTGTGGCAATGCGGCCGCTGTAGCATGTAACGATTTTTAACATCTCTTTCGCCCGACCGCGGGCCCTTTGCCACACAAGCATTTCGACATTCATGCGCCGGCTCTTGCTTTCGATGGCCAAGGCGCGCGTGGCCAATCGGGTTAACTCGGCTATCTCAAGTTGCACCGCCCTCTTATTGGCTGCGTTGTCTGGCAGCTCCACACTACCATCGCGATAGTATTGAGTATGATGGTGACCCCTGTCGGAAACGGGAAATTGTTTCGGAGTGCATTTGCCCGAGGACGGGGGCGGGGAGCTGCAGAGCTGACGTCGCCGATATTGAGCCAATGGTAGGCCTTCTTTGGCACACCGGCTTCCCCTACTTGGTCATGTGTTTTAACTCCTGTGAGGGGTTAGTATGTGGTGTCAGAGGGAACTATATCCAGAGGGAAGGTTGCATCCGGCCAGTGTCTGCTTTACCTCTGGTACGAAAATAGTCTCATGCGAGCGTGCTGTTGGGCTGTCCCAACTGCTATGTCCAAGGTCGATCATCGCAGGTTCGCACCCTTTAATCGATTTCTGTTCCTGATTATCTCCCATCCGAATAGTTTTGTTGCAGTTGAGAACACATTCTGGAGTTGAAATAGTAATCTCGGTAGAAGCCCCATCGTAACCGAATATACAGGCTAACTCAGACTTGGGCATACTGGGTGGAATGTTCGAGTCAGCTTCAAGACCGAAGTTTGACCTTCCTGGAGTTGCCAGCACTGTGTTACAGCTCTTGTTCTCCAGGAAGTCGCTGATAAAAGGCAGAGTCAGATCTAACTTTTTGGTAATCTGAAAAGAGTCGAATGCTCTCTCATAGTCAATCAACAGCGATGAGATTGACTGTAGCTGAACGTAATCATCAACCATGCTTGTCAATATTAAAGCGACCTCTCAGACCAAACAGTTATTTGTAACTTATATCCGAGGGCACAAGACATTTTAAAGACTAAAAATTATAGTTTCTTTAAGCAGAAGATTTTCTCTAGCTAGTATTTAAAGACATAGGATACCAATCCTTTCAAACTTGCGTGAACATGCCGCTTGGGATATTTAAGTATTTGAGGCACTAAGTCTCAGGCATAATAGACTTCGATATTCCATATTATACAGATAATTTGAGGATTAGCATCCGTACCTGTGCATTTGCATGATGTTTCATAGCAACAAGATTTAGATAAGTTTTGTAACGCAAAGACAGTTGCGATTTAGTTACTTTATCATAGAGTGACAACGCTATCGATACATTGAGTAAAGCTCTGGAGAGTGAAACACACGGAGTCATCCACCGGGAAGTTCCATCTCGGATTGAAATGAGTACCAGGACGGCAAGGTCGGCCTGAAATGTAACGTTGAACCGAAACCACAAATAAAGTTATTGCAAAGTACATTTATACATTTACACTGTAGGCAATAATGGGAGCATGCCGGTTGCACCATCGCTGTTTGGCTTGTCCAACAACCAATCGCAAGCGTAATAGTGCTGCGGTGGTGTGTGCCGCCAACACGTTTAATCCTTAAGCGCGATGGTGGTGCTGTCGGTGGTGGTTTTTTTTTTCTAAGACAGGCATAAACATGTAACAAATCTATCAAGTGGAATGCCCCACGTTGCTATTCGATTCGATGACGTGAGAAGCTGGGCCAGTATTTCTTCACTATATAGGTGCTGTACTATTGTCTATCTAAGATAACGAAGAAAGGAGGAAAATATTCTCGAGGCTCGTCGTGTGGCGGCTTAGGCAAAACCGATCTAATTACACAATGTTAGGCTGCTGTGGCGTCCGAGGCTTCGGCCCGGCAGAGCCTGTGTCCACAGCCCTAGGCATAGCCCGCGACGATACTTAGCAATCTGGAGGTTTGTGACTATACAAATGTCAAGTTCGTAATTAAGTGCTGATTATTGCGCATTACGTCCGACGAACTAGTTGGCGACGAAAGTGAAGTCTGAAAGGCCTCTAGCGAGTTGATTCAACTAGCTAGTCCTTAAGCTGTTTACTATTAAAAAAAAGAGAAGTTTATATAATAATAACACTTTATATCTTCCTAATATACCTCTATAAAAGCTTCTAAAATCAACCTGCTAGGGGAGTTGGTGATAGGCGGCACAGCCGCCGTTCAAGCGGCTTGACCCGTTACAAAGTCGACGTTTGGACCTATAATAAGGCATATGCTAGCTGCAAACGGTTTAAGAATCCTGAATAATACCAGGCCAAAGTTCAGTTTGAGGCCCCAATTATTGAGATATCAAAACAAGATTGGTGTTAGTCCAGTAACTCTTCAAAAAAGAGATACTTTCGCAAGAAACACAAATGGTTTCAATGGCCTTGTTTCTCTCGATTGAATAAGTAGCCTGGGAGGTTCGATCTACTAGAGACATGCTTCCCCTTAGTGTTTGTGGCTCTGCACGAGTTGGTTGAGAGTATTTAAGGCGATAATAATTATTTAGCTTTATATATATAATTATATATAAATTATAGAAGAAGCCTTTGGGTTTTCTAAGAAGAAAGAGGTAAAAAGTAAAAAGCAAAAATACCTTACTATTCCTTAAACTTCTCAAATTTCCTTGTACACTGCTTGCTGTTAGACCTGTTTGCCCGTAGGTAGCACTAGTAGAAAGCGCACCTATAATAGAGAAAGTTTTAGAGTCGAGCTGTTCTATAAGTTCGCGTCGAGGGATAATAGTTCCAAGAAGATGGTCTTCCGACGGAGTGCAAAATAGACCCGAGACAGCGTCTATAACTTTGACGTAACTGATAATATAGTGAATAATACCACGATAGGCGACTCTAAATGTTTTCTTTAAAACCTGACTGGCCGCATGCTGGCTAAGATCTGGAAGGGAAAATATCAGTTTAGCTAGCCTAATATATAAATAAAAAGACTTATTCTGTTCTTCGTTGAGATTATTACTGCAATATGCGGAAAAGGTTTATATTAAAGAAGCTGAAATCTTGCATAGCAATAATTTACCTTGGCAATAAACCCAATCCAGTCCGTCACTCCAGGTTTTAATACCAGATGAATACTCTTCGTAAATAAAAATATTACCGTCCTGGATAATATTATTATACTCTGACCAATGAACTGGCCGAGGGACATGTAAAAGCAATCCACGTAGACTAGCCTCGACAAGGATCAAGGCATCAGTTGGAGATGCTACATAGCCTTTCCAGGATGGGGGTATCATCTTGTGTAAAATTGTGTAAAAGAAACAAGGCCCGCGGGAAGAAGAGAAGAAGAGTTCGCCAGCAGTTATCCGTTGAGAACTTATTGTAAGCTGAGTGCACATGTACAGGAACTATGCAGAGCGTATAAACGAAAATGCGGATAGCTTACCGACAGTATTTATCTCTATTTCGTGAAATTGCCGTTGCTAATCTGTAAGGAAATCATGAAACGCACGTATCCAATCAAAATTAAGCTCCTGATTCTAACATTGTGCCTATTCCCAGTGTGGTGGCATAAGCCGAACTTGGGTCTCCACTGTGGAGCTAATAGGCGCCAAACAGTATCCATTTTTTACGACGGAAATGGCCCAAAACGAGGAGAATATCTTGAGAAAACCCTGGAACAATCTATCAACAATGACGCTAGCCACGGCTCAGACTCCAAAACTAGCGCAAAAGCTGAAGGTCGAGTCTGTGTTCGAGTCGTTTCATGGGTGAAATGGCTAGAGTGCGGGTCGGTCAACAACTGCATACAACTGTGACCGTACAAGGACACCAACAAGGTCGAGTGCGACTTGGATAAAGCGATTGTTCACAAGGAGAGTAAGAGCTTCCAAAGGAAGTTCTGACTCAAGCTATCTAAGCCCTAAAGTGGGGCCGTTCCCTTACAACAACTGCAGGATGGGATTCCATGCCGAGGCAACTTCGTAAAGCGGGAACAGCATGATATTGAATAGTACTATTCGGTGCTTTGGAGCCTCGTGTCTTTAGGCAGCCCAATTCGTAGGGTTGCCCATACGTAGAATATGATCACCATCTGTCCGATAAGTATGCCTCTCTTGATTGAACAGGCAGACTCGACGTAATTGCTGCATGACACAAAATCATCCGAATAAGAAATCAAGCGGGCTGGGAAACCAGGATAAATGACGTGAACAGAACCCTTTTGGCAGAATAGAAGCCGCATATATAGCTATACCCCTGCAAAAACCACCAAATTTGGTTCAAATTACCGCAGGTGCCGTCTGCGGCTAAGTGGACAGGCCACCTAATCTGGGTCGACCACTCCGCCACGATCCATTTGCATGCGTTTTTCCACACCAAACGCGAATACCAACACATACCGAGGGTTCGAAATTCACCCTTTTCGTCATGAGCTTCGCACCCGATGCACCGCAACGCGTAGTGTCGATTCGGCAAGCCGCTGCGAACTGCTGGGCCAGTAAATCAGCCGTTGATCCAGTTGCTAAGGCACTTGAACCAAGAAGCATGGCATTTCTAAGCCAAAGACCTATTCTTAATGATGATGAAGGCGAAGCCCTCATTGTGTATGTTATTTGGATACAGCGGGGTGAATTTCCAGCTATAAAAAAAAGTGGAAAACGCTGCAAACACCTTGCGAAGATGACGAGACCCTGATGCCCCTTATTTTAGATCATCATGGTTACTGGGCCTCGCAACCAATTTACATACAAAAGTGCGGGTGAGGCTGTCCCGGTATTATGAAGGTGTCCCGTAATTTTGACCCAGACTACGTGGCTTGTCCACTTACTCACAGACGGGTACTCTCCTTGTGAACAATCACTTCGTCCAAGTCGCACCCGACCGAGGTCGTGCCCTTGTACCGTCAAATCAGCGAAGCCGCCCACGCGGCTTCAACGATTTTACCTTGTCACTGCAAAAAACAACTATAACTAACCTAATTAGTTTTAGAGATTGCTTGTTGTTCTTGCTGATCAAGAAGAAAGTAAATTTATCGCGAATGCGCCTTTCAGCATATGATGAGCGGTTAATACCAATTTAAAGGAGACTTTACCGTGATAGTGTGATTTACCGGATACTAGGAAAATACTTATTCAAAAATCGGGTAGTGCCCCCTCTTTCTTCTTCCCCCTCTTCTCCAAAAGTCGGCCAGCAATGTTGGGACTACATTGTAAAAGCAGGAGCCACTATAACTGGTCTGAGAATGTATTACGGCACCGACAGTTTAATCACCCTTACCAAGTGTTCGCCTATAAAACTTGGGGACTCAAGCGAGTAGCGATACGAGCCATCGAAACTGCCGCATGAATTCCAAGCGATATCGAGACAAATTTCGGCCTGGAAACTGACACAGAAATCAAGATTGCTTTGTTCAATATCAATCATTGGTTAATCTTGGTGTGATATCTTCGCGCTTTGCGCTAGGACTCCATGAACCAAACAAGTGGCGGCGGCCTGCATACCAATGGTACCACCTACTGTGCCTTTCTACGGCTTACCAGGGAGCAACCAAAATATAACTCAGAGACCTGGATGGTTATATCGCACAGGGGGCTCGTCCCATGAACCAAAAGCTGTTTGATGCAGGACCCAAATCAGAGAGGAAACGGACAAGAGCAACGATTTAAAAAGGACCAAGGTAGCAGGTGGAAAAGGAAGCCAAAACGCGAGTCATTTGCTTGTTTTTTAATCAAGTGAAACATGTATGTGCGAAAAATATCTTCACACCATGGCTTTTGTTACGAAGCAGGGACAAAGTGTTTGTCGCAGAGCCAGACGGATTAAGCCTGAGACGTCTGACCTTGTACGCAAAGCATCAAAACTCTTTGGCAATTCATGAATGTAACGTAGTATTCTATTTAATCCAATAAATACCCTTCATATTCATAAAGTTAAAGCGACACTTGGACTGTCACATGCGACAACTTAGCAAGCTAAAGAGTGGGGTTGCCCGACGTTGCCTTACCACAAATGCTCAGCACGCCATTGCGGAGCTGAGAATCCAACGCCAGGTGTCGTAGATTGGAGTTTTGAAATGGATACGTGCGGGCTGCATCTATGATCTCCTTCGTGAGACTATACATCTGACTATAAGGAATGCCACCACGTCGAAGGCGAGACTCTGGCGGCGTCAGAGTAGTCATACCACCAGCATCGCGAAGACACTTTTTGACTTGATAATTCTTGGGGAAGGGGCAGGTTTTATTATCGGATCTTTGGCTACTCCTATATATATTACTACCTTTTCCCCTCGAGACCAGAGAAACCGACTCTCTCTCCCCCTCCCACTCACACGCACACACGCACACACGCACACTGACCGTTTTTTTTAGAAAAAAAAAGAAGAAGAAGACGACGATGACGACGACGACAACAACGACGATAACGATGACTGTGCCCAGGGCTTCGACCCCAACAATATGGGACAAAATGTCCCCGATCGTCGCCACGGTGGTGGGCATCTTGACCGGCGTCAAGATTATAGTCGGGGCCGTGGGGGCACCTCCCTAGCGGGTGCCGTCTGGGGAGGACGAGGGGGAGGAGGGGGCGGGGAGCGGTTTGGGCCGGGGGCCTTGGGGGTGTTTCAGTTTGAGGAGGTTTAATTTTTTGGAATTTTTTGGATCAATATTCTTACCCTAAATTAATGCCCTCCGGGCCGTCTTTTCTTTTTGGTGCATTTGACGTCCATGCTCACAATCGTGCCTGTGATGTGCATAGCCCACTCCCAATGTCTTGGCGCTGACGCCATTATGTAGTCTTTCGACACCAACACATTGTTGTCGTTGTCTGAATAAGGATGGCGTCAATCTCACCAGGAGTCCAGCAGGTCTACTCTAGTTGTTATACGGCTAGAACCCAACAACGACAAAGCCCAGTAAAGGGGCATCGCCAACAAAGGACCTCGAAGTTACACCGACTGAACACATGACCTGGTAGAAAGCTTGGGCACAGCTGTTCCCTCCATGTATATATAATGGCCACTCGTAGCACCGAAGAGTATGGTGTATAAAATGGAGTTCGACTTGTCAGGCTCGCCTGTTTGGCTTGGTGGTTCTCGGGCAGATGTCGATGTTGAAGATGGGGTGAGGGCTGGAACTGAAGACTGAGATCTTTCACTGTGTCAGCGCCAAAATATAACCGCTTAAGGGAGGGAACCAAGATAGATGCCCACCTTTATAGCAGACGACTGATTGCGTTGCAAATTTCTCTATCGAGAGAATGTGTGACAAGGGCTTAAGAGAGGGCTTGGAGCCAATAGCTCAATCCGTCTAATAACGGTCTTTGGTATCACGGGTCCTTGGTTTTCTTCGGGGTCTCATTGACAGAAGACCTCTTTGAAGACGAGAAGTCGCTGGGGGACTTTGCCTAGGTCCCGTGATTGTAGCCCTTGTGTAACGGGCCATTTCCGTGTGAAAGAATGGATAGACAACCCATTGGCAGCCGTCAAGAAGCTTGAGCGGGTTCAGGCGAGCTCTGTGGAAGAGTCACAATCGTGGTGAGGACATGGGTCTTTGGCCGATAAAAGTCAAGTGGTTACAGAATGAAGAGCCAAGAGGCATGTGCTGAGGGAGAGGGTTCTTGTAGGGAATTGTATGTAGTTGCACTGGAATTACATCCACGTAAGAAGGTGAGGAGAGCGTGATCAATTTCCTGGCCAGAAAAGGGCAGAGGCATGGGATAGCACCAAGTCCACAGGTGGAAGGGAAGACATGAAAAACGTGGAAGGGCGCGGAGGAGAAGAACAGGAGAACATGCCTGACGCATTACGTGAAAGAATAAATTTTATTCATTCGCATTATTCCTGCCCTAATTAATGTAAGTCTAGTCTAATAGGGGCCAGCTGGCAGGTACCAGCTGTCAAAGTAGCCACAAGGTGGGGAAGGAACCAGACTGGTCTGCAACGTGCATTATCCCCATGATCTCAAGTCTCTAGCAGAAGTTGGGACCGCGACGGTAGAGGGATGTCGCCGAGACACAGATTGCCGGTGATAATGCGGGCACTAATGGCTGCAGCCACACCCGCGGCCGTGAATCCAAGTTGATTGGCGACGGCTAACGGAACCAGCTCGCCCTTCTTGTTCTTCGCAGCCATCTGGGCCGCGAAGCTGATGCAATCGGCGGCAATGCCGGCCGTGCTCAGCCTGTTCGCCACCAATGTTGCGGCGGTCGCGGCAATGACTGCGTCGGCTACTTTGCGGCAGCCCTCACTGACGTCGTTGTCGAGCTTCCCCGATCTTGTCTCGGTGAAGGTCTTGCGGACGGTCACGGCAGCAGCAATGGAGCCTTCCTGGACGGCATCTGCGATGGCCGCGGCGGTTTTGCCATTGTCACCACGCCGCGCCAGGCCGTCGTTTGCGTGTTTCAGGACATGGTCGAGGATTTTCAGAATCCGTGTCTCGTCTTGACGCCTTAGGTTGTTGGCTCGGAGAAGGGGAAGCGTCGCTTGGTCGCTGATGGGTGGCGGAGACACAACGGGTGGTGCTGTGGCTCCTTGAAATATGCATGCTTCATACGGCGGCGGCGGTGAACGTGGTGTAGAAGGCGTGGGAGCAATTTTGGTGTCTGTCCCAGATGTCTCCCATGTCTTTGAGGTCTCGGTGGTCGAGTTGGCTCGCAGCCACGCTCGAAATCGCAGAGGCATCTTGTACCGCAGTTAGGTGACTCGGGCACGGGCACTTGAGGAGGTAGGTCTGAAGGGCTTTCTGAGTTTATAAACAATTAAAAGAAGGTCCGTGGTTGTTTTTGGGCAAGTCAAAGGCCCGGAAAGAGACTGGGATGCTGGGCACGGAAAATGTGTAAATTGCCAAGTGATGCGTGATACTTATAGTTGACAAAGCCTGGGTTGCTTTCCCAAGGTTCACTCAGAATCGGCTACTACCACGTCCGCTACTGCCACTCGTGGCTGGTAGATGCAAAGTTTCGGCTAGCCAACGACAATAGCTCGAAAATGGTGTTGGGCGAGAGTTTAATATGGTCCGCCATGTTCTATTGCATATGTAGAGTCTCGCGTGGCCAACAAGGTTGCGCTAGTCAACCTTCTACAGAGGCATGCTGTCCACAGACACCAAGGAACACACTTGATTTGCTTCAGATAGTGTGGCTCAGCAGAGACCTTTATAGAATAGCTAGATACCTAAAAAGCTAGGCGTATTTCTAGAGGCTAGCAATCCACTTAGTATTGTGTATGAGGGGAACCATGCATACTTGGAGGATAGAGTTATAGTCGGCCTTTTTTGATCTCTTATATTAACGTCTTTATTCCTTTATGGATAGTTTTATTGCCATTACCTGTATTAGGCAAAAACCCTTGGGTTCATCTACACGCTACTCAAAACATTTGAACAACACCTCCCTTTACACCAACAAGCACTAAAAGTCGGGCAGAAAAACAAAAATCGTCTACTCGTTTTACTACATCTCAGAGAAAAAACGTATTGTATAGTACTACTTTTACAAGTGCTGTTTGCATCGCAACAGAAATCTATATTTTGGCGCCCTTCAATGCAGCCGCCCCTCCAAACTGATAAATCTTGACGAGTTGGCGCACGGCCAAGTCCAAAAGCACATCCTCCGAGCCGCCGGGAATCCGAGCACCAGGAACATCTCGGTAAATAGCTGTCAAGCAGTCTGGTCAGTAATCCGGCACTACAAAACTGTACACGGCCACGACATGGCAAAAAGCAAAAACTTACCCTCAACTAATGCCCCCTGTCCCGAGGCCGTAAACCCGTTGCCACCAAACAGCAAAACGGCCACCTGAGCGCACTCGTTCAAGACCATGGCAGACTTGGCCTTGGCCAGGGCCGTGATGCCGCCCAGTTTCAAGTCGGCCTCCTGCGACGAGAGGTGGCACAGCTGATAGAGGAGCTGCTCCGTCCAGGCGTTCATCGTCTCCAGCTCGGCGCCGGCCTTGGCCAGCCGGTGCCGCACAACAGGTTGGTCCATGAGCTTTTTGCCAAAGGCATCCCGCTTGAGGCAGTACTCAAAGGCGGCGGCGAGCGCGGTCCGGGCCTGGCGCGTGACGCCCACGGCGATGATGAGACGCTCGTGGTTGAAGTTTGTGAGGATGATGCGCAGGCCGTCGCCCTCTCTGCCGAGGAGGTTCTCCACGGGGACCTTGACGTTGTCGAGCTCGATGTAGGTGGTGCCGCCGGCCTTTTGGCCGCCGACGGGGAGGCGGCGCATCGTCACGCCGGGGTATCCCTTGAGCGGGACGATGATGACGGAGAGCCCGGCGCGTCCTGGCCCCCCCGTGCGCACCGCCATGGTGGTGTAGTCGGACCAGATGCCGTTCGTGATCCTGGGCCATGTTAGATGGGACTTGAGCGGGATTGCATTTGCTGCCGAGGGTTTACCATTTCTTTGCTCCGTTGATGATGTAGTGCTTGCCGTCGGCGGTCTTCTCCGCCGTGGTGGTGATGTTGGCCACGTCGCTGCCCGCGTCGGGTTCCGTGATGGCAATGCACGTGCGTTTTCTGCCGGTGAGGAAATCGGGGAGGAAGCGTTGCTTGAGCTCTTTGCTGCCCCATTTGACAATGGGCGGGATTCCAAAGGCGAAGCCGGCTGTCAGCGAGGCTCCTGGGCCGGCTAGGCCGGAGCGGGCCAGCTGCCATCATCATCAGTCACATGGCGCTCCGTGAGCATCGTCCTCGAGCAGTGTAGACGCACCTCGTCGCAGTAGATTCCCGTGTGCAGATAGTCCCACTCCTCGACCTTGACGCCCAGGATGTCGTGGATTCCGAGATCCTTGAGCCATTCTACGGGCAGCGGGGCCGGCATATTGGGCAGCAGCATGCCGCTCTTGCAGAAGGTCGCAAAGACATGCTCAGGAACGGTCCCTTCCTTTTCCCACTCGGCGGCGTTGCTGAGCAAGTTGTCCCATAGGAACCGGCGGCAGGCCTTTTGGAACTGGCGATGTGACTCTGTGTAGTACGGGGAAGGGAGGCCACACAGGTAGGGCGGCTCGGAAAAGGGGACGGGGTTCTCTAGATTATCCGCCATGTTGAGATGGAAGTGTTTCTTGACGTGATGGGGGGGAAGTGGTTCGGATTGGTCGCGCGGTTGCAGTCAGCCTTACATATAACCAGACATTTGACAACATGCGGCTCGAGTTGGCCGAGGCTAAGCCGGTCTCCCCGCACTTGGCGGCTCCACTTCCCGGCCGCCTCCAAATCAAATCGAGCCGAGGAGCCGGCCATTCTTGCCCCGCGTTGGTTGCTGCAAGGGGCTGAGAAGAGCGAGACATGTGCACACGGCTTGCTCTGTTTTATAAGAAGTGGCACGTATAGGGTGCGTGACTAACTGAAGTAATTGATTGCAAGATTTCCCCTTGTGACGCCCGGGCTTCAAACTTGCACGGACCTATGCCCACTACAGGAGGTTATATAGGAAAAAATAAAGCCATTCATGATGATAACTGAATGGGGCCACTCCCAAGTTGCAAACTGCGAGAAGTGTGTATGCGTTCCTATCTCAACCACGAGAGGGACAAGGGGAGGTGCAATTCAAGTTTACTAAAAAGATCCTTTTCCTATAAACATATTAAATAAACAGCGCGTTTCTAACGAATGCAGTTTACTAGAGTTTGTGTCTTGAAGCACCGTTAAAGGAATACAAGTGGATGTAATTACGAAGCAATAGAAATGTTTGCTTTTCGTAATAATAACAATCGTTACGTAGCAGAGTCCAACTACTCACGCAAAATTGGATCAAAATTCCTCCACCCGCCTCTTTCCCCTAGGTATATTGAGTATCGACAGCCATAAATAAAGGCCATATAGCCAACCATGAGTTGAGTCATGGTCTTAGCATTGTCTCGGTTGAAAATGGTGTCGAGAAGTCAGCAGTGAGCAAAAAGAGATTCACTTGCATTCCCCAAGTAAGAAGTTAAATCCTTTCAAGGAATTGACACTCGTCGCTATTGTTTGATCTTATCCTAATTGCTTTGAGAGTAGACATGATTATTCAAGAAAGTGGGCAATATGATATAGCCAAGTACCTTGTGAAATCGCCCGTGTTTGATCGTGTAGACAAAATAGGCAAGTGAGCTAGCTACCTGGGCACATGACGGTTCACTCACCGGGGCATTGTCTACGCGCTGGCGCAGTCTTATAGAAGCGCCGTGCTACATCCTTTACGGCTGGGAGTGTTTCTCAAACACCCCATCGCAATCAGTACTTGTCTCGCGGGAAGGGCTGCAAATATTCGTACGGCTTTCCACCAGAATTCCGTACGACATTGAGCTTTGCGTCTCGTCAAACGTCCCATAATACATATTGTCCGGTTATGCTTTTTTAAACTCGGATACTTCATTATTCGCGTTGGTCGTGCGCTTATAAATTAACCTCGAGCACGTCCGACGGTAAGGGACCCTGCCAGCCCTTCATGGCCATATTTGTACTTCGCTCAACTGGGTCTGAGTCTGATATTTTTTCAAGTCGCTCCTTTTTGTGGTGAATGCTTGGAGCTCTTCAGCGAAACCTTTTTCATCTGGTGATATTTAGCATCTCATGTGATAATGCTATTTAGGGGTCCTACAACCCACTTCAGTCTCTACACCTGAGCTATTTCACCGAGCAATGCACTCTGCAACGAGCACATTGTTACTCCCAGGAAATATGGAGACGATCTGGGTTGGCTGCCTGCGCGCAGGTGTTACCTCACTCCAGGAGTAGGGTGACATTTGATCCCCTTCACATGTGCGATATTCTGGATGGTGGTATGCATCTGGAACAGAAACAATTGGACCTGATCATTGCTACCGTTACAAATGACGTGATTTGGGCTGGGCTATGTGTTCCAAGAGCTTCCTATTTACACTCAATGCTACGTTGGCCTTGGGCAACATTCCCTTTCACATGTTGAGGAGATCTAGCCACGGAATACGTAGGAGTAGAGCGAAATGGCTGCGGCAACATGACTTGTTCTGGATGTAACCTGCTCGGTCCAGTAGGTAAGATGCTTCCAGTATCAGGAAAGGTTTCTAGACGATGCATTTCCAGTCACCGGAGTCTAGGTTGCAGTCGTGTAGTGCCATCGCTTAAGCAAACTGACAGATGTGGAACAACAATACAGTGGGAATCATACATTTACCTGTCCAAGGCCGCCAGCTTTTGATATCGGTGAATATTACTCGATATACTTGATACCGCCGAACTTGCATGGTTGCATACTGTACCCGCGACCGTGCATGTGAAGCAACTTTCCCGGCCCGACAAGCACCCCCTGTTAGGATCTGCACAACTACACCTCTTGGCATGCAAGTAGTTTCCTCGTTGATATATCAAAAAAAATATACGAGGAAACACCGGGTAAAGAGGACATGATGCAATTACACGTGGCCGGCCAATGGCTGCTGACTGGCCTCCCTCGCAGACGTGACTTTGGCGTCGCAGTGCATTCTACGCCCAACGGCAGCTCTCACAGTGTTGGGCTCATATGCACCATCTCTCCCTTCCGGATTCCTGCTTCCTCCGCGGCAACCTCACTCATGCCCAACTGGCCTTTGAAGCAGAAGTTCCAAGCAAACAGAGTCTCATTAGTGGCTTCCTGTTGCTACATGCAAAGCAACCTCGTATAAGAAAAAGGTGATGCACCACATCTGTATTATCCCGCTAATAACCGGTTGTGTGAGTACGTGAGCATTCTACCGGCATGGGGAAGACACGCTTTCCCGCGTGGTATTTGTTAAAATGCCCTCTCTCCTGTTTGCTCTTTCAGGAACAACTAACTCTCTCTTCATGCCAAGTTTCGCCCGACTTAATTTCCGTGTCTTTCCAAGAGCAAAATGACCACCCAAACCACCACACAGATCTTTGAGACCATGTCTGTGCCGGCAGACATGCTGGCCCTCCGCACGGTTGAACAGCCATTCTCCCTTGCTGTTCCCGGGGACGCGCAAATCACAGTGACCTGCCACACCAATGCGAGATACTACCAGAAAGTCACTGTCGAAGACGTCGCTAACAAGAAATCCTGGGTATTTTTCGGATCGGGTGAAGACGAGACGCCAATGGAGATTCAAGGCTCGAAAGAAAAGGGGGTGGTGCTGCTGCACGCCCTGGAGACCGAGGCATCCTTTCGCACCTTGAGGATACTCTGCGAGTACTCCTCCCAAGGGCCCAGCGGCCGCCTTGAAAAATCAGACGTCTTGGTGCCCCAAATGCGTTGTGAATACAACGGACCCCAGCATCTGAAGCGAATTTCATGGGAAATATTCACCGAAGATGGCGTGGACAAGGACTACAACGACTCGGTGCTTCGGATTATGGCGGAGGTGGACAAGAATCTTGGTTAAAATGGACGAGAGCCTAGTCGCTGGCAGACAAGGAGGGCACCATACGGCGGATATGCGTGTTGGCGCCCGGGATTGTGTTTGAGTCCCAGTTAGGCTGGAATTGGACTGGATTCATGGACCAACGTTAGGATATAGTGCTGCGTCGAATACATCTTTGTCGTCTGGTTCCACATAGAATTGGACTAGGCGACTCAAGAGTGCAAAACTGTCTCCGAGTATGTTGTGCTACTGTATTTATGAAAAATATTGATAAGCGTAATAACATATAATACTAGGTGTTTGCTGGTTGCTGCTGGTGTGGCTACAAACTATGTGCTAGTCTGTTAAAAGAATAAGAAGCTCTAGGAAATGATGCCGGCAGCTTTAAAAGGCCCGAATTTAAATTGATCCTTCAATTTTGGCCCGCCCGGCCCAGGGCTTTGCTTACATCTATAACAAGGGCTTACGTTGTCATCTGACCTCGTAATTATCGTGACTGTTGCGACCGCACAGTACGACTACACGCGCTTGCGCGCCCGTATCACCGCGGAGACAGAGATCTAAGCTAGTTTATCTTCGAGTCACGTCCTTGTACCTAAAATCAAAATATAACTACCAGCAACGAGTCTTGAATGAAGGACTCGCTGGTGACTGCCCGCGCAGTTACATTCAGGGCTCAAGAACTCCGGTGAGGTCACTATATCCACGGAATGGAGAGGGCGTCCAAAGCAACATTGAACTTTGAACCGTTCAGTCAGGGGCGGAAGAGGCCAGCTTGACCCCGGCGGCCAAAAGAGCGATACTGACTAGCAGGGACCCTGGTCCGGAAATAAGGGAATAAGGCACGGAACGTACGAGTGGAGAGAGAAAAACCAACTGCAGACGTGTCATGAACATGGGCTTACATGACTCATGGTGCTAAGCATAATGGGTTAGGTGATGAACACCCGGGAACTACCGTTGCGTCGGCATTTGATCATGCCAGCTTATCGGCTAGTGTTTTGACAGTAACGTGCGGAATGAATCAGCAGCCTCGAGATTTGAGAACCAGATTCATCAATCGGTCCGTTTTGACTAGAACCCTATTTGGTGGGTCAGGTACAAACCTCCAAATCCTATCGTATTTTCCAAATAAAAAATTTAGGAGGTAATTTAAATCAACTTGAATTCTCATAGAACCAAAAGTATAGACTTATTTGGGTCACGACAAAGGGCTTTGATCCGAACACTACGAGAGCGGATCGCACAAGAACTTTATCAGGCCATCATGGAAGCTGCGTAGGCCTATTCGGGGCTGTGTTTAGCCGCGTATATGTGTTACAGCCACATCCTTGTTGCCACCAGGCATCCTGCTATATATTTTTATACTGTAACGCATGGGAAGGAATGAAATATAGCTTTATTTATAGCTGCTACAACAATGAATGTAACATCATGCGCCCGTCGCTAGCTGCTGTCTTTCTTCTTCCTTGAGCTTTTTATTATTATCGTCATGGATACCTTTATTCTTACCACCTATCATTTACCGTGTTCAAGTCAGCAGGGCACCCGGCGGCTTAATTCCACTATACAAAAAAACCCCACAGAGTCGGAAATTACTTGACGCGTGTATTAAGGCCGTCCTATTACCGTAGTTTTATATGTGGAACAGAATCTCATGGAACAAACTAAAGGGTATCAATATTGGTTATCTAGCCAAATATGGTTAATAGTCATGCATACTACCAAAACACTGCTCCTTCTTGACACACTAAAACACAGCTCCGGATGGACCTACCCAGCTATACCGGGATACGAGCGAGTCAGGATTGCTTCAGATGTCAACGGGTGCACATTAGTCTTCTCTACAGTCAATGTCGGATGCGGAGTAGTCGAAGGGACATTTGGTACGACCCATTCTGCTGTTTCATACCACCTCTGTGCTCCTTTAGATTTACTCGTTTGACATGCTTGGCGAATTCATGTACGCCCTGATTCAAGCCCTTCTTCCTGTTGCTAGGTCCGGATGAGCCCACACCATACAATCCATACGCAATGCCGTATCCAGTTACACAGGACCAAGTCTACATGCTCAGAATCAGAAAGATGGAGAATGGAACGCTGAAGAGCCGGTAGCTTACGGAATGAATATGTATATAAGGTCTTGCTGGTGCCACGACTAGGCGAGTCAAACGACAACATCAAATCCAACTTCATCTATTATTCACTTTTCACTCATTTTCCGACATGTTTGGCCTGGCTTGTTTGGCACTCGTCTTACCTCTCACGGCAGCTTTTCCTCAGAGCCGCCCAGAAGAGCAGACGGCCCCCTTCAAAGCTGATCTCCGGGTCGATACCAATCGTGACGGCACGGTCGATCTTAGCGGCAACACTGATAGCAACGGCAAGAATACATGGTCAGAGACCTCTGGCGCCCTTTTCCTCCCCAATATAGGGGTTGCCAGACGCCATTGCGGGAGTGATTACACCTGCCATGATGCTTACACAAACACGCCATGGGCACCAGAATACATGGCTCCGATGCGCACAGTGCCCATGCCCAATATTAGCGACTCTGCCACGGCAACTGTTTCTATCAGTGATCCCGTGGCTCGCAAAAACGTCCGCATATTTCTTGATTATCCGGGGAGGATCGAGGAACTCAACTTCCAAGACCTCATCGACATAAAGCCACTACCACCTCCCGAGAACGACCGTTGGGTGTATCTCGAGAATGACACGCCGATTCCGGCGGACAAGTTGCGACAAGGCCTGACTCTGGGTATCGATTCTCGCGATACCAGACGCCCAGGTAGATAGGACGAGAGGGTTTCGGTCGAGTTCAAGGTGACGGATGGAAGTAGGTCCTCGTCTGACAAGGTCATGCTACGCGTCGCCCCGGTCCTGACACACCATCACCTTCAACCCGTTGAAAAGGTCTTTGTTACCAAAAAGCCTGTCGACGAACAGATGACCAAGGCCATGGCGAGAGTTGAGCAAGGTATCCAGAAGAATATGCAAAAAGCAGGCATCGAGGAGCCGCTGCATCGCCTCGATATAGATTACACCTGGGCTCAGGATGTCATGGAGCCAGCCTATGCCAGCATCCCCGGGCCATCAGGACCAATCACCTTGCGCATCCACATGACAGGAAAGCCGGTGCAGGTTGGCATTGCCGAGCAGACTGAAATCTTGCTGTTCCGGGATCTGCGACGAGAGGGGATGGGAGCCGTCCGCCTTGGCAGGTTTCCAGATTTTTTCGAGCACAGAACGCTTGAAGCCGGAGGCAACATCGAGTCGATTCCTCCCTACACGCTCAACGGCAAAAAGTACCCCGCGGGCAGGATTGTCATTGGCGCTACAGACGCGCAGACACCTCAAGCGCTGGCCTATCTCCAGGCCCAGGAAACTCAGGATCCGATAGCACTTGACACGACGTGGCTTTTTGTCAAGCATGTGGACGAAATTGTCAGCTTCCTACCCGCCAAGACATCACGCGGCTGGCGACTGGCCATTCTGGATCCAATGATGGGCTATGAAGCGCTTGGCAAGCTGGACCAAGATGGCCATGGCGACGTGCCCTTGACCAGCAAGCCCATGGCGCAAAACTCAACCGTTCCCACGGTCCGCGAATTCTTGGCCGATGAGTCCACCAAGAAGGCTGCTGCCTACAGCACGGAGAAGATGAAGCAAGCGCTGAATACTCTCCAGCAAGAAATTGGCATTGCGGACGAGGACGTCGTGAGGATTCCAGCCGTCATCGCCACAATGGACTCGCTGAAGAAGTGGCTGCATGCTCAAGAGAAAGAGGACCCCAGCAGCAGCGGCCACAGGTTCTTGCCACTGAACTCGGCGTTCCCTAGCCAGGTCAATGGCGTCCCGCTGTCCGATTCGGTTTTTATAGCGCCCAAGCCGTGGGGTCCCGTCGTGGATGGCGAGGACATCATGGAGAAGATGTCGAGGGAAGCCTACGCCGCAGCAGGCTTCGATATAGATTTCATCGATGATTGGGAACTACATTTGGGAAGCGGAGACTTGCACTGCTACACGAACACGTTCCGTAACCCGACGGCGCAGTGGTGGTAGGGATCTTGTGTTACACGGAAAAGGCTCAGCAGCTGTGAAGCCCAACAAAGAGTCCTCACCGACAAAGGCCCTGTTGGCTACACCGGACAACTTGAGCACATGGCCGGGGAAGAGCCCCAGGCACAGACGTTCTTTTCATGTATACGGAGTCTATATAGCGGTCACTGTTCTTTTCCTTCCTCTTGGAAAACGAAGGACCTTTGACACCCTCCGAGATTATCTTTAAAATTGACTCTTTTGCTCCAAACCTTCCATTGAACAATGAACTCTAGTGACACGTGGTTAGTGCTAACCGTGCAAATGAGAGATATTGTGACTATAAACTGGCAGTTGTCGCATCTGAATCGCAGTTTAACATCACAATGACTCATGGGCTGGACAAGACTTTTAAAAAAATGAGATTGTTGTACTTTTTGTCACGTTATCAAAGTTGTAGCTGGGCATATTTCGTTTTCTGTGACAAGGGCTTAGTAAGTGCTTGGAGCCAGAGTTCGATTTATCTAATAACAGTCCTTGATGTGAAAGGTCCTTGGTTTTTCTCAAGACTTAGACGGCCAAAGAGCACATTCCTGCACGAATAGTAAGAGCCTTCCGCCTTGGGTCCCGTGATGGTAGCCATCTTGTAACTGTGTGGCAGGTTCAGCCCGACAGGACAAGTTGTTGACATACCTCACAAAGATCATGTTCTAGGAATAAGGTTGTTGAGAGTGATGCCATATCACTTGGACGTTCTGGCTTACGCATTCCACAAATATCCTGCCGGACATAATCGAGCAGATGGGCTGAAGGGAAACAGGAGGAAGACGACTGATGTATTGGGGTTGAGGTTAGTATATCTAGCATACCACGATGTTAGGGTTTCGATAACTGCCCCAACAACTAGTGCAAAGAACGAGCTTTTCAAGACCGTAATGGTGCGTTTAGGTTGTTGTCGAGGCTTTGCCATTCTAATCCTTCTATTGTAAACTTGTTGAGGATGGCCGCCTCGACAGACTCGTTCCTCATAGGACTTGTAGTCTGACCCGGTATGTGAACCCCTTTTCAAGCCACCTCAAGAGCTTCCCTACGTCATGCGGCTGAGATTACCTGACATGGTTGAAATCTAGCGAGTAGACGTAGAAACGAGTTTCCTCAAATTGCCTCTGTCCCCACAGCAGCTCATTATAGACGGGCCTGTTTTTTCTGGACGTTGGCCCGGCGAGCCCAGCCACCCTTAAACATTCACATCACATTGACATTTACGGGAAGGCGTTAAAGGACATCTGGATAAAGTCCTAAATCCATTGGCCACCTGTCACAATAACCTCTCTCCATGTTGCCCCAAGTGCCTCATTTCCCGCTGCCATTGTTGACTTGGTTACCTTCCTGGAGGTTAGTCTGCGCGAACCTCTGCTTAACCAACTAGAAGACTAAGCTATTTTGGTACACTTTGATTGTGTGGACAGGGTCAACCGGTCTATCGAGTGTTGACTAGGCATGTACATCCTGGAGTCGCAGGCATACCTCGTCTGTTACCAATGGAACCCGGGCACCACCAAAGGGGGCAACTGCGCCTGGGGCATGGCAAAGAGCAAAGACCTCGTTACATGGGAGGACTGCAAAGTCACCATTTGGAACGGCACCTCATATGATTCCCCGGGCGTATTTTCCGGGTCAATCGCTTCAAGAGTAGTAGCGGTGAAGAGACTCTATACTTGTGCTATACCAGCGTATCCGCCCTGGCAATCCACTGGTCTCAGCCGTACATCAACGGATGAGAAACACAATCAGTCGCCAACTCGACAGACTTGGGTTAAGCACCGGAATAATCCGTTATTGGCAGTCCCCCTTAAAGAGGCTACAGCCACAGGATGGCGCGATCCATTCGTGATTCAATCGCAATCCTTGTTAAAACTGCTTAATGTGCGTCAAGACAAGAATTACATTATGCTTGCTTAGAGCGAGCGGAAACGCGGTCCCCAGCTTCATCTATACAAGTTTGCTAGTTTTTTCACGTAGCTTAGGGGAATACATTTCCACTATTTTGGATGTTAAACTACACCGCTACATCTCCAAACGAAGCAACTTGAAGTGGGGGATAAACTTTGAATGCGCCGGCTTCTTCACCATTGGTCAGACGGACTACATGATAGTTGGCGTTGAAGAAACAGAAGAGAGCAAACGTCACAACGGCCACTCTCTGCTCTGGATATCCGGCAAGTTTGTACTAAATAAGCACAACCTGCCAACGTTGACGATTCACGGGCACGGCATGCTCGGTCATGGCAATTTACACGCTGCGCATATCCTCAGAGACACAGAGAACCGCCTGATACAGCTGGAATGGACGAGGTTGGAAAGAAGCCGCTGGTTCAGGCACAAGATGGCAGATCGATCACGCGTTTGGGGTGACGAAGACGCTAGGAATTCGGCCGGCGCCGCAGGTTGATACCCTCCGATAAGGGCTTCCAGACTATTTCTCTCTCCACGATCTGAAAACCCTTCAGTCGAAGAGCTACGAGCTGAAAACGACGTTTTATTATTTGTGTGGTTTAGAAGACTTTGCCCCTGACTTGCTCTAGTCGCCTGGCTGCTCCGAGGTGACAAGGCTCATTTTTAACCTTGAACAACAACAGATGGTTGTAAGTCGATCAAGGTTGTCACTGCAACAGTTGGGCATAACGGTGGCCGACGCAGGCAATCTTAGACTGCTGCCAGGGAAAAATGTTCAAGTGAGCATCTTTGTCGATGTGCCTGTTGTTGAGATTTTCGCCAACAATAAATTTCCACTCATGTTGCGGGTGTATTCGTCACTGGAGACTTGTACAGCCGCCGCCTACGACTTGAATGGGTTTGATGAAGAAAATTTCAAGTTTGAGTGCTGGAAAGGATTGAAGAACGCCTGGCCGGCAAGGGGTTCCGGCTGTGAGCTATTACCGGAGCCACACCCGTTGCATCAAAAGGCAGAGCATAAACAATTCGACAAGGACGGTTTCGCTACCTGTAGTGAATACCTCTGGAAATGACCGCAGCGTCGGGTGCTCCATACCTGGCAGATCTCTGTGGTCTATGCAAAATGTACGACGTACACCGTGGATAGAGCCGCCACCAAGATCAGGAAGTGTTCAAGTTATAGAGTATTGGGGGCCATGTTGCCGAATAGATGGCCCGATTGGCAATGAGGTAAGCATTACAATTCTGTCGCTTCCCATATCAGCTAATGGCGTGTTCTGTATTTCCATTTGCGTAAAAATAACTATCCAAGAAATATTCCACGTTTTCTTTGGGCAAAAGGACGGATTTTCAGCTAATATGACCTCAAGTGTTCAACTCGGACCCGAGTAACTTGGCTTTAGTATCCATTGAGAAGAAGCAGACAACGCTTCATATAAAGGTTAAACACGAATTACCATGACCATATTCTCACTATATTAACATTCAAATAGCACCAACATTTCTGCAACCGTCCCTGTTCTTACGCCCCCACCCATGGGAAGTACCTTGAGTGTAAACATTTTCGATTGACGACGGTTGTCAGTACCGTCAATAAGGCTTGAAGCACCTCCGCAAGATTGAACAAGCCTCGCCCGAAATTCCGAGAGGGCATATTGCAGGTCCGACTGTACAAATGCGCCACTTCACATCTGCCAAAATATACCCCAGTTGTTATATGGCTCGGGTCTTGTGGAGCATTTCCAATATACCATAGCATAGTTGACCGTCCGACAAAGAACTACGAATATGAACAGCATCGCATTCTCGTGTCGCAGGCGTAATGCGCCTTGCCTCGCATTCTCGGACGAAAGGGGTTCCCTTGAATCCAGACTCCATCGGCAGCAAGACTACCAAGACTCGCCGTAGCATAACCCTCCGGCCTACATAGTACCCTCTTGCGGTGATGAGTCGTCTCCAGTTTAGTCAATCTGTTCATGTACAATGAACCTTCGCAAGTCCCAGTGATGCTCAAAGAAATCTCAAACCTCTGACGCAGTGTTGTATCGCAAGGTGACGAGATGACAAGGCCCATTTATGACCGCCATGACGTCCGAGTGCGACTGTGCCCGAAAGTCCACTCATTTCTTGGTTGATTCAAGGGCACCATCGTCCCCCTCTTTTAGTACTCTAAGTTTGGGTACTGCCACAAGATGGAGCATTTCCAGGCTTGTTCAAGTTTAAGAGACATGAAGCTGATGCTCGAGCCAGCCTCGCATATAAATGCCGAGAATTGTCCCTTTCGGCGTCGGTGAAACGTCGCTTTGACCCTAATCAAGGATAAATTCGGGCCCGCCCCTCAAACCGACGTCTTCAGTCGCCTAGCTATTCCATCCTAAACGACGAGCAGTTTCGTCCCACGTGGCATTCGCCCTTACAGCCGAGCCACCGGGAAGTTGTCGCCGAGAAAAGTTCCACCAGTCATCACGGCCCAGACAAGCTGGCCCTCTGTTCGAACCCGTTCCCGTCGCCGTTTCCAAGCTGTCCCAGAAGCACATCTTTACACGGTCAGCAAGAACCCCGTAGGTCCAACGACGCGCAGAAAGCTCACCTCCAAGCTTCCACCTAGAAGAAAACCCCGTCAGTGCCTGTCTGAGCTGCTGCGCATCTCCGTCCTCCAAGCCGTTCGGGCACAGCTTGTCAAGGTGGACAGAGGCAGCCAGCAAACAACACAAGCCCAAGAAGCAAGGCCGTCTGCTGTTGTGCCAGCCGTGTCTTTGGAGCAGCTCGCTCTCCACTCGGCATGTGTCGATGATGAGATTGTATGCGCAGGTGGCCGCCATGTTGGATTTTGCATCGCCCACGGCTGACGTGAGGTAGTTTGTTTTCCGGTACAGAACCATCAATGTACTGGATGGCGGCGTTAGAAACGCCCACCGCTAATGCATGTAAACGTCGCGGACACGTACCTGAGCGACATGGCGACGGTTTCGCAGAGGGGAAACCGCCCTCCTTGGGTTTTGGAGATGTAGCTGCCAATTTGGCCGTATATCGTCTTTTCGATGGCCTCGCATTGTGCCAAGTCGGTCGAGGAGCCTATGGACCTGGACATGTCCCCGAGGCGGAGGGCATGTTGTGCGCGGGCAAATAGATTACGGACGGCATCTTCGCCATAGATGTCCTCGTTTGAGGCTCTGTGGAGTAGAGAGTCTTGCGGTACTTGGCTTGGGTGGACCAGTTGTGGCAAGTCATGGTCAACAGTTGATAGCACGACGGTCCTGAAGCAGGTGAGTACTCATGAGTGCCAGTGTGCTTTTTTCAGAGCTATACTCACATATCGAGAAGAATGATCGCACTCAGGCATAAATCTAGCTGCAAGCGGTTAAGGGAGACGTGTGGGCCTGTTTGGCCAGCAAAGTTGGTTATGTGATTATGCAGGTTGATGCGCTGAAGGAGGCTGCGGCAAGCGATCAATGTCTCGTAGGCGTCCTTGCTCATGCCATGGCCAATCTCATGAGTTGCGAGTATTATACCAGACTGCATGAGAAGGACTTGTGCGGTGGTATCTGAGGAGGCTTGCAGAATGGAAAAGAGGCTTTTGACGGTCCGATACAAGGTATGTCGTACTGGGTGATTTGCGTGTTGACATGGCGGGGTGATGAAGAGATACATGCAAACTACCATGAGAGCAAAAGCGTCGTCTTCAACAGCGGAAACCGCCTTTTGGGCAACGAAATTCTCCGTGCTGGCGAGGACATTGTCCCTGTCCAGAATTGGCAGCCAGTGATGGGCGATGTCGAAGTAGCTTCTCACGGTTCCCACGACGTGAACACCAGCGGAATCGAAAATGTCATTGATGATACAAGACAAGGATGCCTGCGGAGCGTCTGCATCATCGACAAAGGTGCTCTGCCTCGCGCACGCTGCCCAGAGCAAGGCGCGCTCGCCAGCAGGGGACACGTCCAGCGGGCAAAGGCCGCGCAAGATAACCAATGTATCGGCCGCAAATTGGGAGACGGACGCAATTTGGCGCAAAGCAGCTTGATCTCTCGCTGTGTATGTACACTTGACAACTCGCCTTGCGAAGCATTAGCACTTTGCACGCGGCCATCGGGAGATGGGTTCCCGCGCAGAACAGAAAGGTACATGTACGTACGCCACGCAGCGAGAACAGCTAGGGATGACCCTATCGCAGCGCTGCTTTTGCTGCCGGCAGCTCAGGCACGCTCCAGGAGCCAGTGCAAGCGGGAAATTCGCCATTGTCATGTGGTTGTATCTACTATCAAGCGATAGCGGCGGCCAGCCTCAGGCTGATGACGTCGCAATTGTCAGGGGAGCAGCGTAGACGATGCCGCGAGAGTGGCGGAGCAGCGGCTAGTGCCCGAGATTAAGCTTGGAGAAGAAGGTTTGCTGAATGCTACTCCAATCCTTCAGAGTTCGGACTCGTCGGAAGATGGAAGATGGGCAAGGTGAAACGTCGTCGTGCTGCTTGTCAAGCCCACTTCCTGTTGCAGAAACCGAGTCTCCACCTGGACCCGCATTTGGCTAGGGTCGGCCGACCCTGGTCGATCCCGGCACTTGCAAGTCCAGGTCCCATTTTGGAACTCGGAAGAGACAGGGATCGCCCGATCCCTACCCGGACCACGTGTTTGTGATGTTGTAGTTTGCGCTTTTGTGATTACAAACGGACGCGGTTCGAGTCCGTCGTGGCCTGTAGTGGTCGTTGCGCAAGTCATTTGATGCGTTTGCCAACACCGTGGGTCTGCGGGACATGAAAACACCAGACACCAACATGGAACCCTTGCATCGCCAAATAGCAAAGTGGGGATCCCGATTTACGTCAATGCCTAAGAAATGCGGTCATGAATTATATGTCAACTGGTGTATAAATATCAACCATCGGCCTCTATGGTCAACACGCTCAATCTCACCTTCAAGCCATTATCAACATCCTCCATCGAGAACCTTTGTATACAACCATCATGAGTCTTCCAACAACTGCACGCGGATGGTCCGTCCGAGCCATCGACAAAGACAGCTTCGATGGACTCAACTTTCAAGAGAGCATACCTCTCCAACCCCTCGGAGACTACGACGTGCTCGTCAAAATCGAAGCCGTCTCTCTAAACTACAGAGACTTGGCCATCCCAAGGGTTTGTAGCCGTACCTGCTTCTCGGTATCCTAAAACGTCAAAGTCGCTAATACGTCGTCAGGGCCGGTACCCGTTTCCCATGAATCTCCCCGTCGTTCCCGGGTCCGACGCCGCCGGCATCGTCCTCGCAGCCGGCCCCAAGGCGACAAAGTTTGCAAAGGGAGACAGAGTCTGCACCCTGTTCAACGAGCTTCACCAATCGAACCCAATCACTCCCGAAGCGGTCGAGAGCGGACTTGGAGGTGCGATAGACGGCACCCTGCGCAACTACGCCGTCTTCACGGAGCAGGGCCTCGTCCGGGCGCCCGCTTCCCTCAACGCCATCGAAGCGAGCACCCTCACCTGCGCTCCATTGACGGCGTGGAATGCCCTCTACGGCCTGCAATCCAAGGCCTTGAAAACAGGGGACTGGGTTTTGGCCCAAGGCACAGGCGGCGTCAGTCTTGCCGGTATTCAGTTCGCCGCTGCAGCGGGAGCCACGGTGGTCGCTACGACCTCGTCAAATGACAAGATTGACTTCCTCAAGGAACTCGGCGCTTCGCACGTCATCAACTACAGGGAAGAATCTGACTGGGGCCAGGTAGCCAGGGATTTGACACCCGGACGTGCTGGTTTCGACCACATTCTGGAGATTGGTGGCCCAGGGAGCATTGCGCAGTCACTCAAGGCCATCAAGTTGGAGGGCGTCATCACCATCATTGGTTTCCTCAGTCCTTCTGATATGCAGCCGCCGTTGATGGATGTGCTCAACCACCTTTGCACTGTCCGGGGCATCTTTGTCGGCTCGAGGCAGCAGTTTGAGGAGATGAATCGGGCGATTGACTCGGCCAAGATTCACCCAGTAGTTGACCCCAATATATTCACGCTGGAAGATTTGAAGAAGGCGTACCAGTATCAGTGGGAGGGGAAGCATCTCGGAAAGGTGGTTGTCAAGGTCGCAAGCTAGTCGGCCATTTTTCACAATGACCAAGATGCTTGGAGATGGGGAATAAACGAGCCATGATGATAGAACGCGAGTATGACCGGGTAGGAATTTTACTTGCCAGATCGTTGGTACTACAATAAAAGATGAATGCCACGCGTCTGAATGCATCTTGACATCCAAGCACATGGAGTGCAGTACAGGTTTCGTAGCCCTCCCAAAGACCCATGATCACGTTGTGAATTGGTCCCTCAGCACTACTTCCTACAAGACGCCATGAAGACGCCGCCATGTGCAACTGCGCGTCCAATTGGCGGGAGGCCGATTGGCAAGGCCAGCTTACTCTGTCAGCCCGTTCCACGAATTGGCCATCAGCTCAACCTGTGCAACTAGACTTCTCATCAGCCATCTTCCAGAACACCGGCTGTGGACCCGGCAGTTGGTAGGTAATAGGCTACCCGTCGCCAATGTGGCGCAAAGCAATGTGTTTGTATCGTGGCATCTAGACGCCCGCGACGGCGAGTTCCCGATGCGACCGAAGGAACTGGCTCTCGCCTTGCAGCGTCGCGTATTCTGTTGGAAATCGACCCTGAGCAGCACATGGAGGTGGCGTTGATCAGATAATCAAAAAGATGAAGGTGTATTGCCGACTCTTGTCTCATAAAGATGCCTTGTTGCCCTCAACTCGGACGTCCAGGATCCAGGACAAGCAGCAGCTCAGACAACTGATGCAGCAAAAACGAAAATTGCACACGATGCAAGAAATAAATCACCAGATGCCTTTAAAATCTCCATGGCCTGAGTTTATGGGTTTCTCATTTCCACAAAGCCTCGTTGGCCAGTCACAGAAGATGAGTGGTCTTTTCCAGCCGGTGTGTACTTTCGCTCCCCCATGTCCCGTCGCTGCTCACACGATTTGATCCAGGACCAAGTCGATGCCGTCATCGAGGCTCCAGGCTTCTATCTCGCCGACGATTTAGGCCATCTATTCAGCAGTTCTCTACCGTCTACCGACGAAGTTGCACAAACCCCCGGAAGCTCCTCCTCGTCACAGGTCTCCGACGGTTGCAGCTCTGGTCTCGATGACGCCGTCGCATCTCCCCTCCAGCCCAGCAGTCGCAAAATGGTGGCTTTGGCGCCGGCGCAGCCCAGATGGCCACCCAGTGCAGATTCGCAGCTACCACAGGGCTCGAGATATCACAAGCGCAGGGAGCAGAATCGGGTGGCGTACGTGCTCCATACTTTTTGCTGCGGTTCGTCTTGGACGCAATCACTAATCCGAAATCCACGGCGTATAGCCAACGTGCTTTTAGACAGCGCAAGGAACAGCACCTCAAGGAGCTAGAAGACAAGGTGGCGGTTCTGGAAGCGACTAGAGACCGCATCAACGCGGAGAACGCCCGACTGCAAGAGGACCTGGAGCGAGCGACCGTGGAGTATTCCCTCCTGCAGAACTTGGCCAAGCCCAGCAGTCTATTTGATTGCGCCGACCGGTCTGATGGCTCGTCTATATCTGCTCCCAGCCGTGAATGGTTGGCGAGCCCGCCACCGACTTCGAGCTCCGAACCACACTGCCTTGCGGCTTCACGGCCGCGGTATTGTGGACATGAGCTTAACGCGGGACAGATGTGGGAGTTTATTACCGGTCACCGCCTGTTTCAGGAAGGACTGGCGGACGTTGACTCGATTGCTCGCGAGCTGCGCAGGTTCTTTCCAGGGGATGGCATGGGAGGCATCACAGAAGACATTCTCACCCACTGCATTCACGAGAGCGCGAGACTGCGGCAGGGGGGTTACAGACTACAGTTGACAGATAAATTCCGCCCGTCATCGATTTAGCTTGCGTATCTTAATACCAACCCTCCTCGTATTCCGCACATGGTCGTTTCGCCGATTCGTGGATGATTCCCGACCCCGCAGCCTCATGCCACGCCATGTTCGACATGACAAATAGGCCCTGGGGAAGTAAGACAGCCAGGTAAGACTGGTGGCCGGTTGCCGCAGGGCAAAGAAAAGGGCCTTGTCTGGAGTACACGGTGTTGTCAGCTCACTTGCTGTGGTGGCTGGTTCCGCCGTTGTGACGGAATATGTCCGTGGTGACAAATGCTGCGTGAGCTAGCGAGCTTAATCGTTATGGTGGCGTTTGTGTGACTTCGAAGCTGAAAGGGTGTGGGTTGCCTGTCAAACGGCGATCAATATTGGAGGTGGCTGAAACGGTTGTTTGCCCAAAGCCGATGATGCCGTGGAGATCGGTATTTCTTCACATCATAAACAGGAACAACGTATGAGATGGTGATGATGACTACACAACTTCTTGATGTAGTATTAATATATATTCTTGATGTAGCCAACTGTTTATCTTTGCAGCGCATTAATGGAGTTCTGTCCGTCCTCGCGATGAACAGCGTAGTACCTTTATGCGACAAGGCAGATTCATGTTCATACGAGAAGGATTTCTATTAACGGCTGGAGGTATTCATAGGCAACGGATGAATTAATACTTCGTGGGGGGCGGAAGGCACGGCTGAAGAGCGAGTGCGAAGTAAATGAAGGCGTCCGGCTTCCAGAAACGGATAGCCACAGTTATGCAAGGCTTCTGTTGCAGTAAACTGCTTGCATGTGCTTTTGTGGCTGCAAATGTCTACACAATGTGAATAAACCGACACCCCGCAACCTGTGCTTGAGTGGCGACAAAGCCATAAATAGCAACATTGAATACCCATGGGTGTTTGATGAATGGGGTGACCCAGTAACGCCCCCCACAATGAGAATACATGGAACGTATGGGACGGCGTGTTTCCATGTCGTCATTCAACGATCAAATGCATATACAGCACTGCTAACTCTCATGGGTGCGAAAGATGTGCCAAAGGAGGCCGTGTTTCGCACAGCCACGACGCCGGCCAGTTGCAAAGCATAATAAGAAACGTGATGCGGAAGAGTTCATGGAAAAGTGAGCGAAAAATCGTCGACGGTGTTTATAAAAGGACACAAGGCTCATGCGATTACATCCACCGTAGGGCTACTGGATGTGTAACTGCTAACAACCGACTTGTGATGGTGATGATGCAGGGTTGCGGGTTAGGGTTGGGCTCATGCACACAGCTCCCAATAGATGGACTCGAGTTACACTGTACAACTAGCCGAGGATTTGAACAAACTGCAGCCCTCGTTTTTAAACTATTACCTGCCCAGCTATCCTAGCTGCAGAACGGCAATAACGGGAAGAGAACCTCGTCGTCTGTCAGCCCACTGGGGGTTTCAAGACTGGCCGTGAGGTCCTGTCCCGAGGGGACAAGCCCGGCCACTCGCAGCAGCGTCAGACTTGCATGACAGACGTCGAAACACGTATATTTCATTTGTTGATACAAGGCGGGGTCAAATCGACACAGATAGAAGCTAGAAAACTCATGGTTCATGACAGAGCTTGGCTGTACCTTGCCAGCCTGATAGAACGTAGGTCTGCCGGATATTGATTCAAGATTCAGAACCTGTACTTATCCATCTTGTCATCTCGCTCTTTTCATTGTTCTGGCAGGGGAACGGAGAGCTTTGGACGATGCTTATTGCTGCAGTTGTAGTCCATTCCAGCGGGTTCAGTAGTTCTACTAACAGGGACATTATACACTAAGGGTCTGATACATTTCAAGAGTCAAAGAATCGCATCATAGATCCGGTTTTCTCTTATATAGCTTTGATTTGTAGACATTACATCTTTTCATGAAACCAAGTGAGTGGACGCGAAAGCGTTTTCCCGTGAAGAAGAACAAGAGTGTGTATCTGATGATATCATTCATCAAGTCTCGACATATGCCAAAAATAAGACTGGTTTAACTTCTTCCTCGTGTTGCCTTTTTTACCGCAAAAACTTTCCTCATAGAGCCTCCTTCTTCTTCTCATTCAACTTTTGAGACAAGTTCAAACTCTGTCAGGGCAAAGCGTGCGCCAATATCCGCGCCGCAATGCATTTTTTTCTGATGCAAGTTGCAAGGTTACAGTTAAACGGGAACGTTTGGTGGGTCTTTAATGTTGCCGATTCCAGTGGATCTGATATATGCTTCGACCTCGGGTTGCATCGACTTCCAGGTTCTTTCATTAAAGGCAAAATTGGCCTGACTAAAGGTGAATCTGGTACTGACCGTCGTCTGAGTGCTCTTCGTCTTGGAGGTCGTATACATCTCCTGGTCCAGGGTATAAGTAATGTTGCGAAGTGCTTTCCCCTCAAGTTAGCCAATTTCTCTATATTTCCAGAACATGGGTATGCTTACATGCGCGTAGGTCGTCTCTAACCTCGTCATACGTGTATACTTGAAGCATACTCCAGAAAGAACGACGGTCAGCCGTGTAATTCGTCTCGTTGATGGTTTGCGAGATTCCCTGGAAGATGGCCTCAAGTGCGGCTGCTAGGGGCCGGGGAAGTACGATTCCAACGAGCATCGTCGCCAGCAGTTCCCAGTGGAACCTGCTTTTTTCAACCTGGATTTCCTTGTCAACGTTGCTCGACTGGGGGCTGTACATCCTACATTATTGTTAGCTTCGGATGGCATATACTCGGTCTGAGCAGCAACATACCATGGATACACGCCATCGTTGAAGTAGACGTCCATGACCCTGGACCGGTATTGAGAGCGTCTCCAGCGAGAATCATCGCTATCATCGGTTGGAAGAGCTCCTTCTTCCTTCCGCCTCCTAACCTGGATTCCGGCGTGGATGGTTGCTAGCTGGTGAGTCAACTGGAGCATTTGCTCCAGCTCGTCCATGCGTTCCTTGAATCTCTGACCTAGGCCTGGGGCCTCCATATTAACATACAAAATATTGTCGGGGTCGTTGAACCCCATGTCATCATCACTGGGAATTTCATTCTTTGCAGGTGCCCTAAAGGAGGGCTTATCGATGGGAAGTTCTGCCACATCACCCCACGTAGCGATTGGAGCCATGGTGCTAACAAAACTCAGGATGAGTCCAGATGGTTGTTGGTCTTGTGTAAATCGTTGCTTAGTCCACGAACTTATGATATGCTTGTGACAATGTCCCCTTGATTGGTGAGGAATGCGTCTTTTATACCTGGATTTTCGACTTTGATTGCCATGACTCCGCATCCCCTACGCTACATGTGACAACAATCCATGTCTTCTCAGGACAACGCATCACGTTGCAGTCCTCCCAAAAACATCAATATAACTCATGCAAGCCAGAGACAGCCACGCCACTTGGGTTCCATCACCCGTGCGCCTTGGACGATGCCTCGGGCGCCTTTACATTCGGCCTTGTGACGCGGTTGCACAAGGGTTGTATGTAAGTCAACATGCAGCACCGAGGAGCGGTGTGCACTGTGAGACGGAATACAATAGTAAACAGACTCAGTCTCACTCCGAGGGGACTGAGCTTGAGTGCATGTGCTCATGCAAAAGTGCAGGGTGTTACTGCTGGATTACAAATTGCCTTCCAAGGCTACTGGCTGCGGCAGTTTCTTTTTCGGGGCATAAATGAAAGGTCGCCATGCAGCTGTTTAGATTGCCCATGTCGGGATTCACGATGGCGCCCACCATGAAGAGAGAGCTGCTGCTGCTAGAAGTGGCTGCTTTAGGTCAGCCTAATTGAGCGGCGTGCATGGTAACCTGCACATCCATGGCCGTGTCTCATAGGAGAGTAGATGTCGGCGTTGTGTCATATATGACCCCTTTTGTGTGACTGCATCAATGTTACAAGCCATTCGATGAACTAACCACAAATCGGATGCAGAGGCGGATCGTGAAAGTTGAGGGGTACATGTAGGGTCCTCCAGTGGCGAGTCGCTGAAGGATACTTGATATCTCATTTGTTCCTGTAGCAATCTATTAGGTATTGTCCTCGGTTGACACCTACTTGTATGCAACGAGACACGGTAAACAGGTTCAGCTGAGGCATTTTTTAACCGATTGCCACTCCAGGCACATGCATGTTATTTTCTTGTTTCGCAGCACCTAGCAGAATACACCGTGTCTTGCATTGGCCGCTTCGACATGTGAGAGCTTAATCATGACAAGCCACACCGGCTTTGGCCATGAGGGGTTGGGTAGCGACGGCACATCCAGAATGATGGAGATGTTTCTGCCGCGAGAGTCTCCGAATCCGTGAGCTTGTATTATATAGCGGAGAGTATGCCGTAGGCAATATAAAATTTTCAACGTCCATCACCTTCATCTAACCAGTATGGCTTCGATCGTACCTGATGTGGAGCAAGTGACCATCAAGTTGAGGTCTGAGCCGGGTCTAAAGTCTGCAAGCGTAGACGTCTCTAATGATTATGGCACTCCCAATGTTCTCTTTCTATACTACACACCGTTTATTCCAGATGACAATAAACTAGATCTTGACGCTATACAAGATGAGTTCCAGTCCTGGAACGCCTGGGAGCTTGGACAGGCAGAGACACAGCTCATCAGACATGTCGAAGCTGGCAATCTCCCATCCGACGACTCAATCGCCTCTCGTATAATTAGAAATAACTATCGATCAAAGGCTATTGATTTTTTTCGCCAAGGAAATGAGGCATGGTATGTTTCACACAAGCGTCTGGTCTTTCGTGGACTGAAGGCCAGAGACTAAGTGATGACTCCTAGGCTATCTCTCGCAAACAATTCCACAGCTCAAAAGGTCATTGTAACGGCGCAAAGCGAGGCCCATGGTTCCATCCGTCAAGAGATGAGGGCGCTGGCTGCAGAACAACACCTTCAAAGCCAGTTTGAGGTGATTATCAACGCTATAAGTGGTAGTGTTGAGGTAGCGGAAGAGAACAAATTTTACTTTACTCATGTCTATTATCGATATGATAATAATTCAAGGAGATTTCTGCCAGGTACAGTCCTTATTTCGCAGTTTGAAAAAATAGTACTAAGAAGTCGTAGTTATTTCGGACACTACTTTCGGGATCAAGAAAGGAGACGAGGGAAGCCAAGCTGGCGGAGATAAAGTGAAACTAGAGATCAATCTCTCTGTCAACACTTACAACTTTGATAGAAAGTTTTGGAGAGACCATCGGCATGAAGGGGAGGAGGCTATCCAAATGGGAGAGCCTATCCGTAAGCAAATGGCATTGGACTTTTATGTCAACAGCTAGCCTAGCTACCCGAAACCCAGACTTATTAAGTGAAAATTGAAACTTTGGGATAATGCAATACTTACTCTCCCTCTCCTTGGTCAAGTGTATGAAACAAAAGGCTGTGTTATTATCCATGCTAAAGAGTCTGAGTCACTTACACAGCTGCATTGCTAACCAACATAAATAATCACTGCTGGCATCCTTTTTATGGTAGGCGATTCTCGTAGAGTCTGCCATCGCGGCGCAAACTGAAGAGTCTAGTGGAAACAAAGACTAGATGGGAAGCAATAAGAGACGATCTCGTATTCGGATTAAAAGACGGATTGCCTGGGGAGCACGGGGCTTGGATCAATTGCTTCACAAGGCCCGAATCCGGCTGCTGCAGGCAGTAGATGACGAAAGCGGCTTCCGTACGGCATCTTTGTTTACACCTATAGTAGGGGCTAACGGTGACGTCGGACGTAATACCCGGTGGTGAAGAAAAGAAGAATTCTGCCAACCCACGGGAAATCAGGGACAGCCTAGGGCTTCATTAATAGACTTACTAAGCGGCGATGGGCTGGTGTGGCTAGATGCAGCAGTCTGAAACGTCGTGATGAGTTGCCATTTCATCACATCGCAGTCGCAGCCAAGCGCCTTTTATAGCGATCAAGTTCATGTATTTATTATTGGCTTGGCCCTGTTCGTCCACGACCAGGATATGCCCGACCTTTGCTAACAGGGTGCAGAGCCAAAAAAAAAAAATCGGCAATGCCTGAATTCTGGTTCAAATATAATTTATTTACTGTATTTACGAACGACAGAAGAAGTCTTACCACCGTCAACACAAAGTGCGCGAGTCCGTTACTATCTGCATTAGGAAAAAAAAGAAGGTTAAAAACATACAACACCGGGTATTCGCTGGTCGTCACCGACCCAACTACTAATCCGGCGCTCGCCAGATTATCGTGCGAGATCAGACGGGATCGTGAGTTTTACTGGCGGCTGTGGTCGTATGTGACAGTTTGTTTGTATGATTGCATCATAAATCCTTGGTGGTCCTAGGACACAGTTAATGGTCAACCGATGGAACAAGGGAATTGCGGTTGGGCTAAGACACAACCACGACATGTCCTTTATCGCAACTCAAAGCAAAGTGAAAGCTATCCTATACTACGTGACTAACTATCGAAAGCCTGATCCAAGGCATTTAAGGCGCACCAACATTGGGGATGGCAGCACAACTAACTCGGAGTTGGGGCAGGATGCGGTCAAGCCAGGCGGAGACGTCGCGCTGATACAGCATCTGACAACTGAACCACACATGAGTCTTCAATGGCGAGCGTCTTCGTCATTCTACGCCGAAGGGGATCGAGTTTCCGAAACCTTGACCCTGAACTGTCGCCAGCGCGCCGCATTCCTGCTGATCTGTAGGCAAATGGATCGCATCCGACAAGCTCAACGTGAGACCGATGTGGACCAGCTTTGCCAGTTCATCGGCGGCGAAGGCGGGACGGGCAAATCCCGAATCATCGAGGCAATCGTCCAACTTTTTGCGAGGAGGGGTGCTGAAAATAAACTTCTCGTCACAGCAACTTCGGGACGGATCAACGGCATTACCATCCAGTCAGCATGTAACCTTTCGGTAGAGCAGCGCTCGGTGTGGACATCATCGAAGTTAAACCAGACGGAATGGGCACGTCCGGGCCTGGCCCAAGATTAGTCAGTGGCCAGTCCAGGATGGACTGGCAGGATAACATTGAAGCAACATTGAACCATGTCCCCACCAGACTCCCTCTGGCCAGCTTCTAACCCCCAGTGCCCGCTGGAGAGCTTTTCCAGCGCCAAGTTGGCAACTCCCCGCTCACCTCTTTATGTTTATTACTCCATGTCGGGAAAAAAAAAAGTAAGAACTAATGTATACACAGCCTTCGGCTGAATTACGACTTGCTGTTGCTACTTTCCACTTGCCAGTGGCAAGTTGCCACCTGGGTAGTGATGCTTGCGTCTGGTGTTCTTGACAGAGGCAGCATTATGCTTGAATGAATGAGCGACATGATCTTTGACAACGCGTACGTACTTTTTCTTCCTGTACGTATGTACGTACAACATTACTACTCTATACAACAACTGAAAGTACTCTCCAGCAGCTAGTATTTAATTTATTTGAATACTCGCTGTCACACAGCACGATTGTATGGGACAGCTTAGGTAAAACGAGAGACTCTTAATTTCCTATATAAAGAGTAGAATAATACGAAACTAAATCCTTATTATAATACTACTGCCTAGTAGGCAGCAGTATAGCAATAGCTGTTGCTTTGAATGAACGACTTGACCTTGACATCATGCTTGAATGAATGAGCGACCTGATCTTGGCACTTGCTATAGCCAATTCTGGGGCCCTTACAGGTACTCTCCAGAGACGAGGTCCAGCCTCACACGACTTCCATCCTCACACTACCCCAAGGCTTGCTAGGGTCGCGGTTAACACATTGTTCAGATTGGACATAACGGACGTTTCCTGTGCAATCTTGATTTTCATAGATTGCAACTAATCTCAAATAAGCTTTCAGAGCTATATATTAGTTGTGGAATTGCTATAAAACTTACAAGTAACTCCTATCCCATACTTAGGCGCTCTCAGAGACTGCGCCAACTTTGGAATAGAGGTGCAATGCTGCAGTAGGATAACAACGCCAAGTCCGCTGCAATCATAGTGATCAAAGACTGCGAATGCCGTACTGTCGTACTGGGCAAAAGCGCTAGCCACAATACTAGCAGCGGCGAGAATAGTCGTAGTATGCATGCTGTAGTGTTAGGTGTGGAAGAGAAAGTTTTTGTGGTGTGTTAAGTGCTGTTTATTTATTGTAATTTTTATGAGTATAATATTAGAGGCTATAACGTTTATTTATAGTTGTACATGTAAGATTGTCTTGTTGCTAGGCTGGAGCGTAATATGGGTAAGTCGGCAGCCAAATATGACGGATCTTGTAAAACTTGCTTTGCTTGTCCAAGGTTTAGTGAATACAGTTACGAAGTTTTTTTCGGGGTTACACCTAACCCTGCAAAGGGGTTGATAGTATGTGGCTTGCAAGACTAACCTACTTGTTTACCTTTGAGCAGTAAAACTGCTTCTAAGACTTACATCTCTAATTACTAGTGCAATTAGCGTTGTAACTTAATAGCGGAACAGTCGGGTAACAGCTTATAAATAGCGTTTAATTTTATTACCCTCTTTTCTAATATAAGAAAACGTAGAATCCTTCTTTTAAGCGTTATATTTATTACTAAAATTATATTACAATTGCAGCGGTATTACACAAACTACTGTAAAAGGTAAATACTGCCAGCCACAAAGTATACAAGGCTAGATAGTACTGTAACAGAAAATAACTAAATCGGAAAGGCAAAGAGCAAGTAATTTTTAGCTGGGAATATTTGCTATAATTTAAAAGCTTCTAGAAATTTACTTTTAATAATAAAAGTTTAAAATAAATCTAGGTTTTTATTTACGGTATTTATATAAAGTTATTTACTTACCGCGCTATAATTAAAGTTTTACACTACTTATATAATTTTTTTCTCCTCTTTAAAGAAAAATGTTATTTTTAAATACTAAGCCGTGGTAACTTAGCCAAGTACAGTTGTATTGGCGATATTGGCCAAACGACCACCGATCACGCAAGACACACTTGACACCAGATAGGTCGCAGCTTCCCATGCGGCACCCCTCCCAGCCATTTGGTGATTATATACAACCAACCTCACCATCTCGTTTCCATTACCTAAGTCTGCCACCCTAGCTATCTTGACGCTATTATTGCCCTTAGATTTAATTCTCTTCCAAAAATAACGCTCATCGTAAATTCGCCAACGGGACTCAAACCAGACACTACTTAGTAGCAGGCGGGTATTGGCGATCCAGGCCCCTTCAGCAGGTTGCAACCGGAGGCTGCTAATACTCTGCCAGACCAAATATATCCCAAATCAATGGCAAATTGTCTGAGATCGGACCTGCTGACACGCTGGCTCGGCGGTGTCTTGGGCCAACATACCCAGCGCCCGTCGTGCAGAACAAGACCAAGCACGGGGAGTATAAGGTGAACTGAGGGCACACAGCTTATCAGGCGAATAGTTGACCGAGCAAAGCGAACAGGGAAGAACTGCGCCGTTAGGAAAATCTAGCCTTAGCCCTCCGGGTTCCAGAAGTACATACGCGTACTGCGTACGTACGACGTATTGTACAAAGCTATATTACTTAATTAGGCTTAGCTTATTGTATTTAAAACTTAAAAAGTAAATTTTATAAGAAAATTAACTTTTTATAGGAAAATAAATTTTATAAAAAAATTAACTTTTTATAAAATTAATATATTATATACTCTGCAAATCAGTTGTATTATTATTTACACTTCATCAAACGCTAGTATAAAATATTCTATGCTCTTTGTTGCAGCCTTCCTCGTGGTATCCTCTCTGGGTTCCCCAGGATACTAGTGGGCGAGGCCCTTCTGGCGCCGTTGTCAAGAATAACATGAAGCAGGCCGTCCGTGTAGATAACGTTCCGAATGGGCCGGACGGAATTGTTATTACCCAGGACAATTACTATCTATTTGAAGAATCAGATAACGGCGCCCTGAAAATTAGGGTGGAAGGCGAACCCCAAAATCAGATACAACTTCTACTACGATTATAAGCTACGCCGCCGCTAGTATTAACAAATACTGGCGATTAGTAAAGATAATCAGCCGTAACTGTGCAGTAATCAGTGGTCTTATAGTGGCAAGGAGGTGGCTATATTTAAAGAAAGCAGTATATGTAGGTCTTACACCTAAGGCTAGTGCTGGCGCCTCCCGTTTTTTACGCCAGGCCACTATGTGATACAGTAAGTAACTATAATCCCACCACACCTTTTATTAGTTTACTTTACTTTAAAAACGGATATTACAACCTTGATTTTTAGAGGTATACTCCTTTATATATAAAGGTATTAGAACCGCGAAGAGCTTAACAGAATCGTGAGTTTTACTGGCGGCTGTGGTCGTATATGACAGTTCGTATGCATGATTGCTTAATAAATCGTTGGTAGTCCTAGGGAGAGAAGCTAGAAAGACGCAATCTTTTAAGTCCCGGTCGACCTTGTTACTTGCTCAGATTGTGTTGAAATCAAATATTCTTCCCAGAGCTAGAGGCCCCGCCGAACCGCCACGAAAGGACGAACAGATTCCCTTTTTGCTGGTGGGTTTGCTAGCTGGCTCCTAATTTCAACCTTGCAAGCTGGATTGAACTGAACAGCCCGTTTTGATGAACCTACTAGATAGAACTCTGATTAACGACTCACTACCTAGGTAGTTCACAAATAACTCAACGCATTGCCATGGCCATCACGTGCAACTCCGCTGCTGCCTAACACACGCTTGAACGCGTAAAAAGTGAACTCAGCTACGCGAGGTGACCGAAAGCACTATTGGCATTAATCCTCACCTTCTTCTCACCTCCTTCTCGCCCAGAAAATTGGCGTGGAGCGTGTTTTCAAAGCCCGTGCCTCCTTGTCTTCAGAATTTGCCATCATTTCTGTAACACGCATTGTTTGCTCGTCAGCCAACTCGCCACAGCCAAAACTTGGACCATGGAGCAGACGTTTAAGCTTGTAGTTCCTCATGCCAGGCTGAACGACATATATGGAGGCACGCTTGAAGATATGCTTAACAACGGCACGGCCGAGGCACTCGTCAAGCTACTCACTGTTCCCGCTCGGCCTAGGTTTGCCGTGAATCCAGACCGAATTGCCTGGCCAACTGCTTCACTAAGCAGCTGTGTGTCGGCGACGGTAGCCGTCAAGCGCCAAGTCGACGTCGAACTGCGAAAGTGCCCTCCACGACTTCTGAACAAGACCACGATGACTGCTGGAAGCCGCGTACCGAATTCACAACCAGCCACATTTGCCGGACTCCCTACCGAAATTCATCAAATCATCTTCTCTCATCTGGCACAAGATAAGGATGTCCTCAGCCTCGGATTGGTGAATCGACACCTCTGCGATATCGCCCGAGAACGGCTGTTTGCTGATTTTTTTTCGTGTTTGGCGCCCTGGGCTGGTCAAAAGATTGTCTACGTGGGAGAATACACCGAGCCAAATGACTACCCCCCTGGACTGTTTTCGGACGCAGAACTGGAGACCCTCAGGAAAGAGAAAATCGCAGTCTTTGACCGTTACGAGGGCTGGTATGATACCATGACACGATCCAACCTTTATGCGTTTACGACACCAAAAGTTTCCAATGCACAAAAACTGCTCGACATGCATTTCGAAACAGTTGGTTTGGCAGTCTTGTTGTCCATGGTACCGTCTTCCGAGAACGCTGCGCTGACATATTTGAGCCCGTCCGAATTTCCTAGTTATAGACAATACTTCCCGCAGGACAAACCGTGGATTCTTCGAAACCTCACCACGAAGCAGTTTGTACGTGCAGAAGCCATTGCCCTCCAGCGGGAATTCATTTACGGCCCCGACATTGATTTTTTGGGCTTTGGCCACGCCATCCTGCTGCGCATCTGTTGGTCGTCTCAGCCTGTCCCCGAGGTGGCTCCGGCAAATATCGTGAGAGGAATATGGGCAGGGCACTGTTTCGACATCACTATGCTGGCCAAACACCAGGAAGAGACTGGCGCCGGACAAGGCTGGGCCGATATAAGCGAGGAAATTGCCAAGGAGATTGCTACTTTTTGTGAAGCCAATCTGGGACCCAGCTGGCGTTGGCGTCTCTGTCAACCAAGATTCAACCCCTGGTAGTAAATGACGGGCCGAGGCTGAAATGTCACGTTGACTTTGGCACATGACTACATCACGTCGACTGGCCGCTAGTATGGGAGAAAAGGGTGTGATTCCAAGAGTGCTAACCATATTGTCAATTCCGACAGGGGAGTTGGGGTGTCGCGTTTGTCACTTTGGCTGCTGGATAGATTCAGGGGAAACAAGTAATGACTTGCTTATTGAGCTTGAGTGAGGAGGGCTCTGTGGCTTAGTAAATTGATTGCATTCATTTTATACACTCAGATGTTGAAGTAAACACTCCCGCTGAAGACGCTTATCATAACTACGAGGTCTATGATATGCCTCTCTCACATTGATACATATACGAAGGCATGCTATTATAGTTTATAGAACGGTCTCGTGAGGCTCTTGGCATCATTAGACTAATGCATCCCCGGAAACAAAGACCTGCGGATCCCTAAATCGTGGATTTTCAGCAACACCAGACTGCATCTGCCCTGCACTCCCTGTTCAGCCGACCGCCCACGGTCTGGATACAAAGCTGGTCCGTCTTTGAGGGACACGTAGACGTCTCCGTTCAATCTAGGGTAGAGTCTAACTCCAGCGTGACCTTGTGTCCTGGCCCTTTTTGTAATATTCATCAACCCACGCCTTCATCGTAGCCAATATCTCGTCCACAATCTGGCCCAGTTCCGGGTTCACAACAGCCTCTTCAGCAAGCATATCATTACAATGCGCCGCCTTGGGAATGACCCAAACGGGAGCCTCGGGTGTTGACTGCAATGGCCCGCCTGGCCGTGCATCTGCTGATACCGTAGCCGGCCTCCACGGGTCATATTCCCCATTCACCCACATGAGACGTGTGGTGTTCACATCAACATGATGCCAACCGCCGCCCATCCTTCTCTCAGTTTGGCCAACATTTCGGCCCTTTGCAAGCCCATATGTATGGATGCCTTGTCGTGGGAAGAGGTTTCGACACTGCATTCGGCCGTATTCCACGTCGAGGTACTTGGACACAATTCCCGTGGTGTCTTGAGGGCCGGAGACCTGCCAAAATTCAAGGCTATGACAAGTTGCGCGTGAGCCGCGAAATTGTCCGTGTATTTATGTAGTTCATCGTGGGTGAATAATGTACTTACGGCTCGTTACAGAGGAACCAATACCACTGTCTATTGAGTGTGTTATTTACGGAGAGATCCTTGTATAAGGGGCTGTTCTTGTCATTCATATCCAGGCACGCGACGGTGTTATTATCACTCCAGTAGCCGTATTCCGCACACACTAAATTTATTTGCTAGTCTTGACGCTTTACCATGTCTAGTTGAAGTAAATGACAACTCACCTCCGGGCAGATAGACTTCCCTGGACCACTTGGCAAAGCCGTCCAGGGCTCTGCTGGGGCCAACACCTTCCGGCCCTGGAGGCGTAGTACGACAGTCATTGGTGGTATTGTCTTTATCCGGGCACATGTTCTATTTGTGTCATGTTAATAATACTTGAGCAGCATATTACCATGACGGGACAAATGATTATCGCAGAATATACCTCGAGGTAGTCGCAGAACTGGTACAACAGGTTCGGTTTGTCCGACCTGGCAAACGTCATGCCTTGCCACTCTTCAAGGCCGCCAAGAATAGACTCTGCAAAATCATTATCATGGGTAAGAGCCTCAAGGCCGAATGTCTTTTTCAAGGCGTGCTTTTGGGTTTTGGTCCCGTGTGATAAAACTTTATCAATTTTCTCAGTCGCCCGTTGCATGTCGGTAGAACAATTCGTAGGCATAGCTGCTTTGATGGGCTCATAATATTGCCAAAAGTCGGAAATGATTTCAATCACAGCACTTGTACAGTGGTACGCCCAAAAAGTGCCGGGCGCGAGATGATGCGTCCATGCTGCAAGAGCACCGGGATATGAGCAGCCCGTTAAAATCCACGGCGCCTTTGTTGGCTTGGACGCTCCATCAACATCAAATGGTAGCTGAACATTATGGGCAAAGTAAATCAAGTCTTGGATAGCGTTCTCAAGGGTAAGGTATTGCAGATTAGTGGTAGACAGACTATCATATGGCGAGCTCTTGCCCCAATATCGATGCTCGAGCACGATAACGGCAGCGTTATTAGTCTGGGCAAACAGGCCAGGAAGAGTGTTGTTGGTGGTATAAAAGCCATCTACCACATCTTCGCCCGGCGTATTTAGCACGATTGGTGAGCCAGGTCCGGCATAGTACTCGGCGTTGTATAGGTAGTGTTGGGTAAAGGTGCCAAGGTCGGGGTTATTATGGTCAATCAGCTGCTGGAAAGTGCCTTCTTGAGTAGGGATATCGGATCTCCTGCTGTACTCTTTGGGCGAACGAGACGACAGACGGTTCAGGTGGTGACGCCGGGAAATGCGAGCGGCTGACAGCGTGGCAAGCAAGAGGCTTGTTGCTGCATTGATGCAGCTACTCGCGCGCATCTTCTTGCAAAATGGCGAACAAATAATGAGTAATAGCAGGTGTGGAAGGTGACCAAGGAGAGATGGCCTGAAGAATGGGATTTGTCGACACACGTCAGAATTGACATGTACCAGACATGTTTATGCTTGGCTGTGACAAGGGCAGGGTAACTGGACTCGGAATGTGTGTTCAAATATTGAATCAATAATCGATCAGACTTTAAGACATTAAAGGTCCTTGGTTTTTTAGGAGGCCTCGAGCGACCAGAGGTCTCTATAAGTACAAGAAGTCAGCAAGGGCTAGTGCCTGAGGTAGTCCTCGCTGAGGGTCAACGGTCTGTTTCCGGTCTCTCCTGATACCTTCTTTTATTGTTGTGTGACCTTCATGGTCGACACCCTCGTTCAGGCCGCTTTGCCGAATGACATTGGCAGAAGCATGGCGCTATTGAAATTGATGTGACCTCTTCGTCGGAGCCTCCTTGCAGTTGCTCCAATCCCCATGTGACATTATGTACATACTTGTCTCAGGCCGGCCCGACAGCAGTAACGTAGTACAGATACGATTTGGCCAATGAAGATGCTGACATGGGAAATAGTCAAACAGCTACTCCGTAGATTGTCATGTTTCCGAAACAGGCTGTGTAACTGACTCTCAGCCGCATCGGTGATTTGCCGTCACTCGGTGTCCACGAAGCCTAGGGTGTGGCAGAGCCGTGGAGTCGATTCAAGCAGCTCACAAACCCCCCCCTGGAATAATAAAAAGAAGAAAAGAAAAGGAGAAGAAAACTGCAGGAGTGCTCGTGCCACGCCCTCATTTATTTGGTCCCGTCTTCGCTACACCTTAAGTACTTTTATCAAGATCCAGAAGGGTACAGGCTTTGCAAAACTGCGGAGGAGTTTAATTAGGGCATCGTGAAAGCAATCAAGGACAGCGAGAGTGGTTTTCCGAGTGACGATGTAGCGGGATGCGAATGGGAGTTTAGCCTTGATACTTGAGAGAGTTGTATGCTAGTCTTTAAATATATATCTATAAGCTAGATTTCTAGGCTTATAAAGGCTAACAAAGGTTGATGGCGCAGGCAATGTCGAATCGATTACAGTCCCCGTTGTTCCCCTTTAGGCCCGTTGCGCCCTGTTTAAGTAGGTGCCTTCGATGTTCCCATGTCACCAGACACTTGATCAAGTCTGGTGTCTGGTTCAAATGTTGGTAATTTTATTAATGTCTGGTCGTGCACATCCAGTGATTTTCACAGCCATGACATCTTTCCCGGTGCCGTTTACGGCCAGGGCACTCACAATATTGTTGGTGTTACACGGAAAGGGCCCAACAAATCGTGAAGCCTAATAGAGGGGCTTCACTAATACAGGACTTATTAGTTATACGGCTTGAATACGTGCCCAGGTAAGAGCTCTAGGCCTAGATGCTCCTTTTATATTAATATAGTAGTTACCCTTCTCTTTTTACCTCTTAGTTACTTAAGACCTTAGAGACCCTTCGAGATCATTATTAAATTGAGTCCTTTTGCTCCAAACCCTTAGATAAGCCCTTCTCACAGTTGGTCCGCCCCGACACGCTCACTTTATCAAATGCCGACGTCGCCACTAAATACATGTATCAATAATGCATGTCAATTTAATCTTGATGCACGCCGTGGCGGGAACAAGCAAGGGTGACTGTCCGGTGTTTCAAGAGACGCCTTGGCACAGGTTTTTATCCCCCAGCGGATGAGTATGTATTTATGGGGTTTTCTCTGTACCATATCGCGAATGCAAAGGCGTTGAAACATTTACGTACTAGAGCACGTTATTTGACGTGGGTGGCATGAATCTCGTCAATTACTTTGCGCCGAGCCCCCTGGCTTTTGCAACACTGGCTGCGGGCTCTCTGATTGTGGGTTGATATGGAGGTCCATGATTCGGCGGTCGAATTTGATTTGGCTCGGAGAGGGGATTAAATAACCGGCTTATATCTGGTCAGACTTACCAAATACTCTGTAAATAGTTGCATCTCCCAGGGGATGCAGTGATGATTGTAGTGGTAGTAACATTGGCTTATGCCATTGACTGGTCAAGCCTAGACCCGACGCATGACCACAAGTCATCACCAATTCACAATGATCTGTAGGTTTTGCCTAGTCTAGATGCATTACGTTGTCCCAGAACTTGGCGTGATAGAGAACTAAGTGCCCATGGAGATAGCCTTTATCCTGTAAGTCATAACTATAAATTGTATCCTCTTTAGTTATTATATCCCGCGTCCTTACGGGTCGTCTTATAAAACTTTAATAAGACCGCCCGTTAATTACAAATCGGAGGTCAACCGTTTTTAGGGTGACCTGTCAGGGCCGACTCGACGAGTTGAATGATGGCGAATTTGATGGCGTTCCCTACCTCGAGCTCACTACACACATAGCTCTGTTTAGGTGGGCCAACCATGATTTTGGTGCAGTGGGAAATAGTTGTGCCCATTAAATCGATTGTAGTCAGCGTCTTTAAGGATCACGACATCATTCCGACACACGGAGACTTTGACTCTCGCGACATTCCGGTCCAAGCGGACAAGGTGACGCCCATCTTGGACTGGGAGATGTCGGGGTACTATCCTGCCAACTGGGAAGATAGCAGGCCTGGTTGCGGCCCAAGTGGGAAGGTGTATAGAGTCGGCGCAAGGCTGTCAAAAAGATTCTGAGGCCATTACACAAAGAGCTCGAAGCAATACGGATGTGAAATGATGCGTTATACTGATAACGCAGATACACCTGGCGTGATTCAAGCTCTCCTAGACTCGGGCGATGGGCCTGGCGACTTCCCAGCCAACCCTGGAGACGATGAAATTACAAATGTCGTCGATTTCATCGGGAATCTTGTACCAGTGCCCTTGGTCTTGGTAGCATTTCCATTCAACCTGATAGCCTGCATTCCGCACGAGTTGTGCCGCCGCCTCTCCCAACACCCACGGCACCTTCTCATCCGCCATGCCATGGCCAAGAAAAACAGGAGTCCGGCATGCCGTCTTCTCTTGCGAGGGGCACTCCAACGCCGGAAGACTCAATAGATCTCTTTCCAACACCTGAGCCTTGACGGGGCTAGCCTGCACAGCCACGTCCTGCGACTCACTGGGACGTGTGAAGGGGTCGTCGCTGTCAATGTCGTCCTGCACAGCGTCCTCAAGCTCATCTTGATACGTGAGAAAGCCGCTCATACCGATATAACCACCAATAGGGTGTTCCAAGGACAGCAGTATAGCAAGCGACATGGCGCAGCCCTGGCTCAGCCCCCCGATGATGAGGTTTTGAGGCTGCACCTTCTGGAGCTCCGTCGCCATGATGTCCAATATCTCTCGAGCAGATTCGGCCAGCCCGTCTAGCTGTCGTTCTTTGCGGTACAAAGGATCTGTGAGGCGGGCAATGTCAAACCACTGCGTCAGCATGGAGCGACCAAATGCCGTAGAGCGACGGCGCTTGGAAGTGGGAAAAACGAAGCGGGCGCCGGGGAGGAGGTCTGTGAGCTTGTGGCCAGATGATGTGAGGGCGGTGTCCAACAGCTCCGTGCCAAACTTTTCGCCGTTGGAGCCCAGCCCGTGGAGTAGGATGAGGGTATGGCTGTGCGGTCCTCGCGGTTCGACGACATATAGTCTTTCGCGTACCGTGAGGCCGGCCATCGCAGATGAGCCGGGGGGGAGATATCCCGCGTGCGAAAGCGTCGACGGTGCGCGCGCTCACTTGTCTTTGAGCAGGGGTTCAAACAAGGAAGAAGGAAATGTCTCGGTAGAGAATCGAGATGGATTGGTAAATGTACGAGTTGCCTTACGATTGGCCAACCTCGATTGCCTCGTGCCTTGTCATGCTCTTCGCCCCGCTGCTGCGGTCCAATGCCTGTCCTTGATATGTCTGCCGTCCGAAAGCTTTGTCCCAAACATACAGGCAGGTGATGGCCTCGTGTACGCCTCTGTTGGCTGAGGTCTCATGGAGTTCCATTCACCGAGCCACGGCTCCGTGATGCGGCATGTCAATAAACCAATCCAAATCAACCATCTGCGGCTTTCAAATCACTACACCAATGATGTGTGGTATTGTACGACATGGTGAATGTTGAATCGTGGATTTTCGCTGCTCCCCCTAGGGTCCTAGTTGGCACGACATATGCATGTCTGCTGGGATATTCAGCATTGTCGCCTTATTCCACTACGAAAAATATATATTTGACCCATTACCACAGATCCGCCTGTTTAAGCGATTGGAAAGCGTTAGCATGTACCACTTGACCTACATGTTGGATCGATAGCACGAAACAACAAATCCTGCACAGCCATATATAACAAACCCTAGAAAACGGCAGCTCTGCTTCCAGCGCCATATGCCACACGGTCGTGATTCACGCCACCCATCCTCTTATTCCATTGTCGGCGGATGACTGCCCAACAAGGTCTGCGCCACAGCTAGCTGCTCAGCCGAAGGCATATTCGCAATCATCAGGTACAAAACATCCTACATGCAACGTCCAGATTAGCACACGCACGACTCCAGAACACCCGCCGCAACATACCTCGTGCATAAACTTCCTGACACCCCGGACCAACGCCCCAGGACCAATTGTCCCCAGAACCGTCGGCCCCCTCGCGCTCCTCCTGTCCGTCCTCTGCTCACGCCTCCCCGCCCGCCGCTCCCGTCTCGCCATCTTGCGCTCGCTGAGCCTGCCCGTGACCGCGCCCCCCGTCAGCAGGGCAATCAAGCTCCCACTGCCCGCGGGATGATTCGGATCAGAGTACCGCGAATGGAACTCGGGCTCGACGCCCATGTGCGCCAGCCCACTGCTCGGATGGTCCTTTGCAAACTGCGCCTGGCCCCGTTTGTCCATGTACTCCATGGCGAAGAGCATGCCGCGCTTCACGCTGCCCGGCTTCTTGGCCGCGTCTTCCGCCGCCTCCTTCCCCTCCGGTGTGCCGGCCAGCTTGTCCAGGTCGGGGAACACCAGGGGCGCCGACTCGGGCCACTCAAAGTCCGTCGTCGCGTTCGAGGCCTGCATCCGCTTGCCTATCCGGCCGGTCGTGCCTTGGCCGGGGCCGGACACGCTGTCCGCCGCTTGCTCGAGTGCCGCGTCGAATCGGGCCTGGCTGACGACTTCGCCGGGCCGGCTGGGCTTCCAGGTCAGGATGACGGCGATGAGGCCGAGCGGCCGGAAGAAGTCGGCATTGATCTTGTCCAGGAACGCGTTTGTTTTGGAGCGGCTGTGTGCCTGGAGGCCGACTTGCGTCGCGATCTGCGCCGAGATGGCGATGGCAATGGTGATGGGCTCGGGGACGCTTTGCGCAGCGATGCTGGCCACATTGATGGCGTGAATCCATGGCGACGGCTTCGTTGCCAGGTTCAATTGCTTGATAAAGTCTGTAAACGTGGGCTGGTCAATGCCCACGTTCTCGAGGACAGGTGCGTATGCGTGGATGAAGCCGCGGGCTCGCTCGCCGGGTCGCCGCTGGGGAATGATGACCGGCACCGGCAGCCGGCTTGTTTCGGATGAGGGCTTTTCTTGTATTTGGTGGTTGGCAATGAACCGACGAGCCATGTCGTCGGCATCGTCTTGGGTGGCGGTTGCGTAGTCGGGCGGTGGTGCGAGCTCCGTCTGCGCATCGTCAAGCTGCCACGCTGCCTCGTCCAACTCGGTAGAGGCTTCTTCACTGGCATCTTGGTCGCTGTCGGATGAAATGGGTTCCTCTTGGGATACTGGTTTGCTTCCCCCGCCGCTGGCGACTGCCGACCCCGAGGTGATGCCATTGCCAGCTCGAGAGCTCTCGCCAACCTCGCTCTGCGTCCCTGCTGCTGCGGCCGCGGCCTTCTTCTGCTCGTCTTTTTTTTCTTTGTGGTGGTGAATACTCTCCGAGGCGAAACCGATGCCGCCGGCCACAGCTCTCACGAGGCCACTTATTGGACCTCTGCGTTGCCCGATTCCTCCAGCGCCAGACGTGGCTTTGTCGGATCCATGGCGGCCAGTATTGCCTGCGCCCGAGACGTTATTTTCACGATAATTCGACATTGATTCAAGGCGGGGAGCTATGGACGCAAGGAAACGGGGTGTCGAGATGAGTTGACTGTTTCCTAGAGAACGGGCCTGGCAATTGAAGCATCTTGGAGAGGTATGAGCTTCCTAGCAAGAGTAGGCTTGCGTCAATAAGATTTGTCCCGAATGCGGCGCTATCGAACTTTGAGGACTCAGAGCGGCTGCTGATAGCTCATTGGGGCGTTTGTGTAGTTTTGTCATTGGCCCGATGGAATGGGTTGCTGGTTTTGGCATCCGTCACACCCGCATCGTGGTATGCGGGGGATCGACGGCAACATGGAATTTCAGTGGAGTTTACACGTTGGCAAGATAATGTTCTGCTTGAAAATTTGGTCATTTGCTGTGCGGAACATGTTTGCTCGATAACTGGGGCTTAAAATTGCGATTCTGGCAGCTGAAATACTACGGCAACGATTAAACTACAAGGAATACTTGACAGAAGAAAAGCGAAATTCAAGGCAGTTGGAAAACCATAACCCTACCATCCGCTACGATTCCCATCATGGAGCAACCTCTTCGTGATGGTGCCGATAAGCGCCGACGTAAGGACTCCAAAACACACCCATGGGGTCCCAGGACTTTTTCAAGTGGTGAAGCTCCATGATTCTCTCGCCCGTAAAGATATCCTTTAGAGGCTCCTTGTATCGCATTGTATTCGGGATCGTCCTCGGCGTTGCGCCATCCTCGCTGCGACAAACGTGCAGCACATCATCCGCATACGGCTGCAGCTTCTCAAGGGAAGACTGCGTAGTGCACCAATTCACCACAACCAGAAAGAAGCCGCGATCCCGCGCCTCGAGGAACATGTGCTTCCCCGGATCCGACTTCCCCTTGGCCTCCAGGACGGCCGGGTTAAAGGATTGGAGGAAGACGAGTGATCTGTGGGCATCCGGCAGCTCGTCGGTAATGGCGAGCCATTTGGCAAAGCTCGAGGTGATCATTTTGGCATTGACTTTTCCCAGTCGTGCGCCGCATGCCGATTTCAACCCCCCATGAACATTCAGAGGCTCTAGCGCGTCATTCAAATGGCTGGCATCGATCATGTTTGAGTCTACCTGAACGGCGGCGTTGTTGAGGTCCGCCGCGAACAAGACAGAAGCGGCTTTTTCGGCCTCACTCGCCGGACCAAAGTACGTGACGGAAAGAACAACGGTGGGACTTCCGGCCACGGGCGTCCCAGGAGGCGCCCGTTGGAAGAGGAGCTGGGGGTAGAGAGGGCCGGGGACAGGAAGCAATGCCAGATAAGCCTCGACGACATGCGCCAACGCGGGAGACGGGAAGACCATGACCCGTGTCCAGATCTTGTTGTCTGTGAGCTGGAGACCTGCGAGGGGATATACCTTCATCGTGGCCGATACGACAACTCCATGCCCTTGCCCGGCACCACACAGCGCATGGAAGAGCGTTGCCTTGCCGCCTGTAGATTGTGCGTCGACGTCAATGACCTCTTCGTCGGCCGTGACCAACCGAAAGGATACCGCGTTGTCGACCATGTATCCGTGCAGTCCGACGTGAGAATTTTGTCCCCCGCCCAGCAATGATCCGACAACGCCGACGGCATTCGAGTCGCTCAGGGGTGTGTAGAGGCCATTCTCGGCGAGACACTTGAGAAGCCGGCCGGTCGTGACACCACCCCCGACTCTCACTACGCCGGCATCTTTATCGATGTTTATGGACTGGAATAACTTCATGTCCATGTATAGTGTAGACGAGTCGACAGGGATAAAGGTGGCGTGGCCGCCGCCGCCGACTGCAATGGTCAGATGCTTGCTTTTGGCGAGACGGATCGCAGAGATGACATCCTGCTCTGACCCCGGTGTGGTGACAGATGCTGGTTTTGACACGTGGAGGTCGGACCACCTCGATATGACGGCCGCGGTCGCATCTACATTCAGATTTTGCGTGGTCTGGTTCTCGGCGGACGGCGCCGCCTTTGGTTCGGCTGCTGCCATGTCGGTCCGCCGTATTTATCAAATCACTGAACCGAGTAGCAGAGGCATCTGCAGTGGTTGCACAGGCGATCAAAAGAAAGTTGCGACGCCTGACGTCTTTATATGATCTGATAGCTCTCATCGAGTGTTCAAGCTTACTGTGGCGTACGTATCGTGATATAACGTTTAGTGGCGCACTGAGCTAGTAGACTGTCGATAGTGGGCGTTGCACCTTTGTGATACTCGCTGCGTTCTGGGCCTATGAGCAGATGCCCCGGCCGTTGGAGGCTCTACCTGTGCGAGATGTCCATGGTGCGAGGCTTTTGGGCGAGAATCTCAGCCGCCACGGTTGATCATTGCCGTCAAGGTCTGGACCAGCCTGACTGTGGCGCGCCTCTTGGGCTAGTTTAACCATCAATATTCTAGATCCGTCGATTCCAGCCGCGTATCACGTAGAAATTTAGCGCCAACTGTTCGACGCCGGCTTCTCTGTGCACAGCTTGTCGGCAGAGGTTCTGAAATGACAGCGAAAGAGATTTTAGGATGTCGCTCATAGCAAACTTGCGCTGGTTGGCTTTATTGTCACGTGTACTCTTCCAAGTTCCAAGTCTTAGGCTCTGATACGTGAGTCAGTTTGACATGTCTGGGTTATATGCATAAGCTTGGCAGGAGATGGCGCGTCAATGGGTTTGCCCTGGCGAAATATGCATGTGGGTATTACGAGGTATTAACGTTTCAAATAAGTCAGGTCAATGCGATTTGCCACGTTAGGCATTATGCGCTGGACGTCAAGCATCTCACATCCAACTGCCCGAGGCCCCAAAACACCAGACTCGACCTTTCCCAATGCTGCACGTACCTGCAGGCGGTTGATCCCCAGAACAAAACCAAGCTACCAGACGCTTTATTGCTTCAAATCTGGTTGTTTAATACCTGGACTCTGGGTAGTAAAGGCTCCAGGCCTCCAAAGCATTAACCGTTTAGGCCACAAGGGTCCGGCATACCACGGGGTATTGTGTTGTCTCATTTCCTTGAGACCGCCAATTTACATGACTCGGCGCGCGTATCGCGGTTTATGCATTATGCTTATTGAGTAATCCGCTACTCTGAGCCTAGCCTAGTATCATAATAAACCTCTCGCATTAAATATACCTACTAGTTATAATATACTTAAACTTTGTAATATAACTAGCTCGTATTTATTTTGGTGTAAGATTTATTCTTGCACCGTATTTTATTCCTTTAAGTATTATTTCCTATATACAGTAAAAATAAACTTGCTTATTATAATCTAAATATACTGTAAGTAGTACTTTAAAGCTGCTAACAGGTTAGCCGATATATAACTCGTAAAGCAATAGTATAGCCGGCGTACCCTATTAATTACAAATTATGCGCGTGCGTACATGACTCGAATTAGTACTTAAAGTAGGCTGGCATAAGAAATAAATATAATAGCATAAAGGCCTCATTTTGCCAAGTCGTCTTATACTATAAAGATTTATGCAAAATACTAACTTAATATAGCGTATATACTAACTTAAAGGTAAATTGTATTTATAATACGCGAACTTATATAATATACTGTAAAGTTTAATCTCTATAAATACTACCTAGTATTCCTGTCTAGCTTTACTTGAGTCTACTATTATTTACTCACAGAAACCATTTCAAATTATCTCAATTTATATAACTCTTCGTATTTGCTCTCTTATCATGAAGCTTCAAGCTACAATCCTGGCAGTACTTGCGGTACTTGGAAGAAGTGTTGTAGCTATTCAGACTTCAAAGACCGGAGATAAATCGTTGGGTACTCCTAACAATCTTTCTCACCTTGTAAGCCTTGAGGCAATCGCATTGTAAGATATGGTGTTAATTAATTTATAGACATTAGATCACTTGTTAGACGTATATCGGGCTTCGGATATAGACTGCAAGAATGCTGTGGTAAAAGCAACTTAAAATGAATTACTAGACTTTTATTTACTAATATAAATAGGTCGAACAAGATTTTGTAAGAGACTAAAACTATACTACTAGACTTTTACGTGCTAATATTAGCTAAAAGATACGTTGTGATATTACTTTTGGGGTAAGTAAAATACAAGTATATTTTATAAAGTATAAATTCTAATATATATTTACAGGAACGTGGAACACAAGGAAAAGAAGACCTTAGAAAAACTTGCAAAGAACATGGACCTGTAAGTAAAATATTTCTCCGAATTATTAGTACTAATATATATTATAGTGCCGTACTTGTCAAATTGGCCCTGTACCTTATCAACCGGGACAAGAAGTATGTAACTTTACTATATATCGACTAAAGCTTAGTTTCTAATCAATTTTAGACCACGGTAGCCTGCGATCGTGGACAAGAAATAAAGGGTCCGTCGATCGAGGAAACCCTGACTAAGGAGATAAACAAAACGTGCAGAATATATGGCATTTGGCCAGCCGAATGCCAACAGTTCAGGGATAAATGCACTAAATCGTTTTCCGAAGGCGGCGAAGTGCCCGAACCATACTCCGTACATCGATGTGTTGAAGCCGAGCTTAAGAAAGTACCAAGCAGTAAGTATATATAGTAAAAGGTTGGGAGATTTACTACTAATACTTAACAGGGAAGCCGATTTGGACTTAAAAAGTAGTAGTAAGTATTACTATTATATAACAGCAAATACTTATATAAAATTTGCGGAGCCAAGTTTGATTCTCTACTAGTTATACTAGTATTTAGCAGTAAATGCATACAAAAAACGCAGAAAAAAATTTCTTTCTTTGATGGTTATACTGTATAGTATATATATAAGAGTATTACTCTCCTAGATAGTTTCTCTTATAAATACCATCCCCTTTTTTGCTCCATTTTTTATACTTATAACTTATCCGACCCTTTAATAGACCTCGTGCAAGCCTCAAATAATAGCGATGCCGTCGGCCCAGAGTTTCTGGATTGGCGCCCTGAACGTGGAATTCAACGCCGTAACCTCCATGCTGGACGACAGATTCGGCCAAGACGTACGCTTCAGAGAAAGCATCTTGACGTGCGGTCGCATAAGTGCTCATAATGTCGTCGTTGTGCCTCTGCCGTCGGGATCACCCGGTACCATGTCGGCTTCCACAGAGGTCAACCAAATGAAGAGCAAGTTCCCCAGCATCAAGTTTAACGCATTAATAGTTGGAATTGGCGGTGGCGCGCCTGGCCCAAAACGTGACGTTCGACTTGGCGAATCCGGCCTCATGGAGCATGTCAAGGCCATGATGGAAAGATGCGACAATCATTTGAGATTTGAGGATCCAAGTCCTGCCGCCGATCAATGTCTTATATGAGGCGGCGTATAGTCATCCGCAGGGGCAGGACACTTGCGAACAGTGTGATACGACCATGGCAATGAAGCGAGAGCCTCGGCTAGGGGCTGTGCCTGTTGTACGCCACGGACTAATTGCATCTGGAGACTAGGTAATGAGGGATGGTACAACTCGCGATAGGTGGCGGGATGAATTGGGTATTATTTGTTTGAGATGGAGGCTGCGGGACTAATGGATAGTCTCGGATCCCTTGTGATTAGATTCATTTGTGATTACTCTGATTCGCACAAGAATAAGGCACGGCAGGCTCTCGCGGCTGGAGGGCAGCTGCGTATGCTAAAGCCTTGCTCCATGTTCCTCGCCCAAAAAATGGTTCAGTGAAACAAGAGAGCAACTCGTAGGTTGTTAGTCTTACATCTAACCTGTTTATTAGCACCGACAGAGGACGAAGTAAACAGTGCCTGCTGGTGGTTTCCAAACACCCCGAGCTAGCAATCCATCAAGACAGAGTCAAAGACAGAGCAGTAGGGATGAATGAATGGATTTTCCACATAGGCGAATTTGAGCATTGGCTCGATTCCCCTGGAAATTCCTTCTTGTGGATCAAAGGAATACGGAAGTCCAAGCACCTTTGTTGTTTCGAGTCAGTAAGACTATTAATTGTATACATGGAAGCCGGAGCGGGCAAATCGATCCTCGCGCAAGCGCCAAATAACCAAGCCTCGACTCCATCATGCACAACTATTTACTACACCTGGGATAGTTCCACCATAATCGACAAAATGCAACACGTGCTTGTTCCTGACGTAGACCCAGAAAATTGCAGCTGCCTTCTTCTACTGTGTCTTTAGCAACGAGAAACCAAGGAATACACGAGCAATTTTGGGAAGCTTGGCGTCTCAGATTTTCCAGCAGAGCCCAGCCGCTTCTCAATCCATAGTTGATCACCAACGGGCAAAGCTTGGAACTAACATACATTCGCAGTTGGTACCGCCCGATGAAGACGCCCTTGTAAAATAATGACGAGTGGATTCCATGACCTTGCTTCCATCATCCTGATAATTGATGCCCTCGATGAATGCCCTGGCAAGGGTTCTCCCTGTGTGCAGATAGAAATCACAAGCAAGCTACTTTCCCTGTACCAAAACACGGAGGGCAGTACGAAAATTCTTGTGACCAGCAGAGATGATTATATTCTCAGACAAAAATTTCAGTGTTTGTCATCCATGTGGCTTACAGATTATACACCCCAGGACGTGGAGTTGGTTGTTGACGGCTGGATAGTCGAGCAAAAGGAGTTGGCGACGCGACGTATATCGATGAAATGCTGTCAAGGGTGCGAGATGCAATACTAGATACGGGGAGCATCATGTAAGTAAAGAACCTTTTTAGCCCAGGATTGTAAAAGTAGATTGGCACCAGAGTAACAAGAGCAAATCTATTTTTGTTTCTGCTTGCCACATTTCAGCTCAACATGATAGGACGTTGCCAATACAACGATGACGTTGAAGATACCCTGCAGGTACTTCCAAGTAGTCTACTTGAAGTTTATGATCACATCCTTTCCAAGATGGAGTTTTGAGCAACGTCTTCAGAAAACCCCCAGGATGCTGCATATAGCGTGAAGAGTGCTCGAGTGGTTGGTTGCCGCGAGGCGTCCCCTCACATTAAGGCAGCTTTCTCACGCTGTATCTCTGGAGCCAAATCATGAAGAGCCCAGTCTTGGAGGGATAATAAACGAATACTTGCGAACCGAACACTGCGGAGAGTTGATACACGTCCACCAGGAAACCAAGGAGGCTGTGTCGTGTCATTTTTCAATCCGGGAATACCTCACTTGGAGAGATTACACGAACCTACAAAAAGCCCACCATCATGCCGCTTTAGGCTGTCTTACCTATCTCTTGTTCGATGCTTTCAAAGATCCTTGCGACGGCACAACGGAGCCCGTCGCCGGGAAGCCTACCTGCTCCTTGCGTATGCAACCTTGTACGCAGGAGACCGTTACAAAGAGCTGCTAGAATGCGGCCAAGCCCTCGTATCGCACCTCGATCGACTTCTTCTCGCCGAGCCGTCTATTTCATGTATCCGGGACACGGGGCTGGCGGCGCGGATCAACGGTTGGACAGCTCGAGCCACAATTGCCGTTCGTTGTCCACCTATTGACGACGAATACTGCAACGTGTTTGGCGAGTGTTGCAAGTTTCGCGGATGGGTACCAAGGGATAATGAACCGCAGCCAAGTGATGAGGACGGCCGAGAGCTCGCGTTCATGTGTCTAGCAGCACAGAATCGAGACTTGGCTTCTTCCCGGCCAATTTGCCAGTCGTGGCTGCAGCTCTATCGCATTCTAGCGCCTAAGCAAGGACTACCACGGCAATATCCCGCCGCTGTACCTTGCCGCTCTTTTTGGTTGGCACAAGGGGGTTGAATGGTACCTTGAGCAGATGCCGGGGCGCTTGACGACGAGCGACTTGAATCATGCGCTCGGAGGCGCGGCCATCAGCGGCTCAGTTGAGCTTGTTGACAAGCCGATCTAAGCAGGCACCGAGGTGCATGCGCATCTGTCACAAATTGGCAGTGCGATGCGAAGTGCCGCCTACTGCGCCAACCTTGGGGCCGTGGATGCGCTTTTCCGTCGCGGAGCGCGGGCCGACGAGCCAGGCGATATATATCGGCCGGGGGGACTGCGGGAAGGCGCTCGAGTCGGCAGTGATTTCCGGCAATCAGCAAGTCGTTGAGCTGCTTGTTTGAAACGGAGTTGATGTCCATCGCGGCACGGTATGGCACGGATTGCCACTTACGGTCTCCCTTCAGCAATCTGAATACACGCCTCGTCGAGTATCTCTTGAGACAGGGCGCCGACCCGGCCGCATTCCGTGGTTACGAAATTAGCTCCGTCTACAGCGTCGCTTTTCTCCCTAAATCTTGGGCAACATGCCGCGTTCTCAGCTTGTTCCTAGAAGCCAAAACTGGCTGTCGAGGCGTCAATCTGAACCCCTATCCATACGGCAGTCCGCTTCAGGTAGCCTGCTATGTCAATCGCCAGGAGCACGCTCGCATCTTGCTGTCCGAATGCGTCGAAGTCAATGCTACATCCGGTCGGCTTGGCGATGCGATGCAGTCGGCCTCGAGGCTCGGACACGGGGGACTTGTGACGGATCTGCTGCAACGTGGCGGAGATGCCGACTCCGGGCAAGACTCCTGGCCGAGAGCAACGTAGGCTTCCGGATCTCGTTTTACGGCAGAATTGCCTTTTTCGAGGCGGCCGGGGTTTATTCGAGTACTGGTACCATGAAGACGCCCGACACCGCGACGACAGGTTCCCAGGTTTTACCTTCCAAGCCCCTGCCCTGCAGGCCGCCGACTGATAGCGGACTGACAATTGGAACCAGATTCTGCTTCTTCTTGAAAATGAACCGACCCATCAACAGGGCCACTATGGGAACCCGCTTCAGTTCGCCTCGTTGCTGGGCGCGAGCGACGCGGTGCGCGGTCTTCTAGACGGGTGCCGGGTCGATTTCCCCGCTCATGGGGTTATTTGGCATCGACGGGGACATGCCTTGCCGAGATAAACGAGGTGGCATCCTACAAGACGTTTTCCACCCGAAATGCTGTGGGTTGTGGCCTTGACTGGCCGCATGCTCGTCTTTACTTGACCAAGAACTGTCAACAGCAGCGTGAGTCATTCTCATTTCATTGTGGCACCAAGCCCATGTAAGTTCTGACGCACGCCAGTTCATCTACATCCGGAAATCGAGGTCCCGGCTCAACACCGAATGTTCCCTGTTGTAGGCATGTGGTGCTGTGGGCAGGGTCAACTTTGGGGCGTTGACGTTTAGTTACAAAGGACTGCTGGCCTGACTGCTTATTCATTTATAGCATTGATACATGTGTCAAGCCGTTCTTGGCCAAGATGCGCAGGCTAGACTGACGATGTGTTAGTTTCTTGTCATGATCCCCCCCAACAGTCAGAAGAGTCCACGTACCTCGGTGGGTCTAGTAGGAATGGCAGCCTCGCAGCCTTGCTTCCCGAGTCCTTGTTTCTTTGTTTAGGCAATAATGGCTTGAGCGTAGCGGTTTTCAGTAGCTTTCAGACCGGGCAGGTTGCCGCCTCAAGGAGGAGCATCGCCGCCGCCGTTGCACTCGCCAGTGACCATGTTAGACGTCGGCTAGACGGGCTAGATTTGGTGTATTGCAGCTGTGAGAATAATGCTACTTACATGCAACTGAGTACCCTGGATGTTTTGAGGGATATAGAAATCATCGCTGTCAAGTTGAGCCGTGAGCGTGACTTCGTCCGTCCCCGTGGCAAAGATATTCACTTCATGCAATGGCGCTGGGATGCCCCTGTCAGACTCTCCTGTGTCGACATCAATGACAAACGTACCCAATAAGCAATATCCAAGACCGGACAGGTCTCGTCTTCGCCCTCGACTTCAGCTCTTATAAATCGTTGCTGCAACGCAACTTCGGACAAGTACGCTGCCGATGATTTATCCAATGCATGGTGAGAGATGGGTTCGACTATAGATATCGGACAGATTGTTAAACCTCGAGCCTTATATTCTGAAACCAGATAAAGAAGACTGACCTGATCTCCCTTTTCCTTTCCCCTTTCTGTTTGAGATAATCGTGTCGGCATTCGAGGGGCTGTCCGTGCTGCCTATTCGAGCATCAGCCTATTAGCTTCTCCATTCGACAGCAATCCAGTCGAAGTGTGTTGCATATGGTGATTACCTACCCCAGGGATTATTTCAATTTGACTTCACGTGTAGCTAGCTGAAGATGGTATGTCGTCTTGGGGTGCGCCAACCAAACCACTCCTGCGTAGTTGCTAACCGTTAAAGACAAATCCGAAACCAGGGCATAAGAGGAGAGCTGCGGCTGAGAAGACATTGCTTCTTCGGAATGCCGATGCTGAGCTGGAGGCATCTACGGTGACACATCAGCTAACATACGATCGTAGGCATCTACCTTTCAAAAAGGAAGCCACTGATACCTCCGACGGTGTGCGGCTCAACTCTCCTCACACGTTGATGAAACTTTCCATCATATTCCAGGTGACTCTTGACCATCGTTTCAGTAGAGTTCCATGTGCGATTAAAATGTTGAGTCTCTTGCTTGGAGAAGAAACTAGAAGGCTATTGCCACGATATCCTCCCCGGTGCCATATGATTTATTCTATATTTACGTAGCTGAAAGCTGAAGTCGTGTCCGAGTCGAAGGTCGCCACACACCACTATGTGGCGGTAAGCACTTGTGACCAGGGCTTAGAGAGGGCTGGAAGCAATAGCTCAATTCGTCTAATACCGCCGGACTCGTCTGGTATTGAAGGTCCTTGGTTTTCATAAAGCCTTGGCACTAAAGAGGTCTACTTATACAAGCAGCGGTAAGCCTCTATGAGGTTCTCAACCATAGGTCTCGTGACCCATGGCGTAACTATCGTTGATCGTGTGATGGCACTGTACTTTGACTTGTCGCCAACTCAGACTAGATAAAGAGAGAACATGGCAGGGTTTGTAATTGGCTTCATTTTTCTCTTTTGGACTTCAGCTCCGAATGGCATCTGCCTGGTCGGTTGATAATATACTGGTTTGCACGCTTACATGCTGTCAGTCTTAAGTAATCGGTTTCCACCAAAACCAGAGGCCTTATATTTCTCACTGCAGGTACATGTATAGCAGACACGAATTTCCTTCAACGTCTGGCGTGCTGTCGACTTTTCCTACGTCTCTTCAAACATCGAAGATGTTTGCCTCTGGTCCCTTCGTTCGTAGCCAGCTCAAGTGGCGTTGAACCCTCTGGGTCCCTGATTTTCAGTCATGCGCCGTACTTTGCCCGCAGTTCCGCTATTTTCCACTCCGTTTTCTTTGCCGCAAGGTGTATTGCAGCTCTGCCTTTGAACTGCGCGTTAACATCTACCCCATGCCTTCCAAGAAGATCCACGACTGTCCAGGCGTCCTTCGTGACCGCCTCGTGTAACACACTTTTCCCTCCTTCCACTGCGTTGATGTCTGCTCCCGCCTCAATCAATATTCTCCCCTCGGGTGCAGATGCATATGTCGCTGCCCAATACAGCGCCTGTGACAAATGTCTCCTCTCAACGTCTCTTTTCGGTAACAAACATTTTAGCACGCATCAACTTGTTCCAGCCCTTTCCGTAATGCTGAACTGCCAACTTCGGCTCCAGCGTTGATCAGTTTCTTGATGGCATGCTGATCCTGCTGAGTTACTGCCAGCATCAAGGCTTTTTGACTGTTGGGTGTTTTGACGTCCGCACCTTGGTCCACCAGAAGCAGCAGAGTGTCCATGCTGTTATTGTCCACAGCCAGCCCAAGTGCTCTCTGCCCGTTTTGTGTTGTAACGTCCAGGCCCTTGTCAAATAATTTTCGAAGTATATCCGTGCTTTCTCTGTCAATAGTCCACGCCAACGCTGTCTCCCCGATGGATGTATTATAATCCAAACTGCCGTTCAGCAGTAAAAGTCGAAGTATACCCGAGTTTCCACTGTTTATAGCCAATAACATGGCATTCCATCTGTTTTTTTCTTCATCTATGCACGTTCCGGTTAACTCGAAGTTATACTTTGTTTCGGCGATTATTCATCACTGCCCACTGCAGTGTTGTCCGTTTTGCCTGCTCACTCAGAGCTGCCTCACCACAACTGTCGCATATGTCGACCTTTGCGCTATTCTCTAGTAGTGAACTTATAGCATCGACACCTGAATTCTCGGTCTATGAGGCGTAATACAGCGCCGTTTTTGGGTATACGTCTCGTATCTTGACACTTGCTAGTCACTAGCAACCGTTCGGTATTATCTAGAACCATGCGTCATCATCCAGCACCCTTTTTCGCAAAGTTTCGGAGAGCGTAGAACACTTGTCCGCAAAGTTCCCGATTCTCAATAATAGATTATTAAAGTCATTGTGTATTTTGGTTCACTGATTTGGAGCATGCGCTCGCCGAAACTAATACATGTGTGGCATCTACAACTGACTTGGCTACTCGTTTCAGAATAAGACAACCGAAGAATACTAAGAAAAATGGATAATCAGACAGTGGCGAAACAATTTGATTTCATCCGAGCTTATTGGGTGAGTTAAAAAGGGCCGTTGCGCCGGCCAGACCTTCGTCTTTAGTGGAGTTATATATAGTGCCGGGCCATTAAAACTTGACCCATCGCGACATTGACCCTATCAAGATCCACTCGCAACGCCCACAGCGGATCAGATAGCTAACAATTCGACTCCATCACAGGGAATAAAATAATAGTACAGTCAGAATATGCATGTAAACGGATTCTCTGACGTAGGTGTTACGAGTCGTGGATCACAGAAAAGCGCGGGCAAATTTTAATAGTTTTAGAAATATTACAAAAAAATAGAAAAAAACACATACAACACCGGGTATTCGCTGGTCGTCACCGACCCAACTACTAATCCGGCGCTCGCTAGGTTATCGTACGAGATCAGACGGGATCGTGAGCTATCTAGCGGCTGTGGTCGTATGTGTTCTTCTGGTCTGAATAATTGACTTATAGCTGCTAGTCCAATATGCAACAATTATCACGAAGCAGCGTCTTAAGCGGCACAGATATTCTAGGAACCGTATATTCCCTGAACATCCCATTACGTTTTGCGTTCGCGGGTTATAGGATTACAGTGTAACTAGGAAGAGGGACCAGGGGGCGAAGGCACATGCAAGGAAATATTTACGAAAAGTAGTGATATACCCGCGCCTAATAAAAATGCAGTGTGGCCTGTGTTTCTTCCGAAACCTAGCTAGTCGTCAACGGATATGCTCGCTGTATTGTTCAGCAACACCTATAGGCCACTCTAACCACTCAACATACTCCTTGTCGATAAGTATCCGTATACTAGTAAGCAGATGTTCGGCCCAACCTTTCAAGAACCACGCTTTGCTCATGGTGTTGAGTAGAGGAGCAAAGTATGCCAGAATCAACAGAGCCATGGCATCCTTGCTTTGAAGACTTGCCACAAAGTCATCTTCCATGACATACAACCAGCGCAACACCATGCCATGCATTGGTGGTCCTTCATAAAAGCCATCCCTATCGCCGTATGTTGCTTCGTATATTGCTCGCAATGTATCGAATGACCGAATAGTAACCGAAACTTCTCTGGTGTCGCTGGAGACGATCAACTCGCGCAGCCTCGATAATTGATCCATCCAATCGACCCGCACAAAACATTGCCGATGACAGGTTGCCCTGCTATCAGCGGGCTGGCTGTTCGTCGGAGCGAGTGGTGCCATCAGCCCCGAGAATAGAGTGGCCGAATCAAAACGTTGCCGAACAAGGTGGGCTCCTCGTGCAAGAGGCACTGATGGTTTTGGCTGTGCGACACCAACCTGGCAGACAAGCAGGTCATTGCGTCCAACAGGGCCAGCTGCAAAGGTGCAAAAGCATAAGAGCATTACGGATATATATATCGCGCCGCAAGTTCCACTGTCCATGACCGAAATTGCCTTATTAAGTCCAGCAAGTCCGGCAGTAAAGTTTAATTTAGCAACAGCCAAGCGATGTGCTTGCGCGGTTCTATCCCAGGAATCTCCCCGCGCCAAATGGTATCCAGCCAACGAATAGGCAAGATGCAAGACATAGGGGTTAGAGAAACCAATTCGGGGGGCATTTTGAGCCCAAAACTGGCCCATGGCGTGGCCTGGGTCATCCGAGCCTGCAGCAATACCGGGGCCAGTTATTGTTATGAACTGATGGAGGAGCTCGGCCTGTAATAGGTCGATGGTCGTTAAGCTGGCATCTTTCCAAGGTGAGGTGTCAGCCAGCGACGCATTAGAGCCCTTTATCGGACCGTCGGATCGTAAAGATAGTGAGGAGCTTGGTGAGGCTGGCCCATATTTGCGTGGCCTACCTCGCTTCCGCTTCAACGACAACGATTTGCCATTGCTGTCTTGTCCATTTATGAAAGCCGTCTCCCTTGTATTACTAGCAAATCCTGTAACAAAGCTGCAGGCCAACCCAAAGCTAGTGCAATTAACACACCGGGGTTTCGATTCATCACACTAGCACCCATTAGTAACGGGTCTTAAAGCCAAAGTTAAGGTAAATAAAATAACCTTGATTTTTCGTCTCTTGCAATCAAAACATCCGTTCCTAGATTTCCGATGTGGCCGCCTGGGCGGCCTGTGGGCTATATTAACATTGGCCCCGGATACTCCTAAAGCCATGGTAAGTGTGCAATGCGAGGAATAGCCCAATCGGAACAAGGCAGGAACCGAAAATTAAAATGGCACCGAAACCGAAAATTCTAAACGGATGCGCAAATTCGAGCCGACAGTCTATATACGAACCTTGTCTTCTGCTACGGATGAAAATGACGTACGCTCGCGCTTGGATGGCGCGTCTGTTCGGCTAGTGTGGGTCTGATCCCTGAGCTAGCATTGGCACACGGCCCACATCTCATATGGGACAATGGCCGGATTCCACCAATCGCCAATTTTTCGCCAACCTTAATCTACAAACCCCACAATGTGACCCCACCGCGGTCGAAGGTGGCACCAATGACCTACGGGCCAGTGCTTGACAAGCCAGCTTGGATATCAATATAAGTCGTTCCTTGCCAAAAACTCATCAACGAAACCAGATTCTCAAGTACAGTTTATCCAATACACAGTTGCCTCTTACTATATTGACTTTCGACGCTTATAAAACCATCATGCACTACATACTTCCAACGATTATTCGTCGACCATACTGCGATCCTTACACCGCAGCCTACTCGGTGTTGCGAAGCGCACAATTCATCTCTGCGGTTCTCGTCGCTTCAGTTTGCGGCATTGATCTTGGTGCTTGGTCGAGGCTTGACCAGCATGCAGACTCTAGATGGGTTTACGCAGAGGTGGTCTCAGGCCTGTCGGTGATATTGTCTCTAGCACGTGGCATCCGGGGGCCACACACGCAATCTACGGCTCGTCTTACTTGCCGTTGTTTCCTGGACTCAGTGTTAAGCCTACTATGGCTAGTCTCCAGTGCTGTCTTTGGGCAAATTGCAGTCAAGGGTGTTGGTGCCGTGGTGTTGCCCTTCTCCATGCCAGCCGTCAACGCCGCCTTTTATCTCAGCATTCTTAGCACGCTAGTATGGCTGACGGCTGCCATTACAACTTGTATGCCTTGCTGCCGTAAAGGGAAAGCGAGAATTGTCAAGCCACAAGTGGCAAGTTTTATCGTGGAAGAAAATCAAGATCTAGTCGAAGCGTCAAAAGAGAAGTCTGTGGAAAAAGAAGAGCAGGGAAGTGGTAAACCGCCTCCATATTCGTCTTTATCAGACAAGAATGGAGTAGCCAGAGCTGCTAAGAGACTTGGGAAAGCCGGTTGATTGAGGGGCAATGTACACGATCACGGTCACGACACCTGGGGCACAAGGCTCTCACCGACTTCTTGTATGAATAGAGCTCTTGAGTAATTTAGGTCTTCAGGAAAATCAACGACTTTTAATGCCAAAGACTGTTATTAGATGAATTGAGTCATTACTCCAAGTCCTCACTAAGCCCTGGTCACACACACCTCTCTGTTAGGCCTTTATTGTACAGTTTAGTTATAACTTCGTAATTTTCTAGGCCTAGCCTAAAAATACATTTCAAATTCGACGGTCTTATGTTAGACTAAGGGAGCCAACGTGTTAATTGGATGTTTCAAGCGAATATAATGGGGATTGGAAGGCGTAAGTGTCATGGGCTAGTGTAGCATTATCTAAATAACTTCTCCACAAAACATCCACAATAGCCTGCTTGATTGCGTAAGTCGTTGTATTCTATGCGAAAAAAAAAAACGCCGATTGGATATGGGAAGCACTTGACTCATTCAATGCCTCTGGTTGATTCCCCTTTTGGCAATAGGATTAGTACAGGTTAACAGAGCAGAGGGAGGCAAATTAGTATAAAGACCCTTCCCAACAGTACACAATTATCTAGGACAAATCCTATAGTCACTACCCAAACAATGCGTCCTTCTTTGTTCTTAATTTTGCCCGCCGCCGTCGCCTTGCGAACGTGCAAGCTCACGCCATCCAACAGCGCCTGGCCCTCGATGCGAGAATTGGCGGCCTTAAACAGTTCCATTGGAGGAGCCCTACTCCAGACTCGTCCGGCAGCGTCTTCTTGCTACCGAGGAAACCCCTTTCATTCACCTATTGAATGTAAAACCGTCAACGCTAGTTGGTCTGAATCGGCATTCCACGCTTCGCTGCCCGAGTCTATCACCTCTCCCCTTTATGCCAACAATTCCTGCTTGCCACCCGACGCTCCGGGGTACAATGCCACGGCGGGATGTACCCTTGGGGGGTACCTAAACTATGTGGTAAATGCTACGAATGATGTTCAGATTGCAGTGGCTGCTCGATGGGCATCTCACAGGAATATCTGTATAGTTATTAAAGGTACCGGTTATGATTTAAATAAAAGGTAAGCTGTAACCTACTTAGCTGTGATTATAAAGGGATTAGATCCTTTGTATTTCTCGTTAAATGTCGTGTAGCGAATTCTACCGTCTAAGCTCGTTTTATCATAATTCTAATAACCAGTCGGGCATGTTCCGCAAGGTCTCCGAGTGCGCTTTAAGCTCTGGCAAGAACAAGAATGAGTCACGTTGGCAACGACAGTCTGGGCATGCAGGGGATGCGATTGTTGGATGGTGTCGCACTTCTTAGCGAGGATGAACTGGAATTGTATCTCCAGACAAGGACCCTCGTATTTTCAATATTTATGCAGGATCTATTCGTTGTCTGACCAGCAAATTGGACAAATTCTCGTGGTGCACGTCTTGCGTGTATCGCCGTCTAGGCCATGGACACATATTTAGTTATACGGAGCCATTTCTGCTTCGCATTGCTTAGGAATCAGTAGCCGGTCTCGATTCCACAGGAAGTGTTTGTTTCGATGTATGCTTCCCCCCCCAAGTGGCAGTGCAAACTGTTGTACAAGGCGAACCACAAATTGTCGAAACCGTATAAGACTGCTACGTCATGCCTACGCACTCCAACACCTGTTTAATTAACCACCCGAAACAAGGCAAGGAGGTATACACCTATCAGACGATAAATTAAACGAGGTCGCTTTTATTTGTACGGAATCTCTTGCAATTCTGGGCCTCTTTACCGGGAGCTACCAATCCCCTGTAAACTATACTCTCCCATACTACCAGACGTCAATGGCTCGTCCACTTTGTCGCTGGCGGGTGCATACATATGTGAGCCCCTCTCAACAGCTTCCTTGTCAGGTCACGGCAATGCCGGTAGCTTGCGTAGCGTCTGGTGTACCCGTGTCTCAGCCTACTAAGCCACGAATAACGTGGCACGGCCCAACGGGGAAGATGGAAGACCTAAAAAGCGACACCTAGGGGCCTCAGCGCGACCATGTCACCGCATGCAACCAGGTTGAGACCAGGGTAAGTCCGCATCCCAGTCGTGGCTGGCGGCATCGGAACTTATGGCCCGGGCTAACAGGACCGATGTGCAAGATGGTCATTTGCCTGTTTCGTAGACAACAGCGTTCTTCCAAGTGCATGACTACCTTAAGGGACTATGAGCATCGCCACTGCTGGGTTCTTGCTGGCATTGTCAACTACATGACGGGCGCCTCCGACCGTCTTAGCACTTTGCCCCTTCCCCACCACTGAACATACCACAAGTCACTCTCAAACCACCAGTGTATGCAATCTTAATGTGGGAGAATCCCGGGGCTGAAAACATGCTGCATGACATCGTATTCCAGGCTATTCAGCTGGCAACTCGCATCCCCTCAGAGGAGCGAAGCCCCCAACCATGTATTTTGCAGGGACTAGGGTCAATAGGCCGTCTCTAAGCATACCGAAAAAGAATTATCAATCTTTTGATTACGGGGTTCTGCAGGGGACTTGCAGGGCCTAGAGGAGAGATATGTCTCGCTAAAGCCTTCGCTGCGCAAAGGGCTGGTGTAGGCACAGGCGATGGTATACATGTAGCCTTTCTACTAAATCAAACGAGACATATCAGTTCGGCATAAATGTAGGAGAAAATGTGTCTGTCTACGTTCAATAATTACCAATTTCCTCCTCTAGAATATCTTCTGATGGGTCAACATACTCTTGGCCATTAGAAAAACATGTGTCGAAACTCCAGATACCCGGTCCTGCCTACAATGCATCAATCGGCTGTTGACATCACGCCGTACGAGATGAGCGTTCTGGCGATCATGGCATAACTTGTGTAATTCTACGCCCAGTTGCTTGGAAACTTCGAAACGCAAGGTGGAGGTTACGATTTTTAAACTTTAGACTACAACTTGACCCAGTCTTTAAACCCCGTCATATCCCGACTCGCACGCGTGGCTGTGTGACCCGAATCATGCTTCAAAGTATGGAAGGTCATGATTCAATCATTTACATCCAATGTAAGATGCGAGGGTTAGTCGGCGTATGCCAGCCATCTTGCCCATTCGCTCAATCCACGCCGATAATATGCAGTGGACGAAGAAAAAATGATAAATACGTCAAACTCCCTACACAGCTAGGAGAGGAATATTATACCCACCAACCACTCTCATCATTTATATCTCCCTATTTATATACTATTTCTCCGCAAACTTTAAATTCAAGAATCATTATTATGAAGTGGTCAACTCTAGCCGTCACAACCGCCTGGGGCATCCTCTTGCCTTTCACCCTAGCATCCTCCCACGCAGGTGGTGGGCACGTGTATGCATCTCATTATATTATATTACCATTGGCAGAATGAGCAGGAGCTAACAGCATACACACAGCGCCACTCGCATCAGGTCGAGAGATGACCTTTCCAACTCCGGCATCTGTGGCGAACACCTGGCTCCGTCAGAAAGTGCAAGCGACTACTATCGCGTTACAAACAACACCAGTCAACAAACGTGTCACCAGGCCTGCCAGGACGACCAGAAGTGCGCCACCTTTATGACATGGGCCTTTTCTGCTGTTGAGTCAGATGGCCTTGTGTGCTACCTATTTTCTAGGGCTCCTACCACGTTTAAAACGGAAAAGAATATTGACAAGCCACACTTAATTTATGATAAGAATTGTGCAGTACCGCCACGTATTTGCGGCTTTCAAGAGATGAATTCAGGCAGCAACGACTATTATCGTGTCATGAAAGATACTACCCCGCAAGCATGTCACCAGGCCTGCAAGGACGACCAAAAGTGTTCTTCCTTTATGACGTGGGGCTTTTCTGTTATAAAATCAGATGGCCCTGTCTGTTTTCTCTATAGCACACATGCCGAGACATTCAAGGTCAGGAATGAATACTCGGAATTAAAATTTGTCCATGACAAGGAGTGCCCGGCGCCTGCTTAATTGAATCATCTCTTTTAATGCTGGTATAATGTACGATCAGTTTAGATAGATCTGGCTGCTTGGTCTTTTGTGACTCTACAGCTCTCTGGCAATGGCAATGTCTCTTCTCGTTAGAACATCAATTTCACCAGGTCGCACTTGTTTGTACCTTTATCCCGGCAGTTGAGATCAGGTTGTTCGTTAAAAGCAGGCACACACAGCACTATTGTCCAAATGGCAACGAGAAATCGTAGTACCGCTACAGAGGCAGCGGTATTGCAGTTAAGCACTTACTTATGTATAATTCCGCGCTTTTAAATATAGAATCAAGAGTGTTTCATTGTCTGCTTTTAATCTAGTGCTCAAATTCGAATCGGCCGCAAGTTGAACTACGGTGGATCTCTCTGCTTCGCGTGATTCTAAATTTCGATTGGACCTGGACGACTTGGCGTCAGGTTTTGTTTTTGTAAGGGGTCTGCTATGTCACACTGGCAAGCCATTCTGCCTCCTGCATGGTGGTCTATTTCAGAATCTGGGTCGTCCACATCAATGTCCTGGTCGTTACCCCAGTTGCTGCTTCCCAGGAATAATATTTGTCTATATTTTACACTCATATTATTTAAATAAGACCTGAACCTGTCATCTGGTCTTAGAAGCCCGATCTTAACACCGTAGGAATAAAGACTTTGAACTTCTTTGATCGAGAATACGGCTGTCCCACCGGAACCCAGGTCCGATAATGTGCTTGAAGTGCTATGCTGCCGTTCTATCCGCTCCTGTGGCTTTAAACTGGTAAGTACAACGAGATTCCTGGACGCAAAATGAACTTCCGCGAAGAGCCTTCTCCCTAGGTCCTTCATAGCTACAATGCGCTTTTTGATCATAAGACAAGTCCGGATTAGCTCCATGATTTGCGCTTGCTCCGGTCGTATGATGTTCTGGGTGCGAATCAGGGGTGATATTTGGGGTGAGGTTCCGGATGCTCCTGGGGTCGCTGATGGCACCGTGGGCTGTGGAAGCCATGGCCGAAATAGGGCCGTTTTGTGGAAGCTCCTGCGATGCCCAATGATCCAACGGGATAGGAAGTGTTGTACCTGGGACATAGCCGTCTGCAATGTCGATCTCTGTGGGCCATGCTATAGAAACGTCTGGAAGACTTGTGCCTTCACACTCCCTTGTTAGGTCATGGACCAGATATTCCTTGAGAGATAATGCCAACGTTGACGGTGTAATTGTTTCTGTTGACGGACTAAGCTCGCTACGGGCATCATCAACTGGCCGCTCAACTGTGGTGTGCGGTTTCGGAGCCACCTGCGTGCTTTTCACAGACGATGCTCTATGACGTTGCCCTGGATGAAGGTAGTGTAAGTGTTGTGGAGCTTACATTGCAATGTGGTCATGGTTGGATAAGATACCCACTCCATCGTTGCTGCGACTCGCGGTTCCGGCGCCGTCGCCGCTGCTGGATATCTTCAGCTGACTGTCTTGTCATTGCAAACCCTGCAAGTTGCTGCGTGAAGGTAATCTAGTCCGCGTCTGGATCCGCCTCACTCTACGATGATAAAAATATTCAAGCATATGGTATGGGGCATCCGTAGGGAATATATTGGCCGGGTTGGGAGCCGTATCCGAGTATATTGATCAGCTTGATCGCATCGGGGGCTTGGGCACCTCCGTCTGCCAGCGTTGTTCTTCATGCGGCCCACCTGCGGTGACGACATGTATGTTGGCCGGGGATCCAGTTTCAAAAATCTGTAGTTGAGATTACAAAAGGAAAGAGTCAAGTCAACCCACGCCTCCCACCTTGTGTGCTGTTGGTTCAGTTACAGAAAATTCTCGGTGTCGCCCGGAAATCACCGTTGTCAGCACCAGACCGAACTTGAACGGGAGGAGAGGTCTCTATAGTGTAATCATAGACTTAGTTTCTACACGACTTCTTTGCCTTTCATCTCGCCTACCAAGCAACGGAGCGTACTCCTCTCGACGACAGTTAAAGACAACGGCGCCTTCGTATTGAAGGATTGCTACGTGTTTGAAACGTGGTCAATAAAGTACTCAGCCCTCTATTAAAGTTCTTTTCATTCTCCTTGGTGACGGTTTCCATACTTGACATTTTGTACACCCAAGTTTTCTAGCCGAGTACTCTGCTTAGAGACGAGCCTATTGCCACTAGTTTAGAATTGCCATGGAAAGTTGTTAGTTTGCATAATATATACATAAGTTTACAGAATAACAGTCTCATATCAAGAATCAAGCTAAGAAGTCCAAGGAGAAACAAAGTCCGATCCCAGCACTTCTTCGGCGCCCCCAACCTTCCTCATTGCCCCGTCGGCCATCATCACTACCATGTCCATGGGTCTAATTCGACCAGTCACAACGCCCAACCGGTGGGCGACAGCTACGACCGTGTATCCCTGCCCGAAGAACTCCTCGTCAATCAAGTTGTGGATCAACGATTCCGTCGCAGTGTCCAGTGATGACGTTGCCTCGTCCAGCAGAAGAACAGGTTTGAGCTTGGTTCCCAAAACCGCCTTCTTGACCAATGCCCTGGCGATTCCGAGGAGTTGAAGTTGTCCCACAGAGAGGGCGGGCAGTTCCGATATCTTGCGATCGAGTACTTCGGCGACATTTGCGGCGTTGGACTCGCACAGGAGGCTCCAGACACCCGTCTTTTGCAGCGCAACGACAATTTGACTGGTTTCGGCTTTGCCACTCGGGTCGAGACTGAAGCGCAACGGGGTATCGGGCAACAGCATGGGGTCCTGTGGCACGGTAATGAAACATTGCTCACGGATTGCAGCCCGCGATATGCGGGAGAGGTCGACGCCGTCTACGCTGATATCGCCGGTAATTTCAACGAGGCGTAGCAAGGACAGAAGAAGCGTATTATTGCCACTGGTCGTTTATGGAAAGATTAGCTTAAATGGGATAAGAGATCAGACGCATCTGTGTGGCGGAACTTGCCTTCCCGTGCGGCCGCACACCACAACCTTCTGACCGGCTTTGATGGTGAGAGAGATGTTGCGGAGACTAGCGGAACGCCCGCTGTGAATTGCAATTAATTAGCTCAGTTCCAACTCAGTCCTCTGGTTGCTTTCACATAGGGATAGGGACTCACTTATAAGCCGTAGTGACGTGATTAATCACTATCTCTCCTCTTTGTGGCTAAGAGGTCTTGGGAATATTGTCCTCCCCAGGCCGGTCTTCTTTCTGAATCTCTTCATCCAAGCTTTTGAGGCGCTCGATGGCTCCTAGTGAGACTTCAAAGTCGGCCCAGGACTCAACCAGCCTGACAATAGTAGTATTTGTAACGAGGATGATATTCAGAGCAACGCCTACAGCTGCGCCGGTGGTAGTGCTTCTGAGAAATAACGCCAATGCGATTATAGCCACGGAGATTGCGGCGACCATGAGGTCGAGCACGAGGTTGAGCCACCGCTAAAGACTAGATAAAAGATAGAGCGGACCTGTCAGCCATCCAGCGCGCGGTCAAAATGTGATTGGCAGCGACTCTGCCATCTGAGTGCGCAGATGGTGATTAAACCTTCGACCTGACGGCCAAATTTAACTTGGAGATACTCGTAGCCAATAACTGACATGTTGGGATGGGGCAAAGAATACGTACAGTCTCAACGATTTGCGAGAAGACGGCCGACCTGGAGGCAAGTTCTTCGATCCGCACTTGGCGCGACGTGCGAAAATACACCCTCGCTACAAGGCAGATGACGACGAAGCACAGGGGAATAGTCAAAAGCAAAAGCTTTTGGACGGCAAGAAGTAAGGCAACTTGCAGTAGCAGCTCAAAAATCTCTGTTGACCTTGTGAGTATTGTCCAACATGTTCGCACCACCGAGTTCTTACGGTTACTTAGGGACTGAAATGCCGCAGGTAGATCCCTATCGACTAGTTGTATGTCCTGGCTGAAACTGCTTCATCGTAAGCTACAAGTTCTTCGAAATCATCCAGAAAGTAAAAGGCAAGTTATACCGATTTAAAATGACGCCAATATCAGATGTAGCAAAGAACGAGAGTGGTGCTCTGGGCGACAGTTAGCTTCATGGCTGAATTCATTTGCATAGGAATGGAAGACACGCCCTATTATGTTACTAAGAAACTTGGAGTGAAGAAACAGGCCTGATCTAGGAGTGACAAGCATGAATGTGGACCTGGCATGAGATTAGCAGGTTGGTGTTAGAATGGACAGGAAATGGGAGCCCAAGAGAGACTAACCACATAGTTCCATTCGTGGGTACCCAAGCAAACAGAGCTAGTAAGCCGTATACCATCATATAGAGCCATTCGACATTCTGATCTGCCTCCGTCCATCGCTTGAGCCAGTAGTGTGGAAAAGTGATGAAGAACGAATAGGTGGCGGTGCATCCTATCATGAAGATGGCGTTGAAGAGCCCTGCGGATTTGAAGTAATAGCCTGGTTTTGGGGTGAGTCGATGGTCATATTCTCTGGCTGAAAGAGACTACTGCACGGGCTTTCTTACCATATAGAGAAAGATTTCCCGTCTTGCGATTCAAATCAAGCCGTGTGTCCAGCTCTTTGGCTTTTTTCTTCTGGGCGTCTAGTTGAGAGGCTTCGGCATCAACCTGTCCGGACTCATGGAAATCATCGGACATGACTTTGCCGGACGCATCGGGAGAGAATCCCATACGCTCCAATGCCCATGCTCCTTTATGCGAGAGTTCTCTAGGATCACAACGCTGTCTGCTAGCTTAAAGTGGTGTGCTATAAAGAGAACATTAGAAGAGCGTATAGAGCAACACGGCTTCAAATTGGCCACGATAGAGCTTGTACTCACTGGCATTGGTGATCCAAAAAACTGTCGACCGTCTGGTGCGGAAGATGCCCTCAGGTCCAAAAAGGTTATTGATGACCTGATCTTCGGTCCGTCCACCCAGGGAGCTGAAGGGGTCGTCTAGGATCACTATGTCGCATTCATCATAGAGCATGCGAGCAAGAGCCTAGGGATCAATCAGTTTTCATCCTCTTTGCTTTACGGCTGGAAATGAGAGGCCTTGCCGGCCGACGCTTCCCATCGAAGCCAAGAGCACACAGCTGCGCGATAGGATCTCGTGTGCATAGATCATGCCATTCTCTGTTTCTGCCCCCCTGACAGGTTCAAACCGCGGCTGCCAATCTCTGTGCTGTCCCCCATTGGTAGCTGATTAAGGTCGTGCACCAAGCATGATGATGAAACAACACTTTGATATCGATTCTCGTCCACATGTGTTGCGAAGTTACATGTGACATCTCGAATGGAGCCGTTGGGCAACCAAGGCGTTTGATCGCAGTAACAAATCCGTCTCGATGCCGTCTTGACCGTGCCGTGGGAAACAGCCACCTCACCTAGTATGGCTTTTGCTAGCACTGTCTTGTCAGTGCCAGTTGGACCAGCATAAATGAAGATGCTTGAACGCTCAACTTCCAGAGTCACTCTGTCGAGAGCCGGCGCCGACATCTTATCGGCTTCAACTGTGACTTCCTCGAGGCTTACGGCTGCAGCGGTGCTTCCATGAGGAAGTAGCCTCTCCGGCTTATCTTTGAGAACAACCCTTTGGTCTTGGCGAGGAGCTTCCAATAAATAGTTTTGGAGGCGTTTAAAACTGGCAAACGTGGCAACAACTCTTGGAATGATGGTCATTATTATGTTTGCTGGATGAATGACCATGGACAGAACAGCTATAGTCGTGAACGCGGTTTCGGCGTCAATGGTCGAGTGATTACTCTGGGAGAGGACTCCACAGAGTATCATAGTAATTGCAGGCGCAAATATACCCAGGAAATTGGCTAAAAGACAGTAAGTGACGCTGTCTCATAATTGTGTGGGTAAGGACTAAATTCTTCGGAAGGCCCGCCCCTGGGGGGAAGCTTTCGCCAACATTGAACAAGGCATCCGACTTACCGCTAGCGTTGTAGCCAACCCTTGAGATCGTGTGTTAGTAAGAAATGTTCTTCATGTGATAATAGTATTTGGATACACATCCAGGAGAAGCATGGCTTAAAAGAGCAAGGTTTGCCATTGCATCTCAACCCATGCTCCCAACGGTAATAGACACTTAAGGGAGGAGGGAAAGTAACAGGGGGCATACATGATCCATCTCACGCTCTTGGCGCGTTCAATTTCCGTCGAGCGAAGAGAGGCGACATATTTTGCTATTGAACCGGAGATGCCAAGCAACTTGATCGTCTTTATCAACCCTAGGAACGCAGTGATCATCGACAGTCGGTTCTGCGTGGCTGCATTCCACTCCTTCTGTCTGCCGTGCATGTGTTGAGCAACATACTTGCTAACCCGAGAGCAGACTGCAGGCTACATGAATATCACGAAATGAAACATTTGTCAAGGGTGCAAGCTTACAGACAATAATCACAAGTGGAACGGGGGATAGCCAACCGACTTGAGAGGTGAGAATGACCATTCCTATAGCCAGCTCGAGAAAATAAGCCCAAATATCGTGGGCCATTCTGCCTATCCCGCTCAGGCTATCTACGTCGGTGTTCATGAGAGTAACTGATTTCCCGCGATCGTGGTTGTTACTTTGGCTTTGCAAAGTCTTGGTGAATACAAGGCCCACGAGAGCTCCTTGCATCATTACCCGCAGTCTGTTCCGTTGATGTTGGTACACAGAGATGCAAATCTAAATTGGATAAATCAGTGCTCTAGGTCGGTCGTCAAGGTGATCCTGTTTTCCTCCTTACCGCTTCGCCCACGTAAACAACCATAGCAACGGCTAGGATCGACGCCATGTCGGTGGAAAGCAGGGTTTCATCATGGGAGATGATGGTATACTTGGACTGGAGCAAGGCAGAGGATGAGCGAGTAGACGCGCTAGTTACTAAAGAGATAGACAATAATCTACTCGCAAGTAGGCGAAGAGGCATGAAGCATATCTGGAAGAGTATTAAGCAAGACATGAAGGAGCAATAAGCCTTGTACTTAAACGAAAAACTGAATAAGGATTATATTATAGTTAGTGCTTGAATTTATTATTTCTCTTCAACTTCGAATAATCACGATGCGGCTAGCTGACGGTAGGAATCTTAAATGCACTGCTGGTAGGGCGCCGTTACGTTAGCTTTATTCGCACGGCCGATAGTGCACCTATTAGGCCCCCTCTACAAGGGAGGGTGTTGTTGGGGCAACTAGGCCTGAGCCCGTAAGCGATTTAGAAATTTGATTAGCGAGGCTTGTCGAAAGAAGAGCAAAATAGTCGGCACAAGTGCGACTGGACATGATGACAACTTAACACAGGCCAGCGTGGAAGAATTTCCAAAAGAGTTTATTTACAGGCAATATTAAGTTGTGAATATTATAATAGTATTTATAAGTATTAATGAGAGGAACCCGCTTCCGGCCGGCCGAGCTTAAACCCCAGCAGGAGAACCCCATACAACGACCGGATGCTCACTTATCCTAACACTTTAATAAAGTCGCCTCTGAAACTAGAGATAAATATTAGCTTGCCTATAATAATCTTCTATGTTATAACAAAAAAGCATATTGACATCTTTAATACATTCAAGCTTCCTCTCTCGTTGAAGCAGGTTTACATTGCAAAGACAATTCTAAATACGTTAGATTAATTCCCGTTTAGTATAGGTATTAATAGGGCCAAGAATAGTAAAGCGTACACCTAGTTTAAAATAGTCACTGCACCATGGATATTGAAAACCAAGCGAACTGCAAAAAGTCGGGACTATTGTAGTAAACATAGCACAAATAATCTAACAAGGTCCATTATATTAGTAAATATTTTACCACGAATATAATTCGGAAAAGTACTATACATCGGTATTTTGTCTCGACTCTAATTGCTCTTCATGTACATGTACATTTTCAATACATTCATGGCTCACGGTGTAGGGGGTCTTACCTGCAGCGGAGGACTGGTGTTAAACCTACAAGTGGAAGGGTTCCAACCAATGCGGGATCGCATCGCACTTATAGTTTTCACTCCGCATAACCAAACTATCTGCATAATGTAATTTTCAGGTGATGCTACGTACGAAACTTTTTACCGGCGTCGTAATTACATGCTTTCGTTATTCTCGCTCCGACTCTGCTCCACGCCTTCCGTATGGCCCGACCTTCCGTGTCCAAAGTCAAAAAACTGCGCCGACCACGCCATCGAGTCGACGATTTCCGCCGGCCAGTAGCAGTTTGTTGGCATTGGGCCACCAGACGCAGCAAAATGCTGCCCGTAATCACCAACATGCAGCGAAGCCGGCATTGCACTCATGTACGACGGCTGGCTTTGAAAGTCTGGAGAGTGGCTGAATGCTTTTACGCCCTCCCTCGAAGTCTTGGGAGTGCTCCCGCTGGCATCCTCTGTGCAGAGTTAGCAAGTAAGTCAAGTTGGCCAGGTCTCGTACGTACTCCATCGCACGCCGCACTCTTGCAGGGCCTTCATCATGTCGCGGGCGATTCTCGCTCCTGGCGAGTTCTTGCTGAGAGCGTCAAAAACCTTGAGACACGTCTCGGCGTCATCGGACAATCCGACGGTATCCAGCTCGGGTGACAGTTCGAGCGATTCCTCTGCAAACATGCTGGACACAAGCAGGATGGAGCTGGCGCAGACTAGACACGAAATCATCTGCCACCACGGAAAGTCATGAACCAGGTCCTCCTTGCTGGAGATGCCGTGGAGCAGCCGTGCCGTCTCGCGTGCTTCCATGATGCATGTCCTCTCGTTTGCGCGTATCAGCGGCCAGTCGAGCTGGCTGATGGTTGCGGCAGGGTCACCCAGGTGCATCAGGAGCGGGTGGCACAGGTACGGCCGGTAGATGAGCGCGCGGAGATGGTGGTACTTTATGGCCAGCATGTTTCGCTACTGCTAGTCAGATACTGAGGACGGGGCGAAAGCCGGTCAAGAGGTGTAGGGACATGCCTGTCTGCTGAATATGTGTGACTGCTCAAATGTATGCCCCAGATCGAAGCGGAGGACTCGCGGGAGTGCTAGTTTCCACTGCACCAACTGCCTGTCGAGGTCTTTGGTATTGAGCAGGTCCTCCGAGGCGAAATGGCTTCGCCGGGGGCAATACAGGCCTCGCAGGACGCGGCCAACGATTCCTGAAAAGGCAATTACGGCGAGAAAGTAATCGCCCGACGATGGAGTGTTGTCCGTTTTTTCTTCGACAACATCGCCTGTCCAATCAATCTCGGCGTCACTAGCTCGCGCTGGTAATGGGACGTTAAAGTCATCATCGTGAATTGCGGGAGGTCGCCCGAGCTGAAGTGAGAGAAGTCTATCCAATACATAGATGGAATACCAGACACGGCGTCGCTCTTCAATCTCTAGGGAATGATTGAGTTTTGTATGGTCTATATCATCGTTTTCTACGTGCAGTCCAATACTTTGAGCTACGCGAACGGCTTGTCCGAGTATTGTCCAGCAGCTGTGACTGTTGGCTTGTCTGTATAGTAATTTTGAAAGAATGGGACGTACCTTTCTGTTTTGCACACAACCAGGAGATAAAAACATCGCGCCAGTAGGAGTGAGACCTGGGCAAGCGAACGTTCTAGGTTGGTAGTTGGCGCCAGGGTCAAGGCGCACAGAAAATACTTCTCATGTAGCCCATCATCAGTTTCGTCTTTACCAGGTAATGTTCTATAGTAAGCTCCAATAGCGCATATCGTATCTGCAAGCATCAGAACTAGGTCTCAAAGAAGCCTTTTGAGGAGACATGGCCTACATAATAGAGCGGTTCTGACGTTGCTCCTACCATTCTGAGTCTGGGGGCTGTCTTGGTCTCTGAGTGTCTTATAATCTTGCATGAATCGTGATTCGGGAATGAAAGGATAGGCAACGTGAATGGTTGTAAAGTACGCGGTTATGTATTGTTGAGCTTCCTCCAAGACAGGCAACAAGATGGTCTTACCCGCAGCCTTGTCAGGGGACACCAGACTCTCGCCCTGGTCATAGCTCTCGAAATCTTCTTGTGTCCTTGTGCTCCCGTCTTGGGTTTGGAGAAACTGTTTGACAAGGTTGACAAAGCGAATGTCGCTGACCTCGCCCAAATAGCCTGGAGACCGATCGGCGTGGCTAGATGGCGATTTACCACAAGCGTCGCTAGCCACAGCGCGTGGTGTGACTTCTGCTCTTGTGCTGGAGATGACATCGTCAAGTTGTGATTTGATCCTTGAGCTCTTTAAAAGGACTGCCTCTTGTTCCGGGCCAGACGGAAGCAGGGAAATGACGTGGTTGAGCAGCCTTTCTTGCTGGTGAATCGCATCGTGCAAGTCCGGTAGACCCTCGGAAACACCAGGGCTGAAGCGATCGCTTGTTCCAGCCCGCAAGCGAGGTCGCTGTAGGCGATAAATGCAGGTATATCCGTAACCGCGACACCTACTGCATGCCGGTCGTTGCCCGTCGCACTAGGAGCAGATTAACCCTCACGAGCCTCGACAGTGATGCGCCGTCGTATTGAAGACCTTACCTTGGACTTCATGGACCTGCATCTCTGGCAGGCTTTGGCAACCCGTTTCCGCTTGTATTCGGTGTCCATGCTTCAATGCGGCTTGTTGATTTCCTTGACAGTTTTGAGTTGAATAACATTCGGTCGACGGAGGCGTTTTGCTGTTGCTAACCGGATATATCGGAAGTCTGGGACAATCCGGGTCAATTTGGCGGTGGGTCTAAACGACTGTATCCGCTTGTGCCGTTCTGCATGATGACATCAGAAAGTTGAGAATTTCCGCGGCCGTACATTTTCTTTTTTCTTGAAGCAGGTTGACAATACTGATCATTCAAGCCAGCTGAAGCCATCTATATGACCCAATTGATAGGGGGCGAGGAATTTCGGTGCATTTGCTGGGCGAGGCCGGAGCACGTGACTCGCGGACATCGTGACGCGATTCCCATGTAGTCCAAGTCTCTCCAAGACTTTGGTGTGTGCGCGTGTGTTTGTTGCAAGAGCCAGAATCTTGTCTTGAAGCGATATGAACCTCAACTAGGCCCGTGTTGACAAAAATTCCTAAATTTTCATAGAGATACGAATGGATTTTGATTCAAACAAGCGCGACCATATACTCGTGTGCAAAATGTAGGGTATGGTGAGGTGTAACCAGCTAACCCGTTTCAAAAGAGTTTAGTGCCGCAGAAACAACAACCGGACCTTTTACCGCGGAATTAACAATTTTATGCCGCGGAAATGATCCAGGTCTTATGCTGCAGAAATCGCACGACTCTCGCCCTGGGGTTCTGCCCACATAACACTACCTGGACTCGTATAACACACTTGAAAACGGAATCTCCGTTTGTGCTGTCTGAATGACGTTTCAATTGTCAAGTGTCGCACTGTGAATCGACCAGATCAAGCATTGGAGCATGAAGGGAGGACAACTAGGAGTCGCAAGGCCAAAGGGCATTAGACCGACGATGGTACTTCTTCCAAGCACTGCCGGGCTGCAAGCGATCAGGTCATTATGCAGCATCTATCCGTTTTTCAGTTTCAGTTTTCCGATTATATCACAGTCCACTCTATTCCTCGTTTCGTAATAAGAGCGACGATACGTAGCGGCGAGAAAAACTACTACTGCAGCGAGCCGCGCTTCAGAATCTTCTTCTATTTGACAATATAATCAGTTGTCAGTCCAAGGCATATTTCCCGGTATATCTGATTGTGAGTAATCCCTCGAATGAATATTTGAACTCAGCTTTCGTTCCATAGAGCCGAGGCGCATGACTAGTGTAATGGGCGGACCACGGCATTGAGTACAACATCCAGACGAAACCATCGCAGCACGACTCCGAATGAGCCTTGTCTAGCCTAATACGGAAGGTTTTGGTATGGATCCATGTATGCTGTACTTATTATTAGAAACCTGTAGTTGGTATATACGAAACTGTCAAGGTTATATGGGATGACAGCGGCACGCATGGATCAATGTGGTAGCACGACTCCCATGCGGATGAGTCGGAGCATAGGCGCACCCGGCTTGCAATGATTAATGCATTTTCGTTACCCACGCACATGGAGGCTTCCAGGTTTAACACTGCCACTATGTAGCGCCGTTTCAAGTTGCACTCTCTTGTCTACCGGACAAGGGCACACAGCATGAGGTATAGGTCCGAGAGAGAAGTCCGCCTTGTCAGCCCACGGCCTGCCCTTGGCGCCGTAAAGGAGTTCTGAAAAGAAACAGCTGGAAAAAGGATGAAGACAGGCTTGGATTGCAAGATTGGAAAACTCCTCCTTCACTCTAGCTCATTGTATCAATGTTTTGTTTGCATCTGTGCTGAACGTCACTAGCCAGGATATTGCCCATCGAGGCGGAATCATGATGCCTCCGGTGGAGGAGTTGGAGCAGAAGAATATCATACGAGTCGAGTCACTTCAAATCCCTTGTCTCTAGCATGGGAAATGGCTGACTCTATTCCCCGTCTTTTCCGAGTTTTACCTTGCCCTAGTGATGTAAATGGTTAGCAACACCAAGCGCGTTCTGGTGAAACACATGATTTCCGTCCCATTGTGGGCCATGATGAGGCTTGGATCTCGTGTATACCTTCACTATCGAATGCCTTTGTCGTTGTGAGACGCGCCATTCAATGGCGATCCTCCGACACAACCGGTGCAGGCATGTAGGTTAAAAGTTTATTAGACAACACTGAAAATTTTCAACTGATGGCTATATAAATATCATGTCTCGTCGCTATTAGGTTCGTCTCATAGTACATCAACTTTATTCATCAGACAGATACAGTTTAAACACTCTTTTACCGTCAACACATTATCATGGCTATTCTCAAGGCCTTCACTACTGCTGTTATAGCCGCTCTCTCTTTGAGCGTTGCTGCTGCCCTTGCGCAAGACAGTAACGGTCAAAAAGATAAATATATTGTCACCCTCAAGAGCGGCATTTCCACTCGCGATGTCGAATCCCATATGAACTGGGCCCGAGGCATCCATGATGCCAGCCTGGGTCGTCGCGCCCTAGATTTGCCGGGCATTCAGAAGAGGTATGACTTTGGTGACTTCCACGCTTACTTGGGGTCATTTGATAAAGAGACTCTTGAGAAAATCATGGGCAACCCAGATGTAAGTCTATATCTAGCATGAGATTTAGCGTGGGACAGGGATTATCTTTTACAAGAAATACTACTAAACGGATCTATTTATAGGTACTAGGCGTCGAGCCTGATGGAATAACAATGCCGTTAGCATTGACAACGCAGCAGAACCCTCCGTGGGCTCTAAGCGCCATGTCTAGCCGAACACCAGGGCCCCAGCCCTATCGGTACGACGATAGCGCTGGCCAAAATACCTTTGCATACGTACTAGATTCAGGTGTCCACGATAAACATGTGGAATTCGGTGGCCGTGTTACCCCGGGCTGGAGTGATTACGAACAGGACTTCCCAGGCAGGCCGCATGGTGATGTTACTGGCCACGGAACCATGGTTGCCGGTATTATCGCCTCCAATACCTACGGTGTCGCCAAGAAGGCAAATATTATTGCTGTCCAGACGGATCAGACAGTATCAGGATTGCTAGGCAGCATAGCGTGGGCCGTGCGGGATATCCAGAGTCAAGGCCGCGTCGGTCAGGCCGTTATTAATTACTCGGGAGGTTCGTATGCGAGATCTTCTGCACCTCTTGGTGTTTTTTGCATCCTAATTAGAAGTAGGGCTCCATACTGTTTCCAATTCTGCCGGATACCCGTATCAACCCGGAATTGCCATGGCCAAGAGTATGGATATTGCGTTTAACGAAGGGATTCTCTGCGTCATTGCTGCTGGCAACGACGGTAAAGTAGTTGAACAATCCACAACTCCTTATCAAGGCAACTCTACTACTGCTTTAGTGGTCGGCGGAATTAATCAACAATGGGATTTTATGCGCCTCTCCAACCACGGTCCCAGCGTCGATATTCTCGCTCCTGGTGAGAACGTTATAACGATTACTAGAGACTCCGACACGGCCACAACGGTACAGTCGGGTACTTCGCTCGCAGCTCCCCACGTTGCCGGGCTGGCATTGTATCTAATCGCTGCCGAGAAGATTAAGACGCCCACGGAGCTTAGGGCTAGGATCTTGGCTCTTGCCACCAAGGACAAAATTACCAACGTCCCGGCTAACACGGTTAACCTGCTTGCGTTTAATGGGGTTCAGTAGCCGATGTATGCGGGACAGGGGGTTTAGGAGTTTGTGACGGGATAAAGGCACGGCATACTATTGTCGACTGTGACTTACATGGAGCAATTGCTGTCAAGTTAACGATAAGTCCCCGAGGAAGAGTCCAAACCACTAGAAATTGGCATGATGTTTGTTAAAGTTAAATGGTTAACAAATACTAAAGCTACATGATTGCCCTATAAAGAAGTTTGAGCTATTCACCCTGGAATTGGAGACTGAATCTATTGGTGGCAACCTCGTACTAAGAAGCTCTCATCCTAAAGCTGCACACTTTATGTAACTACATGTAAGTATCCTCCTCAAGTAGGCAGTGTAAAAGGCCACATTAGACCCAATCAGCAAGGAGCTACAATCTTTATCCCCCTTTCTCCCGCTATTCCTGGGACAAATGCATCACCTAACTCCGCTGCTGGCGCTGAAACCAGCCTGTCGTCTTGGGCAAATTGTCCACAAGATTGATCAGTCACGCCATTAAGGCGGCCAAAGTCGTGTCTCAATGGTTGTCAGGGTCGAACATTGCGCCGTGGAGTAAAGACGATGTAGCCTCGTGGAACTTGATCGTAGATTCAGCAAAGTAATGTGAACCCTTACAGTCAGACAAGTACGCTTGCAAAAGATGACATCTATAACGGCACCAAAAGGCGCTCATTCTATTGCATAAGAAGTATCTAAGAAAAGTAAAAATGAAAAAAGAAAGCGATGTCTATCCTGTGAGCAGCTTTGCCAAAGCGACGAAGCGAAAAACCATGTCTAATATGATGAAACCTAGAGTTTCTAGGTACTTCCTACAATGCCGCAAACGTAACATTATAAACAGAAGCAGCAACTCCCGACGTTAAGGTCCCGCTATCCGACAAACACTTCATCTTAAGTTGGTAAGATGAAGCTAAACTTGTCCAGGTCCTTGTGTAATCTACTTAAGACCCGCGCCTCCCTCCTCGATAAGCGGGATATCGCCGGAAGAGTTATACTCAAGAGTACATTTGAATGGATCGGCCCCAGCGTCCATGACGTTGAGGGGCGCTTGCACGCATTGAAGCATCGCACCACATTCAGTCTTTACAGTGAGCACATCCCGCAGAGTCAACTGTATCGTCTCCCCTTCGCCGGCGGGGACCTGCTGCTGGTCCAATTTGAACCTGTTGCCGTCCTGCAGATAGGCCTCCTTGATACTGGTGTCGGTGCATTTCAAGTCGTACTCTCTGAGAATTCGGGACACGACGGTATAAATGTCCCTGTGTCTAATCTTGCGCTCCTTCTGGACGTTGAGGCAGATGATGCCGGGGGGCGTGTCGGCGGGGACGTCGTCCCTGTCAATCATGAACTTGCACTTGCCCTCGCTGCGTCGGGGCAAGAAGGTGATGGCCACGTCTGCTTGAGTCTCTCCGTCGTCGTTCTTGCCTGCGTCGGCCCTTGGTGCTACTCCAATCATCCGTCGCCGCTTCTTCTTCTCTTCCTCCTCGTCCTCGTCTGGCTTATCCTCGTCCTCGTTGTCTTCCGGATGAAGCACCTGGTCTAGCTGGTCCAAGAGAGGGGCAAGGGTAGATCCTCCAGCGCGTGCAACCAGCCCATCTCCAGTCGAGGCATCAAGTGAAGTGACTGCATTTTCGTCGGCTGCAGGAGCACCAAATACTGCTGCCGGAGAGAGCACGAGTGCGCTAAGAAGAACTCGGAGTGCCATGGTGTTTAAATAGTGTAATGAGTGGATTCTGTAAAGATGTTGAGGGTTGAAGTCTGTGGTTTGAGTGCAATGATTGTGAAAGAGGTGCTCGTCGGGTTCCTGATGCAGAGGGAAAAGGACCTTTTATATATTTTGATCCTACCTCCGAGCAAAGGGGTTTCCGGCCACGAAGATTCTTTCCTGTCGTCACGAAAGAACGCATAAGCGAGCTCATGCCTGAGTTGTGCGCAGCTTGGTTGGAGTATCAGACGATAGTCAACTCTTAACGAGGGGGCTCGTAAGGCTTGATGCTTATTCGGTATAGCTCACCGGAGGATCAGGTCAGAAATTGAATATGATGTGGGTTGCTGTTGCAAACGCATAGAAACAACATGTATAATTCCAAATGGCTTGTCACTATGCGATTCAATGTGCACGGCACGTTCCGGGTGCAATCGCTTACACCGGGCGGAGAGGTCCCGCAAGGGTCAGGGATCGATCATGTAACGAGACCACATGGCCTACTTGCCGAGCCGACATAGTACTGCGGAGAATAAATGCAAATTCATATGCATAAGCTCGGAACTCGGCGTGTTTTGTTCGCTTTATGACTCGCAACCCCGTTTCTTAGACACCCCAGTTGAGCGGGCTGCACATAGTTGACATCAGTCCACCTCTGCCCACTCATGACGTAGGCCTAAAGAGTGAACTCTTATGCAACCAGTAGCGTGAATTACCTCTGCGCAAGTCCGCGGACGGCGAATAACTTTTGTTCGGCGCGCGCGACTGTAGCCCACTACTTCGTACATCTTGATTCATCCCGTATACTTAGTCGTTACTGCTAGATACTGCTTGTATTTTCTTGCTCTTTGCCCGCACTTCCCTGAAATAAAGGACAAACGCTCTGTTCTTACCTATAGCGCTTGCATTCCAATTGCTAATCCGGCAGCACATTCACTTCTAGGTCCTCTGTGTAGCCGGCTATCGGTGCGGGCCGCGCGCGCGTGCCGAGCAGGGTGTTGGGTAGACCAAATCTTCAATCTCCGGATTTCTTCCGCGCAGAAAGAAGTTTAAGCTATCCTTGTATAGACCCCTATTATTTGGGACCTTACGGCTTCCTACATAGTCCCATTAGCTAGCCCTGATCTCCCAAAGGGGCACTGGACGTGTTAAGCGAGTGGTTAAGGTCGTCACGCAAAAGTACGTAAACAAAGCACCATATACTATTGCATTAACTGAAAGGAGCTCATGTCTTTACTCTATCCTCCGTTGGTGATCTCATCTATCAGATGAATTCGTTCTCAGCTTCTGTGCGGTAGTAGCTAGAGAAGACGTGCGTCTTGAAAGGTGAAGGTGCATTACCCCCAACCACATGAGGGAAATTGCTTAAAATATTGTACCATGACAAACCCTGACAGAGCATTGCCGAGCGTGGGTACAAGGCTAAAAAACCCGGTGTTCGGGGTTTGCAATATCGAGCGCATGAAGTCTCCAAGGATGTGGCAAGGTCAAGGTTGTTTAAAGTCAATAGGCGAGTGTCTTGCAGCAGCCAATCATGTGCTGCCGTTGCGGCCGTTTGAACCAGACAGCCGGATTGATTTTTAAATTGCTCGGCCCGCGCCATGAGGCCCCATTTTTTAAAGTCAATATCAAATCAATTTTTTACATGTGCCATCAACTTGTATTAAACCTGAAAGAGCAGCCCTATACACGATAATACATACCAGTTGTACAAGGTACTGCTATGTCGCGGTAGCTAACAACAGCGCCTGTTACCTCCCAGAACGTGACTTTGTACGAAACTACTTAAGTAGGCGGACCGGGAAGCAGTACTCCCAAGAGTAATTACGACTATAAAGACTTGGCTCGGGCGCGGACGCAAGTTTAAGCATGGGCCTACTTTTGTACCAATTTGCACAGTGATAGCCCCTAGATGCCAGCGGAGCCTCTTCAGGCTGCCGAAGAATTGCCGGAGCAGGGATCGCGGTAGTCGCTTTGATTCTTGGTCCATCATGCCTGCATGGTCCGCTAAGACACGACCTTGGCTGCAAAGTAAAAGCCCGCAAACCAAAGGTGCTCTCGCATTCCTTAGTTGTCAAGCCGCTGGTGTGCCCACAACAGACTCTATTCGAACATGTACTGCTCGTATGGTATAAAGTGCTATCTGGTGCAAACAAAATACAATAGAAGTTATGCTCTGCGCTTGCAAAGGTAGACCAGATACCCGACTCTGTCGTGAATTTGGGTTTTGTATGTCCACCGACAATATTGATACGTGCATTAATAACCCTCGGTGTATGTGAAGTGCGAAATGGCGCACTGGACAAAGTGTCCGCCTTGGCATAAAGTGTCTAGCTTAGCCATATCTGAGCAAAATACATGTAAATGGCTCCTGCTGCCCTACAACGCGAGGAAATGTATGCTTAGCTGTTCTCGTCTGTCATCACATGACCCGGGCCATTGTCCTTAGCACTTAACCCTCTGTCTTGACTCGGTCTCCCACCGGTGAATGCATTGACGGTTCATTGGATCCGGCGGAGCGGATACGAGACGGCATTCACGGAAGGGGCGGGCAATTCCGACTAGATGCAACATGAAACAATTTCGGAATTACCGGGAACTCTGGACCCCTTACCATTGACGCTACACGCAACGTACCATGGATCCAACTGGATGAATGACACATCGGCTTACTAAACGCCCACCGGCGATATGTCGCGCCGCACACGCCCGACGATGAACTTGGCAGTACACGGCTATATTTCATACAGATACATAGCCTTTACACCAGTCCATGAAGCAATTCACGCTAGGCTTTTCTCGATTTTCTTTACTTCTCACAGTCTGCGGGTAAAATAGTTTTGTAGTTCCGCTTCGTCCATCCGGAATGCCTAGACCTCCTACATATCCGGTATACCCGACAGTCGCTTTGCCAATGTTACACAGAGGCCACCCAAACAAGACCGCTTCAGTGCCCGATCAGAAAATGGAGCTGTTATCATTGTCCAAATTTTATGACCTGCAATGTTTGAGCGGCGATAAAAAGTATTCCTTCCGCAGTAGGCGCCAACACCTGGAGCACTTCGGCCACTTCACCTTACCACCGCGATAATGAAGCTGGCACTACGAATAGACCATGAATCGAATGCAACCTCCTTCCGACCCGGCGATTGGCTGCGAGGAACATTAGAGATACGTGGTTGTCTGTTTAAACACCCTCCCCGGATCACGGCAACATTTTGGGGTGAGCAACGGAGCACAAGCCCAGTCCTCAGTATTGCCGCTTACCAAGCTTGCCTCTACAGGTAGACTGATAGTGAGGTTGTCTCCCGAAGGCAACGGTTGTTGTCCTACCGAGCATTATCATGCGGTAAGCGTACCGTCACAGCAGTCCCCCGCTAGTTCTAATGCAGTGTCTAGCTATTTGAGCAATCGAAGCTGCTCGAGGTTTCGCAGTCAACTGTTGTAAAGGACAAGCCCAACAGTTGCGTCTATTTGTGTCCCATGGAGTTCAGGTTTCCAACAAGTATCAACTGTACCTGCGCCGATGCCTGCCAGTTACCATCAACCATGACTATTCACAACGGCAAGCTCCGAGTAAAATCGACATATTCACTGTCTGCCAGGGTGGAGCGACGTGTAGTTGGAAGAGTAACAAGATCCTGCAGAGTCAAGCAGGAGCTTCCCTTCATCTGCAACCCCGTCATCCAGAATCTCCCCTCATTATGCGCCGTCGCAATCTCGGCTGATAAGCTAAGTCGAAGCGGCAAATTTGCCCCTAGAGAGTCTGCAGAGAGCAATTATGAAGAATCTCTGCCTTTGTACTCGCCGTCCTTGCAGATGGAGATAATTCTCCCTCAACCACCAGTACTGATTCTCGGGCGTGGGACGCCAGTGAAATTGGTGCTCCACACGCCGCGAGAGATAATGCAATCCGCTACCATCTACGTACGGAGTGTCAAATTGCAATTAAAGGCTATTATATCTGCTCTTCCGCGATCGACTTGGCATAGTGTGACTGACACACGTCTTGGAAACACTATAAGCGGAGCGGTGCCCATCAAGTCTGAGCATTTCCAGCTGGAACTGGGGGCTTGGGGAATGTTTATGGCCATGCAGTCCCGACCGTCCTTGAATTCCTGCCTGTTAAAAGTTGCATACTCCCTTGAAATCGTCACAGGCCTGTCTAATGGATTAGAAGGTCCTATACAGGTATGCCTTGTGCTATTTTTGTTACTGTAAGTAACGCTAATCGACGTGAGCATTCATAGTACCTAACGGCTTCTCTGGACGTTCTTGTGATGGATCCCCCTCCACCATATGAAGCTGTAGTTGCTAATGTAATATAACTTGAAGTCGGTCAAACACCTGGGTAATCGCTTTGTGCGTTGATATTGTATGGCTAACTACTGGTTGGCGTATCAAGACATCTGGACCACCAAAATTATATTGGAAATAATAAAACACTCATTGCTGGCCACGACTTTATCAGCCACGCAGATATCCCTCCATTCTCACGCATTTATCCCCATCGCAATTCGGCAAATAGCATATTCTGTCCAACGCCCTGCTTAGATGTCACCTGTCGAGCCCGGTGTGACAAGGGCCTAGAGACTTGGAGCAATGTACTCAATTCGTCTAATAACAGTCTTTGGTATCAAAGGTCCTTGGTTTTCCTCAAGGCCTCGGTGGTCGAAGACGTCTTGAAATACAAGACGTCGGTGAGGGCCTTCTGCCCTAATCCCGTGACCGTAGCCCTTGTGTAACCAGCCATTTCCGTGTAACACCCGGCGTCTTTTTGTTCCCTGTACAGCCCTGCCACTCGTATCGAAATACGGCTCAAGTTCCTCTGTAACATCTCCCCAGTCGTCATGCTATAAACACTTGGTCCTGACACATCCGCATTCCTTGCAGTTAACTCGGCTACAAGCCATACTTTGATGCTTTAAAAGATAATCTCAAGAAGTCTTACAAGCCGACCACGGCCCAAAGCCTCAAGTATTTGCTGTCCAGCACCACCT